CAAAGGTCGTTTTGTTCCCGTTTGATTACCGCTCAAGTCAAATATTTCTGTGCCTGAACATTTAATGGTTAATTTGGTCTGTGTGTTTTTTATGTAGGTATAATATGTATGTTTTTACAAAAAAAAAAAAAAATAGTTTGGGACTAGAATGCGTTGTGAATGTTAGAATGTGTATTATTATTCTCTTTATTTACTTTATACTCATATCAATTATATTTTTAAACATACACTTTATAAAAAAAAACATATTTAAAAATACATCTAATACCTTTAAACGCGCAATTCTTGTATATATATAATCTGAATCTCGGAAACAGCTGCAACGATTTTCCTATACAAATTTCTAAAACAGTCTTGGAAACACTTATTCCAGTCTTCCTCCGACAGGTCAAAAAAGGCTGATTCGTAAGCAACAACCGCTTCTTCAACACTTGAAAAAACTTGCCTTTCATATTATCTTTTAAGGAAGAGAATAAAAAGAATCCACAAGCAGTTAAGTCGGGGCAGTAAGATAGGTGTGGTAGGGTTCAATACCCGATTATTGAATAGACGCCTTTGCTCTGAGGGAAGAGTGTGAAAACGCATTGTCGTGATGCAGCATCATTCCCCGGATCCCGGTCTTTGGTCGTCTCCCTTGCACTTTCGAAAACTTTTGGCAATGCGACTGTAGTGTACCATTCTGAGTTAACAGACTTACAATTCTCTAGTGTTGATGCTGCAACATGTACACTCCTTGAAAAAAAACTGTCTAAAATTTTTTTGCCAATGTTTCGCAGTCTTTGCAAGTTTGAGGGCAACTGGCCATCTGGAAATAACCATAACAAGGAACGCTTCTTGCTTTCCGGATTATATTGATATATCCATGTTACGTCTCTAGTAATGATTTCAGAAACAAGTCTTTAACTCTCATTTTTAAAACGTAGACGCTTCTCACGGCATCATTCCACACGGGTTTCTTTCTCAGTTTCAGAGAGCAAACGAGGTATCCAACGACAAAAAGCTGCCTCATTCTAAGTGTTCATGTAATATGGTGTGAACACTAACCGAACTGATGCCTAAGTTTTTTCCCTATGTCCCTGTCCAGTATTTAATTCGTGGGTCATCTCGCAAAGGCATTTCAGCAGTCCACACACTTTCAACAAAGACTTCTGTTGGCGGGCGTTCACACCTGTCATCGTCTTTAAGGCTAGTTTTCCCTCTTAAAATTCGTTAAACCATCTAAAAATGTTTGCCCGAGAAGGAGCAGACTCACCAGAAGCTGATTTTAAACTGTCTAAGCTTAAACCTTCAGATAAACTACATTTAAAGTCGTAATATATCATAGCACGCAAATGTTCACGTTTAAGCTCCATTGTAGCAGACGACAAAGCGGGAAATTATAACAGTATAATACTATTTTTTTTATTGCTGTTGATGGCTTTTTGTGTTCGATTTTTAAATAAAGTTACGTTTTAATAATATGTGACACAGATGCGTAACTACGTAGCAATTTTGCAAATTAAGATTTTGTTTATTAGTAGATATGTAGGAGATAGTAGGCAGGAATCGTAGTGTTTATCTACTTCAAGCTCAAAATAAATAAAAAATAACTAGGTACAGTATAATCACACATCATCATCATACAATCATTTGTAAATCATCATCACAGTGATAATTTACAAATGATTTAACGGTGCAACTAGACATGTTACGAATATATTCCAGTGCAAACGTGTGTCTTTTATGCAAAGTCGAATTTTTTAATCGCAATATTTGGCGGATTATACCTTTTTTTTTTTTTTTTTTTTTAACGGGGGGAGATCCTCATGGATGTCCTCCGCCCAGGGGAAAGGGCGGAGGGGTCTGTCAGACTCCTACTGACTAAAACCCCCCGGTGTTCCGACTCTCACCTACGCCGGGGATCGCGGGAACTGAGGTGACTTCCGCAATCCCCGACTGGTGCCGGCCCGCCGCTGCGGGCCACATCGCGTCAGCGAGGGGAGTGAGGTGTTTGACTCCCCTCGCGACTACACAGAGGGGCGCACGGGAACACAACGCGCCGCCACCTCGGGTCCAGATGGGGCGACGAACATCCCCAAGTCCGTCGCCCCTGGACCCAGCTAGGGGGGCCGGTGGAGGGCAGCATATGCCCTCCTCCGACGCCCGGTGCGCCTGCTGCGGATCGGGAGAGAGGTCAGGATCTCCCTCTCCCTCTCCGCAGCCTCCTTCTGCGAGATAACCGTTTCGCAGAAGGACGCCACCGCGTCCCAGGACTCCTCGCTGTCGACCATAGAACGAACTACGGCCGGCAGCGAGAGGTCACTGCCTACTACAGATATGAGGGCACGGCGCGGCTCCTCCCAGGCGGCACACTCTGCCAGCGTATGCCGCGCCGTGTCCTCCCGACAGTCGACGCAGTGGTGACACCGAGCGTCCGGCTCCCTGCCCAAGCGACACAGGAACCTCCCGAAGCAGCCATGCCCAGAGAGGACCTGCGTCACACGGAACGACAGGGAGCCGTGCCTTCTGTCGAGCCAGAGGTCGAGCACTGGCCGGATGGCCTCGATAGTGACAAGGCCGGCGGAAGGGCGTGAAAGCCTGTCCCGCCATTCCACCACCAGGACCTCGCGCAGCTGTGACCGACGCAGCTCGATGTCTCGCTGCGCCAGTCCCTCACCGCGAGTCCGCGCGTCCTCACGCCATCGATGCAGTGACGCGAGGACTTTTGCCTCCAGGTCCCAGGGCGGAGATCCGGCCAGTACGCAAGCCGCCTCGTGGGAGATCGTGCGATAACCCCTAACAACTCTGACGGCCATCACCCTCTGCGGCTTCCGCAGAACGGTGATAGCGCCGGCCGTCAGGTCAGCCGCCCAGATAGGGGCCCCATATAGGGCCATCGATCGCACTATCCCCTCGTACAGCCGCCTGCAGGCGGCTCTCGGGTCCGACCTATTGGGAAGCAGCGTTGACAGCGCCCCAGCCGCGCCCAACAACTTGGGCGCCAGCCGCCGGAAGTGGGGGCCAGGATCCCACCGGCTGTCGAGCACCAATCCTAGATATTTTAGGGTGGACTCGACAGCGATTCGAGCCCCCCCAACCACCATGTGCAATCCCGGCGGCGGCGCCCGTCGGGGGCCATGAAAAGCTATGGCCTCCGACTTGTTGAGGGCCACCTCCAGGCCAAGGCGCCGTATGCGGCTCACCACTTGTGAAACCGCCGCCGTCGCTAGCAACGCTGCCTCCCTGTACGAGCTCCCCCGGGCAGTGACCAACGTGTCGTCAGCGTAACACGTCAGGTCTACCCCCGGTTGGAGCTCGCCCCTCAGCACCCAGTCGTAACCGATGTTCCACAGGAGCGGGCCTAGGACTGACCCCTGCGGAACACCGCACGACATTAGGCGCTGATGTTTGCCATCACGTCCCAGATAGGTGACACACCTCTCCGATAAATACGCCCCAACGATGCGGCGGAGGTGGGGAGGCACTTGATGGTAGCGCATTGCCTCCCGAATACAACTCCAGGGCAGGGTGTTGAAGGCGTTGGAGATGTCCAAGGACACCGCCAACATCACCCCGCCGCGGGACACCGCTTCCTCCGCCAGGACTCTCACTCGCGAAATCGCCGTAATAGTCGAGCGCCCATGCCGAAACCCGAACTGGCACTCGGCCAGGTCCGGCCCCTCCTCACACAAGTGGCGGACGAGGCGGGCTGCAACTATCCGCTCGAACAGCTTTCCCACCTCGTCCAGCAGCACTATGGGCCGGTACGCGGACGGCGAGTCCGCAGGGTGGCGGATTATACCTAAGGCAAAGTAAGCACGCGCTTAAGGTCGCGATGTTGCAAAAGGGCGCACGAACAGAATTTTTTAACAAAGAAAAAATATATTTCTAACATAATATAGAACCGTGTCAGTAAGTATGCACACACTAACACTATATAAACAATTCTTTAATTCCATAGATATGTTTAAAGTTGACATCTATGAGTTTTTTTACGAATTCGCCACTACTTCTATGCTTTCCTTTTCTGATACCTAGGAAGATTGAGGCTAGTGCGTATACACAAAAATGCAGTTGCTACAACGCCGTGAAGGCGCTCCAGCCGGTTATTTTTGAGTAGGCATGGTGGCAACACAGGACCTTTTCCTTCCGACGCAGATCTTTTCTAGGCACGTCTGCCGAGGGAAGTATAAGCAGTCAATCGCAAGGATCTTATATTCTTCCTATCCTAAATCGCTTCTGATGAAGCTTAAATGACACGATAAACAACGCGCTTCAAAAATTGTTTGAGCTATTTTTCGTGTTAATTTTGTTCTTCATTTCTGATCAATGCAACCCCATAGGCTAGGGTACAGACAGTTTTATAATTATTAAGAAATAATAAGTAAAATAAAATCCGTATTGTAAACGATGAATATATTAATATTTTTTATTTTTCTCTACTGTTTTAATTATTTTTCACCATGAGTACACAACTCGATATACGTCCATGGGGAAGGACTATTCATCTTCTCTGATTCAGAGACGAAGACAGGCTAGGGCGCTCGAGGCGAGACGAAGCGAGCGTCACTTCTTCATTCACATTATATGAGTTCGCTACCTGTTGTACTCACCGAATGTACTCTGTGGTAGGTACTCGCCGAGCGTGAAGAGCCGCCATTTACATGTGACTTTGACAAGTATCTGGCACGCGTTCTAAAAGCATAGCAATCTAGACTATAATTTAAAAAATATTTTTTTCTAATTTTTTATTATTATAAAAAGATTATGTAGTGGACTATGATAGAAAAAAAAACTATATATTAATATATCTTGAATCCGTTTTATGTTCTTGTATCCACACGAAATATGAACAGGCTATGATTTATTACATAAGATTTTTTTTGATTTCAGAACGCGCTCTGTGTTGCTTATTCGCGTTCTTGAATGTTGATAAAAATAAAAATACTGTATCTCATATATTTCAGACTACTACTATACAGACACTAAATTAAGTAATAATGTGAATGGCACACTCTAAAATGGATGAAAGTTCTCAACACTCTTTAGGTTATACAACTAAAGCAGCACTTATTAAACTTCGTAACGATATAGATAATGTGATAAAGGAACACAAAAAGAAAAACCCCATTGGGTAAGTTTTGTTATTTCTTTAAATATGCGCTTCTTTTGCATAATTTAATAGATTTCTGAGATATATTATATTTTTCTTTTAATATAGATCCTGTAATTTAACTTTCAGATATGGGTTGATAAGAAATATAATTTCGTTTTCATCAGAGAAAGTTCTGCTGTCGGGTGTCGCTTATACAATAACACTAGTTTATATTATATGTTTGATACTTACATATTTACTCGGCGAATCTGTTCAAGCCCATGGGTATTTACTTTGGGAAGCTTTTTTCTTATTCATTATATTGGTGATAAACTTTTTGGTGGCATTCAATGAAGAGTATTTACACAGGAACGAAATACCTCATAGAGTAAGAAAAGTTTTAGGTGAGTGCTGTGAAGTAATAAGTTATTATTGCATTTACAATTACTTCTCTAATTATAGATACTTGAGATGTGTTCAATAAACATTAATTCTTTTGATCCTTCATGTTTCAGTTACTAGAATCATATTTAAAGTTAACTACTTTATAAATATATTTCTAAGTTTGAAATAATGCTACTCGAGTAGATGAGACCTAGCTTTTTAGCTTGAGTAGATTCCTTTTTTTTAAGAGTTTAGGGTAATCGGGATATATTATAATGTTTATATGTCTATTTATAGTTGTGAGAACTGGAACCAATAAATATTATGCGCTGGTTTTGTAGTCCAATTTTGCATTCTCTGTTTGAATAAGACCACAAAAACTTGTTTTACTCATAATAGTTAAAGCATATTTTGTTACTGGCTTCTAAATAAATTTTAAAATCATATAAATTACCAGTTAGTTGGTGGTGATTGATGGTACATCAATGTGCTACAACTTAACAACTCTTTTTATAAATGCTACTCACCTTTTTTACTACTGACATCAATCTCTTACAGAGAAAAGAGAATTGACCCTTGTGCTTTGACTATCAAATTTTATTAAAATGTACTTACCTACCTCACTGCTGGAGGGAAACAATATACCTTAGTAAAAGTAGTAGTAGTACTTAGTAGTACTTAGTAAAAGCAGTAGTACCTAGGGAAACTAGTACCACCTAACCTAACAATAGGACCATTGGTCCAAAATTACCACATTTGATTATTTTTCTTTAGTCCTTAAAAAAATAATTGTTTTTTTTTCACCTTACAGAAACATTTGATGAAGCTATTGAGAATTCAAAATGGAAAGAGATTCATTACCCACATCTGTGCGCTCCATATTCTCCTTGTGTGATTCTACAGTGGACCTACCGAGATTGTAAGAAAACCTTATTTTCATAAATGTAGCTGCAAAATTATTTGTGTATATGTACAGTCACTAATAAAATTCGCTGACTGGCGGCTTTAAGCACCAAAATGTATTTACCATTATTTTACTAGCCCACCAGGGCCGATTTTACTTGTGTTTTCAAACAGATTATTGTACACATTAGCAACCTGCTCACTATAATATGCCAAACTGCTCTCAACATTGACATTATATTCAATCAAGTTCATGAACTTCCAGTGTTACATTTAGGCATTAAACAACAGCATATTTAATAGGAGGGTATTTACAAACAAACTCCACAAAAAAACTAGTAGTACAAATATAAAATCACTGCACGGATGACATAGTGGTTCAAGCGGTCACCTCACCACTTCCTACTGCGCTAAGTGTTGTGGGTTAGATCCCCACATGCAACACATGCACAGATGAATTCTATATAAAGATTACCGACTTTGCGTCTACATGGTGATGATTCATTATAATAATATATGATAGTAATGAACTGTATTCATCATTCCTTAATTTTCCATTTTTTCGATATTTTTTCATAAAATTTGAATGGCACCAAGCAGAAAGTATATCTAAAATAACAAAAAGAATAATAATAATTGGTTCATAATTGACGGAGTTCTGAGGTAACGAACATCAAAAACACGAAGTTTGAAGTTAATTAAATATTTTTATAAATATTAATTTAATTGCAGCAACAATAGTAAATCTTCCATGGGCATTGCTGGTGGAAGGCGATGTGATAGTCTTAAGGCCAGGCCAGGAGGTCCCTGGTCACTGTCGTGGACTGCAACCTGAAGACAATGAGTTGTTCCCTGGACAAATCTTCCAGCCTAGTACACCGGTAATTAACATAATTGTATGCATGTCACCAGAAGTATTGACCATCTGGTGATGGATTAAGAATGCGAAGAGTCACCACCCCTATTCATCCAATGGGTGTCATAAGAGCCGACTAAAGCAAACTATGCAGAACAACAGCAGTACTAAAAGATGGAAAACTTGACACAAACCATATACCAACCCGTCTGGCGAATGTGGTATAGTAGGCCAAAGCCACCTTTCTAAGAAGAGGCTTATGTCCAACAGTGGACTATTAAAGGCTGTTGATGAACCATAAGTATAGCATAGCCTCCTTCCTATACATAAATTTGATGAAATCACACTTTTTGTCTTCATCTACTTGTTACTAAATAACTTTTCTTGTCTCTTTACTATAAGTACTTGTCTCTTTTTCACACTTTTCTGCAGACTGTATATTTTCGATTGACCCTCTCGAGTACATAAATGGATTTTCATTAAAAAGTGAAATAAGGATCCCAGAGCTTGGTTCCAGCTACCTAACCATAGTTTAGATATTCACATATTCTTTAAGGTTTTTTTTTACCCATTAACAATTGTAACTGTAAACTGCAACTTACCATTAATGTCTCTAGCAAAAAGACAACTGCAGTGCTCCTCGAATCCGAACACCCCATCAGAACAAAGCATACAGAATGTGCGAGACTCCGTATCTCAAGAACCTGAAGTTGGCGCTCGAACAAGCTATTATCAGGCCTGTTACTGTTTTTGAAAAACAAAGATATTTGGTAAGCATCTCGAAAATATACATGCTCTTTGTTCGAAAATTTCTAGATTCTTCGTTAGATGGCGCTGTAGTATGTTTCTGTCTCTTGCATGTGGGAGTCACCACAGTCTGAATACATTATTTCAGTATTCATTACACCCTGTATATCCCATTAATATTTTGAAAGAATAAATGAGTATGCTTGTGTGTTTGTATGTTCTTAAGCCTTTCACTGTAATACTAAATTATGGATGAAAGGAGAACGGCAGATCCAGTATCCCTAATAATATATGATGGATGGTTATGAGATTTGTGCCATTTATAAAGTGAGTCATCCTAATTATTTTCATGTAATTATACTATTTTTAGAACTTTCCTAAAAGTAAATAAATTCTTTTCAAAGAATTGTTACAACTGCAATCTGCAATTAATGAACTCACTAGTGTATTTAGCAGTTAAAAACAAACCTTTCTTTATTAATTATGTTGACTGTACATATTAGGCGAAGTAATAAAGTAATCATTACTTTAAAATCAATTATTTTAAGGAAAGGTACTAATAACTTTTATTTAAATCATTAACTTTTATTTAATAACATTATGTAAAAAAAGTAATTAAACTGATTTGACAGGGTCACATTATATTGACGGATCAAGAAAATCATCAACAAATGATTTTGAAAGATATCTAGATTAACTTGTTGACAGTAATGACAACTCATTTGTGACAGCCAGCTGTCATTGGTACAGTACTGCCTATATGCAAACTACAAACTAAAATAACTTTTGAACGCAAAGTTCTAAAAATCTTTAATTCTAAAAATTAAAACTGTAATTGTTAATGATATTACCAGCCATATCAATACAACAATAATCAATAATCCCTACCAAGAGATACGCAAGGGGGGATACGCATACACAAAAGTTCCATACATGCCTGCCAATGCCTTTTTACAATCAGATATATGTATTGTGATCTAAAAATCTAAAGATATGGAGGGCCAAAAGAGCCCTGATGGTAAGGAATTACCGCCACCAATGGACACCTGCAACCAAGAGTCACAATTGCGTTGCAGCTCTTTGACTCCCCTCCAGAGTTAAGGGGTGATTGGAGCTCATGTAACTTCACTCATTCTGAGAAAACTAACAAAAGAATTGCGAAACACTCGTTTTCTGTGAGGTTTTAGTATCACTCCGGTTGAGCCGGTCCACTTGTCCCGAAGCATGGCTTTCCCACTGTCAAAAGTCTTAAGTTGAAAGCTAGTTTAATATGTAGACAGGTAAATCATCTTAAATGTTGCCAGCCACAAATACAACAATTGATAGTTTTAATTGATTTTATAATTTTGCAGTGCACAGTAAAAATAATGGAAGGTCTAGTACTGCCGTTGGTGATCTCAATTGTGGTGATAGCGTCTTTCTTCCGCCACGTGTACCACTTGCCGGGAGTCACGCACTGGACCGAGATCTACTTCCTCCAGACCGTGGCCGCTTCACTCCCCTTGTTGCAAATTATATTCCCGATAGCTTGGGTTACGCTCAATTGTTACGGGTTAGCCAGGTATGTTGTAGATGATAGCTTGTCCAGATTTCAAGACTTCATGCTAACCAGCAAACTTAAATACAGCGAAGGCCCCTTTGTTTCATTTAGAACATTAAACTTGCCAAGTAGGTACGAGTCGGACTCGCGCACGAACCGTCCCGTACCAATATCTATAAAAACGAGCAAAAAAATCACGTTTGTTGCATGGGAGCCCTCCTTAAATATTTATTTTATTCTGTTTTTAGTATTTGTTATTATAGCGGCAACAGAAATACATAATCTGTAAAAATTTCAACTGTCTAACTATCACGGTTCAATAGATATAGCCTGGTGACAGACAGACAGACGGAGGAACAGCAGAGTCTTAGTAATAGGGTCCCGTTTTACCCTTTGGGTACGGAACCCTAAGAACAACTTATTTATATTATAGTTCGTAAACGAGCAGACGGGTTCCTGATGGTAAGTGACTACCTCCGTCCATGGACACCTTAAAACTCGAGCGAAACTTATGGCACGCACTTGCGTTCCCGCCTTTTGAGTGTTAGGGGGAGTGTATCCTCAATCACTTGGTGAAAACAAGGAAAGAATTGCTTAACACCGTGTTCTGTGAGGCTGTGGTATCACTCGGGTCAACTTGACCTGAATCTGCTTCCACATGGCTCTCCCACGGCGGCTCAAATAAAACAAATATTTAAAATTCAATAGTTTATTCATAACTCCTTTTCAGATTCAAACTGCTGTCTGAAACCCGTCAGAAATATATCCGTCCAAAATCATGTTCCATATCAGAGGAAGCAAGTGATCCGCTCATAAAAGCCATTAGCGAGTCTAACCTCCAACCAGAAGGTATCAAAACCCTTGGAAGGACATTCTTCAACATCTTGACAGGCAGAGAAGACATGGTGTCTAGAACTGCTAAGATTGTGCATGTCTTGGGATCCTTATCGGTAAGTCAGAGATCAGAACTGTATCATAAATCTAGCTTAAATAATGTACCTTCAGTCTTAAAATATCACCGTTTTGTACTTATTTATGTGTAAATTTGTAATTGGCTTATATATTATATGTAACTCATGACCAAAACCTCCTTTCTAAGGAGAGGCCTATGTCCAGCAGTGGACTATTAAAGGCTGTTGATGATGATGAACTTTCATTCTAACTAAATATTTTTTAGACCTTAATAATTGACATACTTGTACAAAACAATGTTGTAATATATTTAATGATCTATATGATCTATATGACTGTGTCTAGCTGTAATTAAAAAAGGGGGGCTCGGTGAGTTTGTTTGCCATTGTGTGTGTGTATTGAACTATGACTAGTCTGCATAACAGATGATTTTAAATCATTATTAAAATTTCAATTATTCTATGAAATAAAGATATATTGACTTTGACTAAGAAACATTATCCCTCTTTGACCAAAAATTGGATAAACAGTCTCAATACATTAGTAGACTATATAATATATAAATATAAATCTCCTGGGCCCGGTTTTGCGCGGGTAGATTACTAGTATAGAACATGAGAACAAATGTTTACTTACAATTTTTACTTTTGTTTCAACAATATATTTTTTGTTCTATTAGCTTTAACTATGTGTCACTGTTTTAGGCGCTGACTTGCGTAGACAAAAAGGGTATACTCTCATGGCCGAACCCGACCGCAGAAAAAGTGTTCTTTCTACGTAACTCCAGTCCAGCTTCAAACAACTCGAGTAAAACGAGCCTCGTAGGGTCTATGGGGCACCAGAGTGACACTGGAGACCCTGACGGAGGCCGCACTGATGGAAAACCTGTTTCAGAACCTGGTACCATCGCAGAGGTTTGTTATATAATATAATTAAACATTTATGAGAAAAGGGACTTTGGTCATACAAACTTGTCTTGTCGACTATTATTTATTTATTTACACTTTTGTGATTGACCGTGTGGTCCGTGTCTTATTCATACCGTGGGTGTCGCAAGACTAAGGGACAAACTCTGGAGGACCTAATCACTTAATATGTGGAAAAAAAGGTGAAGAGAACATCTGAGCGTTTGACTAAACTCTGGAGGACAACAGCGCTGCAAAGAGAAGGAAAACTTGAAACAAACCCTATTCCAACGTGTCTGACCAGCATGGTATAAAAGGCCAAAAACTCCTTTCAAAGGAGTTGCCTATGTCCAACAGTGGACTATTAATGGCTCGTGATGATTGTTGCCTTTTTCCATTTATAGCCTAATAGGAAAAGAATCCGTGTGGTGACGGATTAAGAATACAGAGTGTCACCACCCCTATTCATCTCGTGGGTGTCGTAAGAGCCGACTTAGGGAGCAACCTCGCAGGACGACACCACTGCAGAGAGAAGGCAAACTTGACACAAACCCTATACCAACCCGTCTGGCCAGCGTGGTATAGTAGGCCAAAACCTCCTTTCTAAGGAGAGGCCTATGTCCAGCAGTGGACTATTAAAGGCTGTTGATGATGTGATGATGAGAACAAGAAATAACTAGATTAAATTTGTATGTAGTAGAAGTCCTGTAATCATTATTGAAAGAAGAATCTTGAATAACGTAATTTGGCAGCAAGGTTTCACTACACATGTAAAGAAAAGAAAATATTCATGTTATATCATATAAAAACATAAAATGTTTGCATTCTGAACAGCGCTGCTGTACAGGGCTGCGTTTTTCGCCTGTATTCTGAACTGGGTTGTGGGTGGGCCTGTGGGTGGCCTTGGCGAAGGGCTTTGTCTCAGCGGTATAATGCTTGTTTGATCTTTTTAAATATTACATCATATGATTTTTTTAACTAGGTGTTAGACCTGACCCACGACCAGAACGCCCCGTTCTGCGTGGAGTTCGACGACCAGCGCTGGCGCCAGCACCTGGCCCGCCTCAAGCCGCTCGGGCTGGCCGCGCTGCTCAACACGTGCGCGCCCTCGCCGCGACACACTTATGCACACTTTTGTGCACACTTGACCTGCGAAGCGCAGTACAGGTCAGTTTATAATCTCATACATTTGGTGCTCATGGTCATCAGTAGGTATAATGTGGAATATCACAAAAATATGTTTTCTAACACAAAATGTAAAATGATGACAATCAAATAACAACTGATTTATTTCACATCGAATGAAGCGTAGTGATTAAATGAAAGTAGCTGAGTAAAATGTATTAAATATACATTTTACTCAGCTACTTTATGACCCAGTGAACATGAGTTCACACTACACTAACACATTACAAAAAAAAATACATGCCATTCCTCATAACACCAAAGTACAAGGAACTGATCCCCAACGACACTAAAGTATTATAAAATAAATATTCTTTTTTTTTATGGTATAAGGGGGCAAACTAGCGGACGGGTCACCTGATGGTAAGCAACTACCGCCGCCGATGGACACCTGCAACTCAAAAGTCACAATCGCGTTGGCGTCCTTGGAGTCCCTCGCGCTCGAGTCAGCGGAAGGGCTCCGGTAACCTCACTCACTCAGTGAAAAACAACGAAAGAATTGCTGAATATCTTAAGTATTCAGCAATATTTATATCTGATTTCTGTTTTTGTTATGTGTTTAGTTTGTTTTGTATGCGCGGTAACAAGCGTGAGTATAAATTTAACTTTACGCTGTGCGTTGTCTATGTTTCATTGAGTATTACATTTTATTAGATGGGTCTTATGGATAAAAAGAAAAAATACTTCAATTGTGTACGTGTAAAACTGTAAATTATACTTGTGACATTCTTAAATTTATTTCTTGAATATATAAATGCTTTGTTATATTACAGTGAAGACTTAGTTCCTGTGACGAATAGACGGTGCCTGTGTGAGTTAGCCAAACAAATAGGATTTACGGACGCGGTCACAGATTCCTATGAAGTCAAAGAATGTTTAGCTATATTTAGACATCTGGTAAGTGATCTTTGATATTACTTACAAATTAATTCAAAACAAATACTTATACGTTCCTCAATTGAAGATGATTCCAAGTATTGTATGGTGTGATTTTATTGTTCTATGATCTCTATATGTTATATGCCGCAATCAATTCAATTCCAAATATAAATAAGTAAAGATTTCATAAAAGAAAGCCTATATTTAAATATCGAAACCTTTCGAGTATTATACGCGGTATCATCATATTTTCTAAATCAATGTCATGTGTTTATTGGCCCTACAATAGACCTCTACTGGATTATAATACATCAAAGATAATAACTTTATTTCTGGTCAGCAAGCGGATACGATAAGGCGCGAGACTCGGTTCGTGCGGTCTCTGCACCTGAGCACCCGGGTCAAGGTGCCGCTGCCGCACATGCTCGCCGTGCTAGTGCAGGACCACGCCAACCAGCTGCAGATGCTCACACAGGTTACACATACTATATACACCACTAACTTTTCGCCACGAATTCCATACTGTTTTGAAGTTGATGCATCATGACTTACCTAAGTAATACTATACAGGATAGTCAATCTTGGTTGTTTTTAAGAGATCGCGACCTCTGATCGTCCACTGTACAGATTCTTAACATATTTTCAGATTGATTTTTTTTTTGTTTTTAAAGACAACTCCTGCATTAGGAACATATCCTATGTCGCAGGGGACTTTACAAAACTTACATGAAGCGGACACTAAGAACACCCAGACCCAGAACAACAATTTGTGGATCACACAAAGTGTCGTCCCATGTGGGAATCGGACCCAGAACACTCAGCGTAGTAGTAAGCGGCGTGGCGGCCTCTTAAACCTCTTTTTTGTGTGCCACAATGAATACCTATCTATCTATTTGTAAATGGCATTAAGATAGATTTTGATCAGATATCGTTTAAGAATAGTACGTACTTCGATTTTGTCAGATGAAAGGTCCGATGAAAGGAAATATTTTATTATATATAGCTTTCATACCTACATAGTAATGATAAATACTTGATTCACTGGTTTAGTAAATCTAGCATTTACTTTTAAAAATGCAAAATAGGGTCTTTATGCATCGTATGAAAACAGCTTATTGGCAACAACGCATGAGTAAATAGCAACCCTAACATCGTACGACAAAATAGGATGATTAATCACAGTTCACTGTGATTTTGTTCCATTCCTAGTTTGTGATAACGCATAATTTCATAATTTACACGAGCACACCAATGACCAATTAGAACAGAGTTGAAGAGGTCGCCATGACCGAAATATCGGATTGCAGTAGTAGTAATTTCATGTATGCTTAATTTCATGATGATCAGTTTAGTAGTTAAGACGTGAAAGCGTAAAAAACAGAGTAACTCGCTTTCACATTTTAGGATCAATCAATTATCATTTCGTACGAAAGCTTGGAACCTGATTGGTCAGGGTGCGGGGATCGACCGATGCGTCACTATTTTCCTATTTATATTTTCTTTCTGGACTATAGTAAGGATTTTAGGGTTGTCTGTGCGACTTAAGCGTTTTTAAGTAAATTACTACAGCGTAAAAATTGATTTGTAGGGCACCGCCGACATAATATTGGACTCTTGTGTGGACTACTGGAACGGTCGAGACCTGACGACGATCTCGGCCTCTGACCGTAAGAAGATCATCGACTTCTACCAGAGAAATTCGCTGACGGCCTACTGCACTGCCTTCGCTTACAAGTGCGTATACAGTACATAAATGGAATAATCAGAACGAAACTTTATAGGTACTGTAGTAGAATACAGAGTGTACAATATGGTTCTTAATTAGTATAATTAAGAAATTTTCAACCTTTTTGTGCAAGTATACGTTGTAACTTAGTTTTTATTTCGATATTATTAAACGATGTACCCAGTTTTTTTTAAATAATGTCCTCAATCGCATGAACTTATTTAAATAAAAAATACATTGTTTTTGTAATTTATCAAATTGTTTAGTAAAATATTAGAATTTTGCTTTAAGTACATTTCAGAAAAAAACATTTAAATTAAAAATTGCCAGTATCAATAAAATATAATACAAAGGTTGATTATATTTGAATTCTGTTTAGCTCAGGAGTACCCGATATCTGAATTCCACTCTCGCGCTTGTCTCCACATCGCAAGACACCACCAGAGCTTCTGTTCTGTTCTTTGTTTTGTTGTGTTCAGATTTAAAACTCTGTCAGCATCTGCCCACTGGCCTTTATTTATAATAATTTATATTATATAATTTATATTTATATTATATTACTACTACATCTATAGTCTCATCTCTCATTCAGTGACTGACTTGTTATTCCATATTCACAGGCCTCTTTCCCGCGGCATATCACCATCACTTTCATCGCTGTACCTAGAGCTGCCGGCCGACAGTAGGCAACTGTACGTCCCACACTCCCAGCACTGGGTGGACACTCCAGCGCTGCATTTCCACTCCACGGGTCAGTGTTTTACTTTCACTGAGAGCATTTTTTTTTAACTTGATAATATGTAGTTTTCTTATGGTATACGTGGTAAACGGTCGCCTGATGGTAAGTGACTACCAGCGTCCGCTGACATCTACTACTTAAGAGACAAGAGCGTTGGCATCCTTGGAGTGCCACCCGCCTTCGAGAGTTTTTTTTATATTTAAGAAGACAACTCCCGCACTAGGAATGTATCCTGTGTCACGGGGGACTTTACAAACATACATGAAACAGACACAAAGAATACCCAGACTCAGAACAACAATTTGTGGATCACACAAAGTGTTGTCCCATTAGGGATCAACCCACAAGACTCAGCGCAGTATAGGAAGCGGCGAGGTGACCGCTTAAATGTCTGTTTAGCCAAATATTTGAGAAAACGGAGATTGTTGCGATTGTGCATACTGATCTATGACTTTAGAGCCTACACAAGAGGCGATTTCAAACTTTTTTTTTTTTAATGAAATAAAAATATTCTGAGTTTGAGTTTAAACCACTACGCCATCCGTGCGGTTAGGGAGAGGGGGGGGTTTCGTGGAGGCGAACCTACTAACCTTACTCACTCCGTGAAAAGCAATAATAGACTTGCTTAACACCGGTTTCCTGTGAGGCCGTGGCATAACTCCGGTCGAGGTGGACCATATTTGTGCCGCACCATGCCTCTCCGATTTATATAACTACTTAACTTCATATAAACACGAAAATTGTACTTATTATATGTTTTCAGACTCTTTATTGTTCAATGAAGTGACAGAGGATGACGTGAAGGATGCTGAAGGATTCTTCGATATGCAGTGTAACCAGGTATTTACGGAAATTCGACCACAATTCATATTACTCAACTCATGTACTCATGCCTTTCCAGTATAAGTTGAACTGTCATTTTTAGATTTTACTAGTTAATATAGACTATATATTCTGGACGTGTGTAGCTTCATGTATTAAACTAAGCTAAGTTTCTTTTATATATAAACTTTAACTATTCCAAATGTCACGTTTCTTTATTTGTAAAATTTTGTTAAAAATACGTGTAAAGGTATTTATAGGATTAGACACATATTTCTTTTTATTTATAAAAGCGCCGCAAATGTTTATACCTTGAAAAAAATGCAATTTAAAAAACAACTCCTACACTAGGAATATATCCTGCGTCGCGGGGGACTTTACAGACATACATGACACAGGACACAACATCCGGACTCATAAAAACAATCTGTGGAACACACTAAGTATTGTCCCATGTGGGGATCGAACGCGAACTCATAACACTCGACATAGTAGGAATCGGCAAGGTGACCGCTTCAAACTCAAACTCAAAATATCTTTATTTAATGAGTTTTTAATTTTTTTCGAAATCACCTTTTATTTAGACTCTTAAAGTCATAGATCAACACTCACACAATAGCAACAATCTTTGTTCTATCAAAATCTATGTTAGGCCTGTGCCGATCTATAACCGCTCGTTTCCAAGAGGGCCTTTTGAACCACTACGCCAGTGTGCAGTTCAAGTGGGCAAATTCATGCCAAGCAAATCATTATTTGTTGGTGATTGAAGGGCCAGCATCGAAAATCGCCTATGAATTAAAAAGTTAAGAAATTCGGTGTACAGTCTGAGGTTGAAAAAACAGACTGATACGGACTTACTGACAGCCTAATCGGCTAGACATTTTTATACGTTAGAGGGGGCAGACGAGCAGACGGGTTACCTGATGGAAAGTGACCATCGCCGTCCATGAACGTCTACAACTCAGAAAAAAATTGTTCATAAAGACAAGACTCGTCACTCTTTTAATAATTACACACGAATACTTCAATATTATTACCTACATGTTTCTATTATAGTTGCGGAGATCGTGGCTAATACACAACATGCACATGCAGGCAGATTACTCTGCATAACCTCAAAAAGGAAAACATTTTTTTAATAGCAGAATTTTAATTTTCAGGTATTTATAGGAATGGTGACGATGCAATACCAGGCTCAGAGCGATATGGTGGAACTTATAGAGAGGTTAGAACGAGCCTGCATACGATTTGTGCACTTCAGCAAAGAGAACGAACTGCGGTCCAGAGTGTTCAGCGAGAAGATGGGCCTGGAGTCAGGCTGGAACTGCCACATCAGCCTCATTAGTGATGATAATGTCAGGTAATCATAGAAGTTCTGCCTGCTGAATGGAGCGAATGATAGATGATGGATAAAAATGTCTCGGTATCGAAGACGCGAAGGAACTAGAAATGGATCAGAAAGGCGGTCATCACCGCGTTTCTGATCATTCAATCTTTCAAATCGATCACAATTTTTCCGGTCATGGCTTCTGATACAAGCCATAGAATATTTTTACAGTATATTTAACATTTATTAAGTGATAGTTATTCGAATGTATGGTCATTAAAATCTTTGTAAGTGTTTAAAGTAGAAAATTCTAACAAAACGCAATAAGGGTTATGGATAACACGGTAATCTACAAGTTAAAGAACAATACGTCATGCGCTGTCTGAACAGATGAAAAGGCGGATATATGTAAGAATCTTGCGCATGAGCATCCTTAGCAACGCGCGAGGAGTATGAGGACTGCTGATGCATTTGTACCAAGAATTTTAGAATGGAGTAAGCTTGCTCTGGTACCAATAAAGAAGCAAATTACTAAGACAAATATGCACTTTAAAAAAAGACGTGTGGCACTCGGGGACTGCCGCGGTAAAGCTATTGCATAGCATTTTTTATCAACTTATGCAATTATAATTATTTATTTATTGTATTTATGCAGTATTTTTTTCCTTTGTTTTTTTTTCTTTGATATTAATTCAAGTTACACTTTATGAGCGTGGTGACCGATAATTTTTTTTTTCTTTTATTAAATAAATGAGAAGTGAATATTGTTCAAAATATTTTTATTATCTCACAATACATGTAGGTTATTCAGGAATATTTATCATTGAAACTATAGGTTTATGGTAACTAAAATAAGAAACATAAGTTTGAGATATCTACAAAATACCGCGTCACAACCAATGCCACCTAGAGACGAGTTGCTGAACTAAAGAGACAAGCGTGATATTTCAAAAAAGTCATTAAAAGTTCTGCTATTCATCGATAGATGGCAAAACTAAAAAGTATCACCTCTGTGCCGGTCGGAGTGGCGGATGTTAGGTTATTTTCGTTACGGAATTTCTGGATTTGGTCTCCACGCTCAAGGCCCGCGATAGACGCTATGCAATAGCTTAAAATTAAAGTTGTGGACTTTCATCAAATGAGCAAATTGTTCCGACATAGTTGCCAAAAATATCGACTAACACTACGGCCACGATTCAATTTCGTATTAGATGCAAACTATATAACGAAAAGTGACCGATAATAAATCCTGATGTGTGGGTATTCTTACATCTGGTGAGTCTGAATAATAGGAACTTGGTTTAACCAAAATTAACTCTTAACTCATTGTTGAAAATGGTTCGCTAACAACAGACATGAGAACATTAATACATTTGTCATAATGTAAATGTGTGTCGTGTTTACTATAACTAATGTTTCAAATCATTGAATTGAAAATTAATTGAATATGGTTTATCCTAATGGAATTTTAGTATAAAACAATGGTTGATAAGGGAAATGCACCTTTCTTTTTCTGCTTATAGAATCCAAATTGCATTGAAAATTGTCATTACTTTTTTTCACAAATGTTTAGGATAAAAACTAGCCAGAAAGTCCCTCCACGTCAAGCTACTTAAGTGTAAAATGGCTGCTCTTCATATAATGTAATAACTATCGGTTTCTAGTCAGTAGGATACCATTCGATTATAACTAGCATACGATCATAGCCATGATTCAAGTTAAATCCGTCTAGGGTATCACGGACGGGACAAGCTGAACCTTTCAGCCTACAATGATTTAGTGTGGAGAGGCCTCTAGCCATACAACACATACATTTTTTGTCCCATTTCGACCATTGTCTTATACACAACTTATCACCAAGGTGATCACAACGCTTATATTGGCAATTTATCTGACATGTAATGAAACATCACTTTTAATCACAACACAAACACACGTTAGAAAATTTCTATTACTTTTGATTTCCCTGTTTGATGTTGACCGTGTATAGACGTGCATCATTGATCTTATTATAACGAGACTTTACCCTACTCTGTTTATAGATATTGATGTTTTGTCCCCTTTACTAGAATTGATGTTATACCTTATTTTGTTTGGCCACGTTTGTTTTTTGCGTGAAACCCTCTTTCGACGTATGATATTGTCAAGTATTGGCAAAAATACCGAACTTCCTCCTCTGGGGCAGTATCCGAGTAGAAAGTAGGTTCAACTATTAACATTCAACCGTTAGCATAATGGACCCATGAAAAATAATCTTCGACGATACAATATATTTTAATTTCCTCGATACAAAATGTTGTTTTTTTTTTAAATAAGCTATTTCTCATAAAAATGCAGAATATAATGAACTGAACTGTATTTATGTAAATAATAAGAATATACCTCACACTTTTCACACACGGTTTTCTTCATTCTCTAGATTCTTTGTTTAATTATTAAACAAAGAATCTAGAGAATTGATAATGAATTATTATTATTTGTCTGCAATCCCTAAATGTTCAGCGCTTTATGAAAAGATCTTAGTACGCTATTACAGATGTGGCTTAACAGAATCTTTCTCCCTCTGTTAAACATTTGAATGTTTCTTAGGATTATTGATATTGTGATGTAAGCATATAGACTAATGACTGACTAATGTTTCTCAGTGTTGTTTTATTTAGAGTTACGATGGACCACACCCAATGCTATGTCATGGATCTCCTAGTTGTATGTGTAATTTTAATCACGTTCAAATTAATTGACCCGTAAAATAACAGAAGTTAAGGTTCCTTTTTGCTTACTTCTATTGTGTAACGTCAGCAAAATAAGTCATTGTGACACAAAGAGGAAAAAAAGTAGTGACAGTTCCAAATTGTATCGCACAAGTAGTAGTAAAAAGTGTTGTACATTTGATCATGAATGTATGTAAGTACATGCAGTTTGGGTGTGGTCCATGCGAGTAACGTGCGCCTTGTTCGGCAGTAAGAGCGTGTCACCGCTGTCGTCACAAACCTTGGTCCCCGGCAAGGAGCGCGGCGCGGCTGCCTCGCTTCACACTTATGACGCGCCCTCCCGAGCCTTGTACTATAGGTTTGTTTCTATCTTGCTCTATCGCACGCGTCCGCATCTTGTTGTCTCCCGTATTTGTTATTAGTATATATTAATGGCGATATACCACTCCTATTAGCGATAGTACCGCTGGTTTAAACTTCAAATCCTTGTTTATATAAAATGGCAAATCACTAAAGTATCAGACAATTAGTAGTCAATAATACCTCAAAAAAAATGGCGCTAGTGTAGGCAAAGGTTATTTGCCAAAGAACTAATATAAGTTTATTGTCCGTAAAACCCTATTAATGACTGCTTAAATCATGTTTGCATGTAATCACGTCTTAAGAGACTAATTATTTTGTATATAAATGTTTCAAAAGGGGTTTATTTATTTGCCCTACATTAATAATTTAGGACTTTCTTAGTGGAAAATTTACTGAGCTGTTCAGTGGCAGGGTTTATATGTATGTTTTGTATATTTAATACATTTATTTATGTTCCATGCAACTAAACAATTCAGTCACAAAATCCATACAGATGTACATAAATGGGGAAATAAAAAATATCATTTATTGCACGCAGAAACAATGTAATTTTACTAAAATTTTAACTTTCGCCATACATTAGTGCCATTAATATAAAATTTAATAAATAATGATTCTGGTGTAAACAGTAATACCATTTTACTAATATTTCAAATAGCAAATATTCTAAATGTAACTACTAAAAATATTTGTATATAAACTCGTAACATGTAGACGTGATATGACAAGGATGCTTTATTTTTAATTCACCTTATAATATGGTTTCGTATACATGCTATAACTTTAATCACATTCCTTTAATACGTATATAAGGTTCAAAGCGTTAAAATATGTGTACGGAACCATAACCAGTTATCATTAAGTTACGCTTCGCTTTGCAGCTTCAGCATTTCACATTTGTAGTGACTACTACTCACACTTTCCAATAAACAGTGGGATAAGCTTTTGGTAACTAATAGGAAATTTATAGCAAAAAATAAATGCTGAGCGTGCTAAATATAGTGTGAAATCAAATGATTCAGGATGACGTCATAAACAATGTCTAAACGAGCTACGAATTACTGGCTTTTTTAGATGATTTTTTTATTTGTATAAACCATTGCATACTCTGAATAACTTTATTTATTTATTTACAGTACGGTTTTATTAGCCTGAAGTATTCAGGTTTAACATTTAGGGATTGTGCAAGCGGCCATTAAAATAAGTGCCTAAATATAAGAAAAGAATAATATTTCCAGTATACATACACATAATGGAACCAGTATCTAATATATTTTGTACAACATATATGTTAGCAAAAACATAGCTACATCCAAAGCGCTGTCCATGTCGGCCCCGGGGGCAATCAACTTGGAACACAACACAGTCAAGTTCGACAGCGAGATCAAGAAGGCGAGACATTCCATCACCACACACACTAATCTGAAGGTATTCACAATTGAATATTGATTACAAATAAAATTTAAATTTCTATTTATAATATCAAAATAATAGGTTTTTGTTCATGCTCACACGGTTATTTGCACGATACCTATGCCTAAAAACCAGTTTATAAATGTTTTGTCTGTCTGTGTGTTTGTGCCAGGTAATCTTCTAATCGGCTGGAGTTTGATAATATTTTACTACCAGGTAGCTGTCTATATAAGGACTAACTTAGGCTATTTTTCCTCGCAGAAAAACCCTTTCTAATTTTGCGCGGTCTGGGAATCAAACCCACTAAGGCAGCGATTTCAAATTCCACGCGAACGAAATCACTGTTACCAGCTAGTATTTAATATAATTGATAATAGCTAGTTATCATGTCACGGCATAGTATTTCATGCAAAAATATACTGCGCCTACTGTTTTGACGTGTAATAAAATCTACCCCATTCTCTATGCTGTAAAAATGAAAAATATAATACCATAACTATTTTTCAAAGTGTATCTCATAATAAATTGTTATTTTAGAAACTGTAACTGATTAAATATTGTTCTAATAATATAGAAGTTATAATAAAATAAATACAATTACAGCGACCAAGTATATCCACCAGCAACCGCTCAGCTGACTCTCTTCTTGATGACGAAGAGAACGAAGAAGGTTCACCGGCAGATGCTTGTCGCTCGCTCTCCTGTCTCACTGACTCGACGGACCACTCCGCGCCTGTCAATTTTGATATGAGCAATAGGGTGTGTGTTATAGAAAAGTATTTTATTTACGTCCGTGTAGTGACAGATTAAGAATATGGAATGTCACCACCCCAATTCATCCCAGACACTCCATATTCTTAATCTGTCACCACACAGATAATAAAACACAATTAACCTTTTTAAAAACACAGTTTGCCAGTCTACACTTGCCTTCAATATTAAGAAAACAGATTAATTTTCTTCTCATTTGAGATGAGAAAAATAATTGGGGACTTGAGAAACAGTTTAATAATTGGCAAACGCTACTTGCTAGATAGTAATTGTTATATGGTGATAGTCCACCAGGGTCATCTATATATATATACAAATGTAAGGTTGGTTTCTGTACAGTTCAAAAACTTAAAAAGTTTTGATTGAAGATTGAGCTCAAATTTTGACATGATATACAACCCGTTTCAAAGATTGTTTTTATCTCTTTTGCACGTCAGTATTGTTCCTCATTTACCATCAACGCAACCACAATGTGCCACAGATAAGCGTTGCGACACTCCGTATTCTTAATACGTCACCACACGGACGATGTAACTCACAAGTTTTTTTTTTAATGTTAATTTTCAGGCCAAACTACCCCGAGGCATAGAGAACATCCGTCCTCACATCGAACAAGTGGATAACGTGCCTCTGCTCGTGTCGCTGTTCACCGACTGTACGCCACGCTCTGTGCAACAGATGATACAGATTATGCAGGTCAGTCAAGACTATCATCAGATTAGAGACATCCAGCCTATTTCCCTATTTTTTTTTTTGGGATTTTTTAAATTGTATTTGCTAGTTTCTTTTGTGATCTGCTACTGCAAACCCTCCTAGGGAATATAATTGTTTTCAGATAGGACAATAGAAAAAAGGGGGCAATAAATTGGGCCAATTTGTCGTTATAGTTCATTTCTCTATGGTCTAAAGAGGTTGGTGTATGAGTTAATTCAATATCATTATTATTAAAAAATATTAAAAATTATATTTAAATCAGTAAAATTCAAACTAACAAAAAAAAACACATTTTTCATATTCTCCTTTTTTGAAGTCTGTTAAAAACCTCCTTTCTAAGGAGAGGCTTATGTTCAGCAGTGGACTTAAAGGCTGTTGATGATGATGATGATGATGTCAAAAACCTACTTGTTTGATATAAAATTAGTGATGTTAAGTAATATGTTACATACTTAGCTTGGCTTAAAAACAGTGAAAATTAACTACTACTTTTGAAAATGTTAATTAGTTTATGCACCAATAAACTTATTTCTAGAATATAGAAGAAATGTTGTTTAAAACCAAAAATTGTTTTCTTTTTTCATGAATATAATGCATGTCCAAATCATTTTTCAAAGGACTACGGCGAAGTTGTGTGCGTCATGGGCTCAGCGGCTAACTGTCTTAATATGGAAATATTTATGCAAGCGGATGCCAGGTAAACTTACTTTAATGCAATACCTATTCAATTCTTAACACGACATTTCATTTATCTATCTCTTTCATCCCAATTCATCCCGTGGGTGTCGTAACAGCCGACTAAGGGCGAAAACAACGCAGGACACAAAAAGAAGAAAAACTTGACACAAACCCTATACCCGGCCAGCGTGGTATATTAGGCCAAAACCTTTTTTCTAAGGAGAGGCCTATGTCCAGCAGTGGATTATTAAAGGCTGTTGATGTGTGTGTGATGTGATGTGATCTCTTTCATCGTGACGTTGGCAAAAGAAAAGTTAAAGTTACATTCGAGGTTCGGTCAAACCTACAAATAACTAGTTATATGATAATAATTTAACACGTATAATTATCAAATTTCTGAAAAAAAATTAGTTTTTGTCACGTCTCGTAAGCGACAGTGGCGTATGAGACTGTGCTGTTTTATAATTAATTTAGCTGTTATTTGTATAATGTTTATTACATGTGCAGCATAGCAGTAGAGCCGCTGTACCCGGTGCTGTGCCAAAAGATGCCTCCCTACCAGGTGCCGAAGTCGTGCATCGGTCCTATCGACCTGGCCAGGGCACTCAATTCAGTTCCTTGTTCTCTATCTGTAAGTGTAGCTGGTTTGTATGTTTTAAACAGCTACGACGTCCCAAAGTAGACAAACCATTCAATATTTACCCTCAATACTTATAAATGTGAAAGTGTGTTTGTTCGTTACGCTTTCACGCCTAAACTACTAAGCCGATTTTATATGATTTTACCAATGGAAAGCTACATTATCAGCGAGTAACATAGGCTACTTTTTACCGCAAAAAAACCGACATAGACGCGGGCGGAGCTGCGGGCAAAAGCTAGTCAGAGATAAGTAATAACCCTTTTTTAATAAAGTTCAAGCACAACACAAGATTATATAGTCTGTATTTGTACAGACCAAAAATATTTTTTCACTCTTTTTGATTTGGCTATGCTTTAATGCTATTTCACTAATGTTCCACGCTGCTCAGTTACAAAATAAATGGCAGAACCAGCCTTATATCAACTACTGTAGTGAGAAGGTATGTAACTTAAGTTTATCAGGTGAGGTAATAAGGTTCATCATATTAATGGAGTGTTAATCATATAAAGTAGTTCTCATAGTACAAGCTCTGCTTAGTTTGAAGCTAAATGGCGTTATGTTGCAGTGTCCAAAAAAATCATTAAATTAAATACATTCTTCGGCGATAAAAAAAAAGTCGTCGCTGTGGAGGGACAGGTCTTATGCTCCTCCAATACTAAGAAGGGATTCTCCGACTAAGCGAGATGATTATGCCTGGCCGGCAGCGGCTCGATGATTGATGTGACAAACTTTTATCCAATCTCCGTGCTGACACTACTGTGCGCTTGCCGAGACACTTTTTGCCCCGCACAACCAATCTGTGAAACGGGTTATCGTCTTGCGGTATTTCCGGACCGATACGACCTTCAAACCTTCAAGAAAAGAGCGTACTCCTTCCTAAAAGGCCGGCAACGCCTTTGTAACTTCTGAGTTGCAGACGTTCATGGGCGGTGATGGTCACTTTCCATCAGGTGACCCGTCTGCTCGTCTGCCCCCCTCTAACATAAAAAAAAAACTACTTGGAGTCCATATACATATTTAACAAGATCACGTAACAAGCGTGTTTAATAAGTTAATTAAAGTTTTATATTTTGTTTGTAAAATTAGTTAATTAACAATAGTCAATTGAATAATCAACATAAAAGAAATTCCGACGGGGTTTAATTTTTTCAAGTGTTTGTGACGATGACACCATAATGTTTTGAAATTTTATTTAAATTAGTATTTTGTTTTGATATACTGTCTCAAGAAGCGTCGCGCTCATGCCGTAACGGCTGACCGGAGACCTATTCTCGGGTTGAATAATAATTATAAATAATGGAGATAGAATTCCGGGAGGCCGGTCTTTTTTATTGGAAATTTCCTTCCCTATAAGGCTCTTTTTAAACATATTCTTCAATATAATTATTATTATAATATTCTCATTTTATTTTGTTAATAAAATTACAATTTCGTATGTGTAATAAGTGCTCGAGATACCTTTTTGTAGCCATCATTCCGAATCGAATGAGCTATTGCACATGTATTTAATACTGGGAACAAGAATTAACCCGTTTTTTAACTTGTTGACTGGGCTAGTGGCAAACTTCTATAATTATATACTAATCGACGCGAGAATGTTTATTGATGGATGCAAGATTAGTGATGACTCTTAGTTCGGTGTGTCTCCGGTAGATAGTATTGAAGTATGTTTTTCGTTTCATGTAGAAGTAACTACAATATGATTTCTTTTAGAAATCCGAAGTGATATTTCTCCAACAGTGGCAATTATCACTTTTTTCCCAGAAATCCCCACTGGTTAAATAAACATACTGGAGAATAGAAGAAGGGGAATCTAATCGATAATTAACGACATAAAGTACGTTAAAGCCAAATTTAGGAAATAGGTAGAAAAATTCATGGATATGGACGTTTCAGTGTTTTAATGACACAATAAAAGCCATTGATATGCCCAATACGCAATATGAGTTCAACATTTTTAAACAGAAAAATGAGTTACATTCTCTGACATTTTCATTTGATTTTGTCACGACCGTAGCGACAAAAGTGGTTTCCTTTTTCTAATAATGATACTCTTTCAGATGACACGTGAGGCAGATGTATCACTGTTCACTTTGATAACGATATCACGTCACTACATGACGTGTCTTTGGAACAGCACCCAGTTCTGGATGTGCAGCGTGTGCTTCTTGGCATTACTACAGGTAAATAATTAGTTACTGAGTCTTTTCAGGTGTTTGAACAATGAATACGGCCGTCTGATCTGATCAGGGTAACTAGACTGTTTATAAACATACATATTTTAGATAAAGTACATTCAGATCCTCATTACACAATTATTTACCTGAGTAGGAATTGAATTTACGACATTTGATTTAGTAGTCAGTAACAGGCTAGTCATCAAATCATTTTGTTCATATCTGTCTTTTTATTCAAAATAAACCATTTATTCTATTAGTGACTAGGTGTTTATGCTACAAGTAATTATATATTTACACTACTTAAAAGGCGTTTATTTATTACGTAAGTGCAAAATGGAGGAGGTCTAATTAAATTTCATTAAACTTTGTTGAGGCATCCATCCTATTAAAGAATATATTGTAATCCTTTAACAACTATAGCGATCTCAATCGGCATCTTCCCTGGTATCACACCAAATATCACGTAAAGAGTATCTCACATGTCAGAAAGCGGTTCACTTAATTCATGGACGCTTCTAAATAAATAACAATATATACAGGGTGACGGGTTAAGTCGACCTAGATACTTTAAGGGGTTGTAGTTGTCATAATTTCTAAAAGATTTCACAATGAAATATCATATGTCAAACCTAACCATTTTTAAGATTTAAGACTTAAGATTTTTTTTAAATTGCCGAAACGTTGTCAAATTCAATTTTTTTATATCCATATCTTTTTTAAATCGTAGTTAACTGAATAAACTGGGCCGAAGTAGATGGGTTATAACAGTAAAAAGAAATAGTCGAGTTGACCGGTAACCCTGTATACGTGAATGCGCCTTCGAGCGATACAGTGAGACGGTGTGGCCCCGCAGGTGGGTTCCCTGTGCGGGTTCCTGCCGCTGGCGCTGAGCGTGGGCGGCGCGGCGTGGGGCGCGTGGGTGGCGGTGGCGCCGCTGGCGGGCGCGCTGGCCTTCGCCCCGCCCGACCGCGCGCTCATGCAGCGCGCCGCCACGCGCCCGCACCGCCCGCTCGACGCCAAGGTAACGTTGCGTGCGCTCCACGACTTGTGTTCTAATATAATCGTGCATTTAAATAGTACCGTTCGGTAGTCATTTCCTTACACGTTTGTCGATATAGGGCACTCTGGAAATGTTCAGACGATTTATCGAGCTTTTGAAAATCTCAAATATCTAATTATTACATATTGCTACTTTTAAATATTTTGACGATCAAATGCGCTCATTTGCGTTCTGTTGAGATGAAATGTAACCGATAATAAATTGAAGTATCAAAATATGCCTATTCCTTGAAATACGTATATCTGGACACCCCACAAAGAATATTACTTATTTCTTACTTTGTGGCATTTAAAAGTAAAAATAAAGTTAAAAAAAAAAAACCTATTTCTTAAAATCACACTATCGCTTCTTGCGTCCCCTGACAAATAAATTTATACATCCTAAGGGCGAGACCACACAATGCGTTCACGGTGCCGCTACGTCATCCTCATCAACAGCCTTTATTAGTCCACCAAATGCAAAAAAACTATACCATCACACGATACGATAAGCACCGGTGCGACGTCGCTCCGCTAGCGCACCGGGCTTGATGGGACGGCGGCGACACCATGCCACCACCGCAATTGTTAGTGTGTCGAACGATAATAATTGTGTGCTGTAATGAATATTTTCATACGATGAGTACCAATAATAATAGTAGCAATAAAACATGTTTCATTCACTCGTCACTAGTCGTTAACAGACTGAAGTAACCCTGTACACACTGAGTCACTGACGTTGCGGCGCCGCTTTGCATCGTGACACATAGCGGTGCGCTGCGGTGCCACACCGCACCGTCAACGCATCGTGTGGCCTTACTCTAACACGTCATATTATACCTCACAGATGGCAATATTCGTATTCTGGTGCTACGCTCTAAAGTTCCTCCCCGCTGCGGTATCAATACTGGTTCTCTACGGGTTAACCCTGCGTAGCTTCTGCGAACAAATCGCGCTGGCCACCAACTCGACCGGCTGCTGGCTCGTGTATCCCATCAACGTGGGCCCATTCAACGAGACTCACGACCTGTCGCTGAAGAGTTTCCACGGATGGGGAGACGACTTTTACGACGAATTCTACCTCGCGCAACACATCACTTTGGCGTTAATTACTCTCCATTTAAGTGAGTATTCTTGTTTATTTCATACAACTTCTTGCAAATTTATACATGAACTAGCCGCGTGTTTGTGTAGGGCTAGGCACTAGGGCTTAGGGGGCAAAATAAGGGCTGTATAGAAGTTCGTCATATTCAGAGTTAGAAACATTAAAAGCATCAGCTGACAAAATTTCAAGCTTAAAGCCCCAACTGTATAGTTTGACCCTGCATTGATGAATCAGTCAATAAAGGGAAGTAATTTTATACATATCCATAGATATGCAAAGACGAAACATTTAAGTGACTAAAGATAAGTAAGTAAAAAAATATTATTGACACTTTATACAAGGCGCATGAAGTAATGTTAAAATTAATTAGCGAAAATTAGCAAAATTCTTTTCGTATTAGGAATACAAAGATTAAAAAAGATTTTCTTTTTCTTTGTGGAAACCCCGTCGAGCTGACACTACTGGAGTTTGCAATGAGGCGGTGTGTCTGAATTGATCTGATCAAAACTACACGGCATGGCATACTGCACCTTAAACAGGAGGGATCCGCTTTTCATGCCCTAACTTTCTAGGTTTCTTATTTTACAGCTCAACTAATAATATCATAATTTAATTGTATTTATTGTATCAAATAAAATTGATTAAATAGGTGGTATCTTTGTTTTCAGTTGTAATATCAATATCATTCGTTCACCGACAATCTTCTGTATGGCAGAGGGGCTTCTGGACGAACAAAGTATGGACTGTCACAGTGGTGATCATGTGAGTACAGGAAGTATTTGAATTACAGGAATTACTTGTAATTGTGATCGGTTTTCAACGGTTCAGAAATTATTTTTAATTGATATTTGAAACACCAACCACTAAGATATTTTGTAATTCGTTTTTCAAAAATGTATGGCTTCAAAGTACAGCATTGTGTATATATGTATATATATAATCTTATCTTTGCAGCATCATTACTAGTTATGAGTAGGTAAGTAGAGTTTTCTTTCCGTAACATAGACAGTTGGCGACCCTAGACATCAAACTTAGTGTTAGTCACCGTGACGATGGAGTTGATGTGAAATAAACTCATACTAGGTCTGGTTGGATAGTACCCGCAGGCGACCTCTAGTGTTAAAGTTTAATAATGCTTGCACTAAAGTGATTCCAGTTGTGAGATGCCATTTCGAATATATTATCTAGTAATTCACTGTTAGCGATCAGTGTATTACAATACGGTAGGATTGTCAATACTTCCAAAGGATTAGTCTACATGATGATGAGATGCATTTAGTAAAACCTTTTTTTATAATGATATAACAAACTCTGTGCAGTTGAGGATTAATTCTAGTAAGTGTTATGTGTATTCTTCTGAATAGGATTACCCTTCCAATTTTATTCATTCCTTCTCCATTCTTTCATTTAATTATATCCAAATATAATGAGTGCAAATCTACGCTAATTACTATGTAACATTAAAGTGATAGAATGCCTCGGTTTGAGCTAAACTGCAATATTAATTAGCACCTGTCGTTGTAGAGTGTGCTGCCAGGCTGCGTTCAGCTGCAGCATGCTGAGCACGCGCTACGGCTCGTGCGGGCGCTGGGCCACGTGCGCGCGCGCCGTGCGCGTGGAGCGCGCGCTCGGCGCCGGCTACGGCCTCTCGCTGCTGCTCGTGTTCGCGCTCAACGAGCTCATCAAGTGGCAGGAAATTAAGTGAGTCATATGATTCCTTGCACTGCACTTATAACATTATTTATCTACCCTACACTAATGATTACTCGGAATTTTAAAATCTTATTCTCCTCCTTTTTTGAAGTCGGTTAAAAAATTATGACACCCCTGTTTCTGATTTTTCTTTATTTACAAATTTAATAATTACTTAAATCAATCTCACCAAATATTATTTCTATAGGAACTATTGTCAAACCATTGCAAACTGTCAAACTTTTAAGTAGTTTAAAGTTACCCAGAATGACTACCCAAACTATGATTCTGTTCTGCTCTATACATTAGCATTATATTAATTTCTGTATGTTGTTTCCAGAGCGGACGTGCGCAACCAACGCCGCGCCCGCTTGGACTTCGGTACAAAACTGGGAATGAATTCTCCATTCTAACCATATCTAGTCAATTACGCTTTTTAACTATGTTGTTTACCGTAACTTAATATACTGTAACGACAGCCAGTGAGGCGAAATAGTAATAAGAGAAATGTGACTTGTACTTAGTACGTATTTGTACTTACTTTATTTTTATGATATTTTAATGATTTTTGAAATAAATTTTCTCAAATATATTTCTTTTTTCTTCCTCCTTAAGTCCTTTGCTGTATCCCTGACATTCATGATAATCGGATTAACTATAGTAAGGTTTCAAAAGAACATTGATCCATATTCGGATTTGAAAACAAGATAGCCAAAGACTTAATTGACCACTGAGGCAGCGATTTCAAATTCCACGCGAACGAAATCACGGGTACCAGCTAGTTGACTGCACGGATGGCGTAGTGGTTTAAGTGGTCGCCACGCCGCTTAGTACTACGCCGAGTGTTGTGGGTCCGATCCCCACATGGGACGACACTTTGTGTGATCCACAAATTGCTGTTCTGAGTCTGGGTTCTTTGTGTTCGTTTCATGTGTTTGTAAAGTCCCCCACGACACAGGATATATTCCTAATGCGGGAGTTGTATTTAAAAAAAAAAACAAACCAAAAATTAATTTGTTTTACTACATATACAATTATATACCTATTTGACCTACCAGCTTTTTAGGGATTTGCCTTCTCGGCGGGCATGTTGCTCTTGAGTCTCTTACCTTTGTAACTTTGCGTGAAGTATAAATAAAATAAAATGCAAAACCGACTCTTGACTATCGTTTAGTTCAATTGACTAAATGCTATACCTGTAACTTTGCGTAAAGCGTTCAGTCAATGGTTAACAGTCGGAAAATAAATTGCTATAAAATCACATCCAAATATCGGGTCTACCAATAGGGATGACCTGGTTTTGACAGCTCATAGCGGCCATGTTTGATAATGGATCTTTGACGTCTCTTGACATTTGTGTTCAGTTAGGTTTGCCCTTTTAACATGTCACGTTTCACTTTAAACCAACGCTTGGAAATTGTCCAAAATTATTACGCAAATTCGCTTTCTCCTACTGCTACAGTAAGAAACGGTCGTCATAGTGCTCCTTCTGTGCGCGCTATAAATCGCATAATAACAAAATTTTAAAGTGAATTCACTCTTGACGATACTGCTGTGCCTGTGAGACAAAGAAATGCCCGTAGTAAAGAGAATATCGCAGCCGTTCAGGCCAGTGTTGATGCGAATTCAAATCGATCAGTTCAACGACGTTCACAAGAGTTGGGGCTCTCTCCAATGACCACCTGGCGTATTTTGCGGTTGGATTTGGGCCTACACCCATACAAAATTGTTTTGGCACAAGAATTGAAGCCATCCGACCATTGTATTCGTCGTGAATTTGCCAATTATGCACTGGAAATGATGGAAGCCGATGACGATTTTCATCGTAAAATCATCTTCTCAGATGAAGCCCATGTCGCTATTGGAGTGAGTTAACTCCACATGTGGTTCATGAATCACCATTGCATCCGCAAAAAATAACGGTTTGGTGCGGTTTATGGTACGGTGGAATCATTGGTCCGTACTTCTTTGAAAGCGACGAAGGAAACCCAGTTACTGTGAATGGCGAGCGCTATAACTCGATGTTAACCGAATATTTCTTTCCGGCATTTGATGATATTGATGCAGACGACCTTTATTTTCAACAACACGGTGCACCACCTCACATTACTCGAGTGAACGTGGAATTATTGAGTGCAAAGTTTGGTGAGTCGTTAATTTCGAGAAATGGACCGATCAGTTGGCCACCAAGATCGTGTGATTTAACACCTTTAGACTATTTTCTTTGGAGTTACGTTAATTCTAAACCAACATTCGACGAGCCATAGCCGACATACCGGCCGAAATGGTGCACCGCGTCATCGAAAATTGGCGTGACCGTCTGCAAAAAGAGCCCCGGACTGTCATTTGGCCGATATATTATTTAAAACATAAATTGCATAAAATTTCTATCAAATAAATCAATCGGATGCATTTTTCTTAAAAACATTGTGTGTTTTATTCAATTTTTAAACCAGGACGTTCTTATTGGTAGACCCCATACATTAGCAATATACATCATAGCATAGTTATCTTCAATATAAATAAAAATTAAATGCTGTTGGTTTGACTAATTATTTCTTTTATAATGTTATTAATAGGTCGATTAAGATATTAATACATATATAGTATAAGGATTAAGTGGCTTTTTATTTATTACGTTTTAGCTAGTCTAAAATAAATAAACAAATTGAAAACAATTTTTTTATTTAAAACTAAATTATGATAAATTTTGTGATGCTTATTAAATGTTGCCAGTCATTAATTTTTGTTACACAAATTTCTTTGTTCGAAAGGAAGTCAAGTTTACTCGTTTTACTGTTTTACTCCAAATAATCACCGTTACTACGATAGTAGTTACTGCACGCTCATCGACTCGCGGTCTGACGAACCAAATATCTATCGTCCATTTAAATCAGCGCCGTAATTTGCCTGCGAACTATCGCCACTAAATACATAATTTAATTTTTTTTATGGTTAATAACATTACTTTATATCTTTTATTATAACTACATTATGGTTAGTCGGTAAACGCTTGTACTTAATAGGTAGGTAAATTAAGTTCCTATCACTAGGAGTCATCTGGTAAGTCTAATATTTCTTGAACAAATGACGCTACGTCTGTTTCTTTTTGACTGTGCTCTTGACAGAAAGGATGCGCGAGCAGCGCATCATAGTTTGGTCTTTGTTTGTAGTCTTTCTGAAGACATTTCACTATCAAATCCTCGAACTCTGGTGAGAAAGTGCCGGTAGGCAGTCTAGGAGGGTCATCCTTGACGACTTGCTTCAACTGTTCAAAGGGCGTTCCCCACGTGCTGTATGGGAAGGTACCAGTCGCCAGTTCAATCATTGAGATACCGAGTGACCACACATCGCTGCGGATATCGTACTGACCCGGGTTGCCGCTCGGGTCAATTCTCTCCGGCGCCATATAAGGTTTGCAGCCGGCATCAATAGTTTTAGCAACTGAGTCTACCAAGTATCCAGAAATACCGAAGTCACACATCTTGACCTCACCTATTCTGTTGATCAAAATATTCGATGGTTTCACATCCCTGTGAATGACTTTGAGCTCAGAGTGTAAGTAGCGGAGGGCACATACGACGGAGAAAACAATTTTTCCAAGAATATTCTCAGGAATGGTGCGACCATTTTTGTACACTTTGGTGTAGAACTTGTCAAGGCTCATATCCATCACCTCCATGCAGATCCAAACGTCGCCTTCGCGAAACATAGCGCCATAGAAATGTACCGTGTACGGGCACGCGCTCGCTCGCATCGACACGTCCAGATCCATCAGCAAACGTTTAAGCTCCAAAGATTGGTTGTTGAATGTTGCTGTGATTCTCTGCAATTAACAGCAAGTAATGTAATATGGAAATATTATGATGGAAAATAAATAATGGGCATAAACGAAATTCAGAGCAAAAACATTTCTAGTATATACTATATTGGCACTAAAACTAATAAATGCAGCGGAAATCGTAAGCAGTAACATGACAGTAAGTAGGAATAGTAAGTATAGGTTAACAATGAGCAATGATACAAATTAAGTTACGTAAAACTAGTAAACTGGAACACACCATTAAAAAGTCCTATTTAAGACGCTCCAGAGATGGCACTGAACGGTGTCTCGTACACCGTCAGAGTAATCTCTGGAACGTCAGCGTGTTGTCCGCAGCAAAAAGTTCTTTAAAATTGAGCATTAGGGAGGTGATAATAAAACGGATAAATAGTTTACAATGAAGAAAAGTCCTATATAAATCAAGTACCAATGGTAATACCAAAGTAGTGACTTTTAAAGTCTATTAAGTTACTTCAACAAACTTGAAGTTACTACTAATTAAATACTAGGTTTTAACCATTCAAAACAGTCAAATGTATTGAGTTTTCACTAATATTTACATTAAAATCATTCTCAATCATCCATCACATCTCAACAACTATTGTTGCCAATAAAACTGCTGTAGTCATGATGAACCATGTAGAATACTGCGCCATGGTTTTGTAGCTATCGCATAGGAGAACTGCTTGATTTTTTACATGTCAGTATTCGGATTGAAGGACTACAAAGGATTTCGGTTTTATTTATTCGCCTTCTATATATGTTCCAAGGTTCGAAAACAATCGGTACATTCTAAGTGATTTTTATACAAACAAAATACGAATACTTTTTCGTCGAACTATTTCTGGAATTTCTGGAATTTCGGAGCACTTAAAACCTCTACTAAGTTAGCAAAAGCTTTTCGCTAACTGTGACGCCTCCTCTGTGAGACGGTCTATATGTTTGAAAAAGAAAAATCAGTAAGCCACAAAACATAATAGTGTTAAGCGTTGTTAATTTAAAAATCAGCAAAAGCACTATTTATCTAATCTAATTTAATAAAAGGGATTGAAGAACATCACAAAGCAAAGCATAGAGAAAAAAATTGTGAATGAAAAAGACTTGCTAGTTTAAAACAAGAACAAATTCAAGTTTAAAGAAGGAACAGACTGCAAACGTAAATTATAGTGCACTAATAAAAACAGTTACTTGGGCGGCACAATCTAGTACAAAAATAAATACAACTCTTATTTCTCAAACTGGCCTAAAATTACCTTTATCAATATTGTAAATTAATTACTGTTTTAATGTTAGTGATTTGGTATTTTTTTAGAATTATTGAAATGGTACAAAAACCCACATCTAATCTGAAGATGCATCAATACTTAAATTATAAATGTGAAAGTGAGTTTGTTTGATTGTCACACCTAAACCACATAATTAATTTAAAAAATTCATTCACCAATGGAAAGTGGCATTGTCAGCTAGTAAGAAAGGCTACTTTTTACGGCGATAACCGACACACACGCGGGCGGAACTTCAGGCAAAAGCTAATAAGATATAAAATAAAATTTGCTGGCCATAACTTACATAAAAAGTTTTTAAAGGATTTTTCATATGGTATGGCATATTACCACACTTTTTTAGGTTAGCTGAGAAATTACCGCCCAAATAACAAATTTCGACAATGTCAATAAAATAATAGACTTTCTCATTAATTACTTCGGGAATTAACACTTGAAAAAGCATTAAATAAATTTGAATTGTCAGATTTTTGATGAAGTTATCAGTGGTTGAAGACGAAGTGTTCTGCTATTTTTCGCATTAATGCCTAAAGTAATTATTTATAAAATGGAACGGGGATGTTTAATAGTTACTATGACTTTGATTTTCATAAGTAACCTAAGAAGCTAATAACTTATAAACTGTATGCTATTAACAATTTTTCGTTACCCCCATAGCGTTAGGTCCGGTCGAGTAGCAGTTTTGCCGCTTGCAAATACAATTATCAAAGTGGGTTATTAAGAAATAACAATTTAAAAAGCAAATTGATTTTGGAAAGAAAATAATTTAGTTGTATGTTTTTATCTATATATCACAAGAATAAGCTATAACTCGACAGGTTTCTTGGCTAAAAGAATGCCAGGCTGGAAAATGCTGTACATCTTTTAGACAACGGAAGCAGTAATGTCACTACTCTTATCATAAGGAGATGTGCGCGTTTATGCTAATGTACTGCAAAATTGGAAACAAATAATTCTCTATTGGTTTAATTAATTAGAGAGTAGAGAAATGGTAAGGGGAGGATACATTTAGTGATATGTACCAGAGCATTTTGTAAAAGAATCCATACATAAGATTCTTTAATATCTGGAACACAAAACTGTAAACCTTTTTCTTGATTGCCATAGATGAACTTTTCGAGCTGTAATGAAGATTAGTTGTAAAAACAGCTAAATGAGGAGAGGTGGGTTTGCAGGTGCAGTCCATGTAGTGATGGTTTAATAAAACGGAGTGACACCACCCCTATTTGTCACGCAGGTGTCATAAGAGCCGACTAAGAAAACAAAATACACAGGACAACAGCACTGCAAAGAGAAGGAAAACTTGACACAAACCCTATAGCAACCTAAACAAGGCTAAAACCTCATTTCTAAAAAGAGGCCTAAGTCCAACACTTGATGATGTATCACAGGTTTACAGGTTTAGTCATTAATTTGCAACTCCTCATCCCCTTCATTAGCTATGAGTTATGACATCAATATAACACCAACTTAATCTTAAGTCATGATTAAGAGGTACATTTACATATTTTAACTTATTCCTTGAGGTACAAAAGACACAAACCACCGCTGAAATAACATTATTTCAGTACTTATAGAAACAAAAATGTGGTGAGACAAAAATATTTACCTTCACAGCCATAGTAGTATTGCTGGGGATGTGTTTCATCTTCTCCACGATGCCATAAGCACCTCGTCCCAAATCACTAATCTTGACCAAGTCATCAGCATGAACAGTGAATGTTTTATCACCAACTGTTATTGTAGTTTGTTTATCCAAATTGCCTGGAGGTTGACTGTTGAAGATACAGATATATTTGTCAGAATGGCTTTATTTTTATTGTTGTTTAATGAACATTCATTACATACTTTATAGTTGTTTATTTCAATAAAACGCGCTTAAAATTGGTAAAAGTAGTAATAACTATGACCGAATTATAAATTTTTAAACTTTTATTTTAGTTTATGTGAAACTAATCAATTAAGTGATCATTATTATAACTGCATGAAAATTTTTATAGTGCATAATCAAACTTACAACTAAATACGTGAAAAAGATTACATTTATCGCATATCTAATACAATTCATATTGCACAGTCAAAAAATTGCAAAAATTGGTACAAATTCGAGCTTCCCAGGTTCGCGCCAGCAGCTCATGAACAATTTATACTTACACGACCTGTTCCTCTGGCGGCTTGAAATTAAAGCCTGGAGGTTGTTTCCTTGGACGCCTGGACATTATATTAATGTGTTTTCACTAAACTATAATCTCGAAGGCTAGGAATTCTCTGTTTTTCACAGAATTCCTTCGGCAGCACCTTTCAAATGGAGTCGTTCAATTATCAACTCCAAATACAAATAAAGCCTCAACACTGCCCGTACATGCTTAAAAGCATTACTGAATTAAATTGTTATAACAGGTTAAATGAAATATATAATATTTTTCGATTAATACCGTAAATGTTAGAAGGCAGCTAGTTTGACATTACTCTGATTGAAATAGAAATTATTGCCACTCGTAAAAAATAAGACGGGATATATAATATAGGGGACAATATAGGGAAAAAATTGAGTAGGTTCCAATTATTTATTCAGAAAATATCACACAACGTTTCAATCTCGCTTTAAATTACCATGAGTCTTAGATAAGAAATTATTACATTGTCATCACTCAGTATTTCTTGATATTGCTACGTACGGAACGTAACGTAACGTACGTACGTAATTATAAAGTAATTCCAGCATTTTTTATTATTAATTCTTCTGGGATTAAAACAGGTTGGAAAGCGCCATAATACACACTTGGGTAAAACTTTAATTGATACCACAGTATTAAATAAAATATTTATTTGCCCAAATATTTGTTTTATTTCAACTTATACAAAAATACCATTTTAGACTTAGGACATTACATAGTTGTCTTGTTTGGACACAGCTGGACACTTTTTAACTTTGCCGCCATTTGAGACCGTTCTCCTTGCTTCTACACTCCATACCCCGAAAGGGTATACTCAGTATATTAATGTTCTGTGGGGTATACATAGGCATATTTAATGGCCCCATTCTAGTCTTACTTACGAAATAGGGCGCAAGCCTATTGCCTATAACCGAGCATATAATCTTCTTCTTAGCGTGTCGATGACAATTCAAATTGAGTCGGCCCAAAATTTGGCGACGAGTACGGCACTTTCAGTAGCCTCCATCAGTTCCTGTGATGTGCAAGTAACAGGACAGACTGGACACGATATCAAGTGCCCCATAGTTTGTGGGGCAAGACCACACTTACACTCCAGGGCAGAGTCATCTATGAATCTCCACCTGAACAGGTTTTCTTTGCTTCGGCCTACCTGTGTCCGGAGTCTGTTTAGAGACTTCCAGGTCAGCCATGGCAACTCGTGTCCAGGTGGAAGATTTTCGGCAAGTGGCACAAATGGGTTGGGTAAGGAAACGCTATCTTGCCACAACTTAAGTCTTTCCTTAGAGCGTTCACCAGTGAGTGGGGGTACACACTTTAAAAAGCTGTTGCGGCTTTTCAGCCTTTGCGGTACTATGATGTTATTGTGTAGAGGGTGTCTAGCGTCGGAGACCATTTTGGCTCTTTCACTAGAGCTCGCCACCGCTCTGCGAACCACTGGTGGCGCTATGCCTGCCAGTGGATACAGCATCTGTACCGGGGTCGGCTTGAAGCAGCCAGTGATTATCCGGCACGTTTCATTCAGTGCTGTATCCACTAACTTTGCATGGGCTGAACGACCCCACACGGGGCACGCGAATTCACCCGCAGAGAAAGATAGCGCCAGCCCAGTAGTCCGCATTACGTCAGGCGAAGCACCCCACTTTGAAGAGACTAGTCGCCGCAAAAGACTATTGCGAGAGTGTACCTTCTGCTTAATGTTATTGCAGTTCTTGCCGAATGTTAGAGACCTGTCCAGAGTAACACCCAGATATTTTGGAAAGTTGCTGTGCTCTATAGATACCCCACCCCAAACGATGTTAAGTTTGCGGCTCGCCTCTCTGTTGCGAAGATGGAATATGCACGACTGCGTTTTGCTCGGATTGGGCTTGAGTGAGTTAGCGTGGTAGTAAGTGGCTAAGTCGCCAAGAGCATATAATTATACTTCTAAATAAACATACGTGTACTTATAGTTTTCTTAATATGTACATGCATGCTCATTTACACTCAGACACAAAAGATTTGTTCTGTGTTAGGACGGAACTCACGATCTCTGGCTCAGCAGTAAGGATTGCAAACTACTAACTCATCAGGCCCATGTCAATGTAGGAATGGAGATATTATCAAAGAACATTATTTAGAATTTACAATCATCACATCAAACCAACAGCCTTTAGTAGTCCACTGCTGGACATAGGCCTATTCTTAGAAAGGAGGTTTTGGCCTACTATAAAACGCTGGCCAAACGGTTTGGTGTAGGGTTTGTATCAAGTTTTCCTTCACTTTACAGTGCTGTTGTCCTGCGTAGTTTGGTCCCTTAGTCCGCTCCTACGACACCCACGGGATGAATAGGGGTGATGACACTCCGTATTCTTAATCCGTCACTACACGGAATTTACAATACATATTATGAAAGGATGTTAAAAATTATAATGAACGGTTTGCCCTATCCTACCTAAATAAAAGACAAACTAGATGGAAGATAATGTATTTATTGAAAATGAATTTTAAAAATATTTATCAGATAAAAGTTACTTAGATGAATGTCTTATAGCTCTAACTGCATCTTTAGCTTTTTTGACAGCTTCTTCTTTGATTTTATAACGTTTCTCTTTTTCTGCTAATCCAACAACAACATCATGTTGTAAAGCATTCTTAACATTGGCCTTTGCAAAAAGTTTACTTAAGACATAATCATCATCATTTTTTTGTTCTTTTTCTTTCTTACTCTTTTTCTTTTTAACTTTCTTAATAGCTACTAGATTTTCTACTGTAACTTCTGATTCACGGGAATGTCTTCTTTTACGAGATTTCTTGGTTACTTTAACTATATTTATTTTGTTATCTATCTTATCTCTTTCAGGCTTCATTTCTTTCTTAGGTTCCTCTTTGTTAATTTCTTCAGAGTCTGATATTTCGCCTTCACTTTTATGATTTAGATCATTTTCTTCACAATTACTTTTCTCGTCACCATCAACATTTTCTTGACTATTTAATACATTCCTAATCAAATTCTCTTCATAATCTTGTTTAGTGTGCATATTAACTATGTCTATTTCAGACAAAACACTGTCAAAACCAACATTGGTTACTTGATCATTGACTATATTTATTTCAGGTACTTCCATTTTCGGAGGATTTAATAACAATTCCCTTTTTCTCTTGTACTCCTCTCGGGGATCTTTTTCAGTCTCGTCTTCTTTAGAAACACTGGTGTCTTTTGCAATTTTTTTACTTATTTCCTTAGCCATTCTCTTCATTGCTTCTATTCTTTTCTGTGAAGCTGTAACATCTTTATCATTGGTTTTACTATTATTATCAACATTTATTTTAGTGTGTTTGAAAAGAGATGCAGTTTCTGTGTCTCCATCACAATTTGGTTCTTCTAAAACAAAAAGACCTTGAAGTGTGCTTGTCGTTAAAACATTTTTTTGATTAGGGTCTATTAATATTTTATTACTAAGAAAATGTTTAAAAATTTGTCTTTGATAAATTTTTTCTTCAATAGTGCCTGCTGAGAGGAGTCTGTAAACTGTAACATTTTTCATTTGACCTATTCTCCAAGCTCTTTCTTTCGCTTGGTCATCAGTAGCTGGATTCCAATCAGGATCATATATAATCACTCTGTCAGCACCTGTTAAATTTACTCCTAGCCCACCTACTCTAGTGGTAGCTAAAAAAACCGTATACTCTGGATTTTCATTAAAAGTTTTAATCATGTTCTGTCTCTGTCCTACATTTACTGTGCCATCCATCCTCAAATATTTAAACCCTTGCATTTGTAAATACTGCTCCAACAAGCACAGCATGCCTCTCGACTGGGAAAATATTAATGCTCTATGACCTTGCTTATGCCAGATTTTTAATAAAGAATTCACAACAAGCATTTTACCAGATCTTCTGTAATTTCCAAATCTATCAGCATCAATTTCTTCACATTCTTCATGGGCTTCATACAAGTATAAGTCAGGATGATTACAGATCTTTCTTAGAGTTGATAATGCAACAAGTATTCTAGCTCTTATTGGGTCTCCATACCTACTTTCTTTGTCCAAAATACTTCTAACAGTATTACTCATAAGATAACCCATATATAAATCTCTTTGTTCTTGAGTGATTGCACAGAATAAGACCTGCTCATTTTTATCTGGGAGGTTTATGTGCTCTTGGACTTCAGCCTTTGTTCGTCGTAACATATATGGGGTAATTAATTGTTTCAATGCCTTAGCTATTTCTAAAGCAGTAGCTTCTTGATATTCAGTTGCATTTGCATATCCACCCTGTGTTATAGGTGTTGCAAAATGATCCATAAATGCATTGTAAGTGCCCAATAACCCAGGTCTCATAAAATCAAACAGTGACCAAAGCTCTTGTAAGCTGTTTTGCATAGGGGATCCTGTTATAAGTATTTTATGAGGTGTTTGGAACTTTTTCACAAGCTTGCTGACTTGGGTATCCGGATTCCTTATTTTGTGACCCTCATCTAGGATCACATAATGCCATTTCCGTTCAGTCAAATCTTTGGTATATTTCACAACACCAGCATAGGTAATTAATAGGATTCCATGAGAAGCATGTAAATCTCTAATAAGTTTATTATGATTTCCAACATGGGAGCCTGTGTGGTGAAGCACTGCGACTCTTAAATGTGGGCACCAGAAATGAAAATGGGACACCCATTGATAAATGACTGTTGCTGGGGCTACAATAATAGATGGGCCAAGGCCATTCCACTTACCAGAGTCAGTTTTGGACAACCCGGCTAAAAATGCAATTATTTGTATAGTTTTCCCTAGACCCATCTCATCACCCAGTAATCCTCCTGAATCAACTTGATGTAGCTCCCACAACCATTTAACTCCAACTCTCTGAAACTTATACAACTGCTTCCATATATAGTTTGGGACACACAGGCCATTTTGTAGTTCATGAAGTGCTTCAGGTTCTTTGTTACCTTCTAACATATACTTGATGTCAGCTGTCATATTCTCTCCTGTATAGTTACCAGCTTTCACAGCAGCTAAGTTCTTTTTCCAAGCTTCTATTCTTTCATTGTAAGAGTTAATGTCGCCATCATCCACAATTCTTTTAACATTCGGTTTAGTATGTGATGATGATGGAAGAGAATTTATGATTTCGTCATCACCCCCTTCCTCAGATGGCAAATATTCATCATCAGAATCCTTATCTGTGGAAGCACTTGTATTTTCCCGATTATTTGTTTTAGAAACCGGATCAGGAGAATGCTTTCCCAATTTTTTAGATTGTTTTTTCCCAATGAGCTCAGCCGCAGATCTACTTTTCTCAGAAACACCATCATCCTTCCTATTTTTCGTTTCACATCTTTGCTTCGCAAGAGCTAGTTGACTTTCCAGATATTTATTTATATCAACCATTGCAGTATAGTACAGTAGGTAGTACTTTGTAAAGTATTACAACATTCTTTGCAAATTTTCACGATATGCTATTTCACAAAATGATACATCTTTATTACTAAACCATATCAACTCAAATCATAGATGAACAAATCTGGACTTAAACTGGTGTGCAATTAATTATTAATACATTTTGTAGTCTGTAGATTATTTAACTTTTTACTTTGTGATACAAGGAAAAAACTACAATCATGAGTACTTAGAACGCCCTGAGTAGGTAAATCGTGTAAAGTTTTCTTTGTGTCAAATTCAATCAAATTAAAAAAATATTTCATGCCGTTCTGAAATGATTTCCATTAATGGAATTTTATTAGTACAAACTAATTTAAAGGTAATAATTATAACCATTATGACAAGAAGTTGAAATGTATCACATACTATTGTATTTAGAACTATATAACGTTATGAAACCATATAACGAAAATAGTCTCAATATTAGTCCAAATTTTCGAATAATAAACCGAAACAAAAATGACAATAAACTGTCAAAATCATGACATCGCATCGCATAACATAACCACCAACCAAAACACATGGTGCGTGCGTGCGGTGCACGGTGATTTATCTCGTCAGGCGAATATTACCGCGTTTGTAAATGTGTATGTAGTATCAAAGCTACAATTTGTTTAGTTAATTATAGCAGTAACTATTTAAGAACTGTAATTGTTTTCACGGGACAAGTGTTGTAGTCAAAACTTGATTATAATTTTTATTTCATAACCTTGCACATTGTTGTAGTGTTGAAACTTGTAAAATGCAGAAAGTTAAAAGAAAAAGTAACGATAGTCTTGATGTTTCGCCAAAGAAAAAGAAAATCAATGAAAAAGGCAAACCTAGCAGTAATGACAAACCTGGACCAAAAGATGGTGGAATAAAAAATAAATTTAACAAAGATTTAAAAAAAGATGGATTTAAAGGTAACAAAGACTTTAAAAAAGATGGATTTAAAGGTAACAAAGACTTTAAAAAAGATGGATTTAAAGGTAACAAAGACTTTAAAAAAGATGGGTTTAAAGGTAACAAAGACTTTAAAAAAGATGGATTTAAAGGTAACAAAGATTTTAAAAAAGATGGTTTTAAAGGTCCAAATAAGTTTGGTAAACCTGGCATGGGTAAAGGTAAGCCAAACTTTAAAAAAGATGATGCCCAAAGTGAGAAGCCAAAGTGGTCTGAGATGAAGAAAGAAAAGAAGCAACTAAGAGTTACTAGGCGTAAAGCTAAAGCCACCGCTGAAGTATTCGAAATTTCACACAAAGCAAAAACACTAGCCGCTCAGATACAAAGGTATGCCTGCAATATATAATCATTATTTTTGTATTAATTACAGCTTTTTTGTATTATCTTTCTGTTCTTTCTTTCTAGAAAAGTGATCACTGAAGACGTCAGAAAAAAAGCCTGTAAGGAATTGCACAAATTGCTAAAAGGCCACTATAAATCAATAGCACTAACACATGACCTAAGCCGAGTTATTCAAGTCTTACTCAAACACAGTGCAGAAGATATAAGAAATGAAATTGGTGAGGAGTTACTAGATATTATGGTTCAAATGATGCAGTCAAAGTATGCACAACATGCTGTCAAGCGGATAATGAAGCATGGCACAGACTTTATCAGACATGAAATATTGAAGAAGTTTTATGGCCATGTAGTTTCATTGGCCACACATAGCATCAGTGCTCCGGTGCTGGACTATGCTTATGGGGAATTTGCCACCAAAAAAGAGAAGTGTCACATGCAACAAGAGTTCTATGGTGAAATATATAAAAATGTGAGTATGGATTATTTAATACTGGTTAACTTGTTATAAGGCATATGTCCAGCAGTGGTCTATTAAAGGCTGTTGATGATGAAAGCTACTAATTACAGATTTAAGGTAGTATTATCAAAATTTAAGCCATTTAAAAATAGCTTCTGTGATAGGTTAAGAATCTTTACTTAGAATTGGCAAATTAAACACTAGAAACACACTGTGTCATGTACAAAAAAAGGTAAATGTATATGTTTGTTCTTGTTTTTATTTGCTGCTGGACAAGTTCTTTATTAACCATAACATTTTCATTGCACAACATTGACATAATATAACAATATATATATTTTTTTTTTGCATAAAATAAAAACACACTTGGCATTAGCCATTTAAAGTTCATTAATTTATATCTAGTATATAAGTTTTATTTTCATAGAGTAATTGTAATAATTAGGAATAATACATTTATTTATTTAACTGGCTGTACCCTGCAACGCTTATCTGTGGCACATTGTGGTTGCGTTGATGGTAAATGAGGAACAATACTGATGTGAAAAAGAGATAAAAACAATCTTTGAAACCGGTTGTATATCATGTCAAAATTTGAGCTCAATCTTCAATCAAAACTTCTTGAGTTTTTGAACTGTACACAAACCAACCTTACACCTTACCATGGTACTATTATAATACAGTACTCCAACTTCATACAAACGGACGAAACGCGAGCTATACCTACGCGCCTCGATCTTGGGGTGCGCTCGGGGCGCAGACAGTCAAGGCTGTAACGCAGTGTCGAACGGACGGTGTGTTGTTTTTTTAACAAGCACCGCGCGATTTTTTCTCTAAAAAATCAGTTAATATGACGAGTAGGAAATATTGTGCTGTTTTTGGTTGTATGAATTCGTCAATAACGCATCCAGACATAAGTTTTTTTAAATTACCTGGAAACTCTGAAAGGTAAGACTATAAAATAATTTTACTTACTAGTAGGTAGGTACATAATGTGTGTCTTTTTAATGGATAAGTATTTCCTTTTATCTCACGAAAAAAAAGGTGTTTCGATTAATAAATAAAGCGAATAGAGTAACGGAAAATTATTGAGACGAGTGAAATAGGTAGTGTATCAAAATGTATAGGGAGTGAATCAAAAAACAACACGCATTTTTATTGAACACTTCTTATTCAATATACAAAGTATTTCATTTATTTATATAAAAAGGATATTTACAATCACAAATCTAAATAGAAACAGAAAGTAGGCAAATATAATTAAAATGCTGGAGACGGGCAGCCCTAACGCATGTTTACGTACCGCGCGGCTGTAGGCATTTATTTCTATCATGCCGCCGAGTTACAGTACTGTATTATAATTGTACCGTGACCTTACATTTATATGTATATAGATGACCCTGGTGGACTATCACCATATAACAATTACTATCTAGCAAGTAGCGTTTGCCAATTATTAAACTGTTTCTCAAGTCCCCAATTATTTTTCTCATCTCAAATGAGAAGAGAATTAATTTGTTTTCCTAATAGTGAAGACAAGTGTAGACTGGCAAACTGTGTTTTTAAAAAGGTTAATTGTGTTTTATTATCTGTGTGGTGACGAATTAAGAATATAGAGTGTCACCACCCCTATTCATTCCGTGGGTGAAGTAAGAGCCCACTAAGGGAGTATTGAGCCCACTATTGAACTATGCAGGCGCTGTAAAGAGAAAGAATACTTGAAACAAACCCTCTACCGACCTGTCTGGCCAGTGTGGTATAATAGGCCAAATCCTCCTTTCTAAGTAGAGGCCTATGTCCATCGGTGGACTATTAAAAGCTTGTGATGATTGTCGCCTTGTTCCATTTATGTGTTTGCTGCTGTCACTCACTATAAATATGTATTAAAAAATAAGATAATGCTATTTCATAAATGAATATTTTTTAAGTTTAAGCACAAATTTCAATAAAATAAAATATTTGTAATAAATATTGTAAATGAATTTCTTGTTACAGTCAAAAGATGATAAGGTAAAGACTCTCACTGACACATACAAGGACAGTCCTGAAATGAGAACTGCAATGCTTCAGTCTTGTAAAGCGAACATTCAGAAGATATTAGATAAAAATCTACATGATGGAGAGTGAGTTTTTAAATAACCTTATTTTATTAGATGTAAATTCAAGGTTACTTTGATATTCCTTTAATATCTGATAAACCAACAAGTTAAAGGAGTTTTTTTTTAAACCAACTTCAAAAAGAAGTAATAATAGTTAATGTAGTTAATTTTTTTCAAGTGGTCCGACGCCAAACTTTATATGACCCAGATATTGACAATTGAAATACAAGAACAATCTTTCTCCTAGCTCTACGGCTCTATAAAGTTCCTACAAATTCTTTAGTGATAAAACGGTGTATAGAAAATTCTAAAGTTTAAATATTTTAAATAATAATTTCAGATTGTTCCATTCAATCCTGTATGACTACATCCGCGAGTGCAGCCCCGAGGACCGCGCCGAACTGATCTCGACACTCAGCCCCCTCATAGTGCCACTCAGCAACTCACTTCCTGGCGTAAATGCGGCGAGCATATGTGTTTGGCAAGGCACTAACAAAGATAAGAAGGTGAGAGACGTGTCTATTGAAATAATCTTTTAGACATAATAGTTAAGGGGATCTCCAAGTTTTAAATCTTAGAAACCTTTTTATTGCAACAAGATCTCAACAGTAAGAGTAACTAAAGTAAAAAGAAGGGTCACTATTCGTACAATGCTAGCATGATGATCAATCTTCACAATCGGTTTAAATTTAGTTTTATAAATAATGTGAACATAGAAATCGTAGATATCTAAACTATACTTTCAAATTTAATTTCGAATTTGTGACCCTAGTTTTAACTACAGCAAAGTATCTTGAGATTTTTAAATTGATATTTTATTTAAGCAAGCACTGCAGTAATAAATTCAATCAATGGCATTGCATTCTTTATACTATTTAGAAAGAATGCAATGCCATTGATTGAATTTGATTATTAAATTGACTATTGATAAAATCATACCTATTCTTTTAATGTATTTTTATTCTACTGCAACCCTTAACAATAGAGACTGTAAAATACTATCTATTGTAAATATTACAAACAAAAAAAATATATCACAAAATTAAATTAAATTTACTAAGCGAAGTGCGTCTAACGCGTGCGTTGCGCACCCTCGTAGCCACAGATATTGACTTATTTTGATGTACACTGAGTGAGTTCACAAAAACAGCATTATATATTACAAGACACAAACTTAGAAGTGTAAAGCAAGTAATTTTGTAATAGTTACACTATAGCATTAGGATATACCTGTAATGATAGTAATAAGTGTGGATGCTAACAAATAAATAAACAAAATAAATCTTTAAAATGTGGTTTATATGTGAGGAATTAACTTCTTAGTTGCTGTAAAAATGTAAGGATTGTTTGTTTCAAAGGACATTTCGATGACTCTGACTCTGACTGATTGAATTTAAATTTAACATCTCTTGGAATACTTTTTATTACAGACAATGCTGAAAGTGGTCAAGGAGCATGCAGTATCCCTCAGTAAGCACAAGACTGGCTACAGGCTGCTGATCGCGATATTTGACTCTGTCGATGACACAGTACTAGTGAAGAAAGCGATTGTTTCTACAATCGCCAGTAATTTAAAGGATATCGCCAAAGATCATTGGGGTAATATGGTACGTTTTACGTTTGCGATACACAATGTTACAAGACACTTCTTGATGTAATGGATTTTTTTATTTTGCTCTATTATATTTAATTGTTTATGTATTTAAAAAACTTGGCTTCTTTCATAGACATTACACTGGTTAGTCAAGCCAAAAGACTCGAGCGCTTTCCATCCCAGCTTTATTAAGTTTTTGGAAGAGGGCGCCAGCAGCGGTACTTCGAAGAAAGACCCAGAACTTCGAGTGTCGGAGCTAAGGGAGGCAATACTTCCTGCTTTGAAACAAGACATGCAGTCAGACCCTGAGTCCTGGCTTAGCAGTAAGAGTAATATGTTGTTGGCGGTTGCGGTACTCTCTATTGGTAAGCTACAATATAAAATATTATTCTTTACTTTAATTTTGTCTCTAAATACAATTAAGTGTGCAAAACAAGAACATTTCCTGGTATAAAAAGAGTTTGTTAATTCAACTAATCATCAAGAAACTTTAGGATACAGGCAGTGCCGTAACTAGAGGCCAGTGGGTAAAATCGTGAGGGGTGGTCAGTTGGCGTAGAAATAACCAAACAGATGTGGATATCTTTTACTATTTTCGATGGGGCTCAAATACAGAAGCTTGCACCGGCTGCATAAAACGCTACGATACATTCAGGGATCTAGAAAAAACGTAGAGTACCTCTAATATAAAAGACAAGTACTCTAAATCTACCTTATAACGAAGGAAGCTGATAGTTAACTCGTAATAAGTTGTGTGCTCTCAAATCCTCACAAGCTTCTGCCATCATTTATTTTACGGCTATATTTTGTGTGTGGTTTAGATTGAAAAACCGATTGAGGTCAACTAGCAACTAACACCTACGAATTTTAGAGCAAGGCACTGTTTATACCTAAAGTGCTGTTGCTGCATAGGGCACATGCTCATGCTGCATAAAACCGAGATTCTCGAGTTTGACTCCTTCTGATTCAACTTCTACGTTAACATAATCATACAGTACATTAATCTCCTCTAGTTAAGAAATCCTATTGCAACCACTTTTAACCAACTTCAAGAAGGAGGAGTTTATCAAATGGAATGTTTATACACGGTGATTTTGAAAGCGTTTTGGAAAAGAAAATTTTGAGTTATTTATCAGTAACAGAAGCTATATATAACGTTAATTTAATAAAATATATTTTTTTTTATCATCAAAGTCGATATTCATATCGTTTACAGAGAAAAAGTCAGAACCAGTAGTAGTAGGCTATTCAATCACACGTAGGTAAATACTACGAATAGTTTTAATATCGAGTCACATCAAATCGTATTCGCCAATAAAAACAAAGCTACCGAGTTGCGCCGGAGTCGTCCAACCAATGACGTCTGCCCCGTAGGCGCATGCGCGGGGCTCACCTGTCATCGTCAGTCGGTCAGTAATACCATAACATCGTGACGGCACGCTGCATTGATTAGCGCTAAAATAAGTCGACAGTACGAATTTTCAAACGTGGAATACTTCTTGGCAATGGTACAGCTGTACGCTACTGCCAACTACAACTTGGAAGAGGCTCGGCGTTTGTATTCCCAAGCCGGAGCATTTAAATGCACTACGGCTACGTGGAATTGAAAGCCCTCAAATTCCCTCCACATCTACCATCTTGGCTGCAACCCAACGTCTTCTCGACCACGGACAATTTCGTGCGCCTACTCATGCGCAAGGTCAAGGACGTTTTAATTATTATTCGCCGGAGTGTAGTGCGTGCATACCTGGACAATGAGCTTAGTGATCGGACTTAACGCCCCTGGATTTTTTCTTATGGTCGGAAATAAAAAGACTTGTTAATACACGGGAATATGAAAGCCGTGATAATTTACGCATTGCGATAGTGGACGCTTTAAAGTGAAAAGTGATAGAGACACATTAAGAAAATTAAAAAACAATTGCATTAAACGTGGACGTTTGTGTATTGAATGCAGCGGACTCCATTTTGAGCAGTTCCTTCGATACAGAGAACTGTAAATAGTGTAAATAGGTATGTAAGTTAATTATTCTGTAGATAGCTCCGATTTTTTAAATACGCCTGAAATATTTATACCTACAGTCCGTTGATAAATTGATTTGTTGTGAAAAGAACAATCGTGGTTAATAATCGAAAAGAAGTTTAAATAAAATAGGTATTTCTGACGGTCCTAAGCCCGTGTAAAGTATGAAGGACAAATTGGAGTCTATCTACGTAAGTACTCGCTAGCTCGCGTAGGTATAGTTTTGTCAGCTGCTGTTAGCGTCGGCGGTGCGCAGCGGCCGCCGAAACGCCCACGGACGTGTTTCATTCATATAAGATAATGAATGAACGATCAGTCCATTACTACTTTCCAAGTCGATCGAGTAAAAATGAATATTAAAACTGAAACTTTTTTTTAGACAACATTACAATTGATTTAATCATTTTTATTGGTACTATAGATGATTCCAAATTCAAATATTTCGTTTCCAAAACGCTTTCAAAATCACCGTGTATATTCTTATGTATGTTCGGGCATAACTCCGTCATTATATGGACGGATTCTCAAATATTTTTTTATTCGAATAGGGTTTATTCCGCAATGTTCCCACTTAAATTTCATATAGATCTGATAATGAATTTTGGAGGCAGACAACGGATTTTTGCAAAAAATGACAGCAAATCAACTTTTTTTGAAATTGTTTATTGTTTGCTATACAGAATCAACAAAGGAGATTTTAGAAGCTTTTGCAAAGGTGATCTGTAAACCTGACTGGCGGATCACTTCTGCAGATGGTAAGGAGCTCTCCGCAGTAGAAGATGCGGGCATACACATGTGTCTAAAGAAACTGGCTATCTTGGACAAAGATAAAGATAGCGACACTCTGGGCGAAGCTGTGGCTGAATATTTAGAGAATGAAACGGTGAGTTTATAACAACAAACTATTTCAGTTTATTCAACTTGTTTTAGTTTGAAGAGCCCCAGAAACACAAGTTACGCGACGGAAATAGTTCCAATATGGTCAAATGTCCACTTAGTTCTAATGACAAATCGTTAGAAAGCCGGGCAAGCTTTTCGGCTTCCAGATAATTAATCTCGGATAGTTAAAGACAGAATAGTGAAGCGTTTGTCAACTTGTATAATAAATATACATTTTAAAGGTGTTTTCAAATGTATTGGTAGAGCAGTACAAAATTGTGAAATTAAAAACTCTCTGTGCTGTAATAATATTAATGCAATATTTAAAGGCAGTAATGATAACCAAAGCTGTTGGCTTCGAGCGGCAAAATACGTGACTTAATTATTCAAGTAAATGAAATGTTATCGAAATAGGGCTTAAAATCTTATGTGAGTAGTTAATATATTATCCATCCATCAGCTGTAAAGGCGTACGCAGCTGTGTACGCCTTTCAGCTCTATTTAAATGGAATAAGATCTTTTTTCGAAGAATCCGTGTGGCGACGGATTAATAATATGGAGTAACGGTGGTAGCCGACTGATTAAGGAAACTACGCAGGATAACAGCAATGCAAAGAGAAGGAAAACTTGACACAAACCCTATATCAGACCGTCTGGCCAGGTGATATAGTAGGCCAAACCTTTCTTTTCTCAGGAAAGGCCAGTTATCGTCTGCGGTATTGCTGGACCGATACGACCTTTAAACTTTCAAGAAAAGAACGTATTCCTTCCTAAAAGGCCGGCAACGCGTTTGTGACTCCCGAGTTGCAGGCGTTCATGGGCGGCGGTAGTCACTTTCCACCGGGTGACCCGTCTGCTCGTCTGCCCATTCTTACTTATAAAAAAAGGCTTTTGTCCAGCAGTGAACTATTATAGGCTGCTGATGATAAATGACCACCGCCACTCATGGCCACCTGCAACTCAAAAGTCACAAATGTGCTGTCGCCCTTTGAGTCCTCCCTCCGGAAACTGGAGGAGAAAAAAGATTCATATTTTTTATTTAAATTTGAGAAGTACTCGTATATTTCAACGGGCCTGTTGGTCTAGCAGTTGAAGACCCTGATTGCTAAAGCCGGAGGTCGCATGTTCGATTGTCACTAAGAACAAATATTGTGTGATGAGCACGGTCATTTGTTGTGTCAACGAACGTGGCCACCATCTTCTTTGAAGTGCTTCGAGAACGAACACCTTAGTTGGCTTTGGCTTGTCTTGAAAGACCCAGATTGTAGATTGTTGTTTGGAATCAGGATCGCAGGCATAGATTCAAGATTTGTCACCACTGATGATGTCGTAGACTTGATTTGACTCTCATCGGTTGAACCTTTGCAGAGTTTTATTACACCTTTTGACGCGGGCCGCCTTGTGATCTTCGGAAAGCAGATGCGGTATCCAACGGCAAACTAGTTTTCTCACACCAAGCGCTTCATGCATGATCTTCTGAATGGTTGTCCCTGAGATGCCTAATAGAGCCTCTATCTCTCGATACGTCACATGACGATCTTCGAGAATTAGTTGTCTCACAGCAATGATGTTATCTTCAGTGAAGGCGGATATTGGGCGTCCTTCGCGAGATTTGTTACTAACACTAGTATGTCCACGCTGGAATTCTAAATACCAGCGATCGACAGTCCGCAGACATGGGGCTTCATCACTGAACACAGATGTTAGCTCTTGAAAACACTGAAGCCGTGTCAGGCCTCTTCTAAAGTTGTAGAAAATTATTGCACGAACATTTTCCTTAGAAAGATTCATTTTCGTACGTAACTTGACAGATTCCAATCGAAGCTGTGACTAAACAATAGCATTAATCCTAATACTTTCAACTGTTTGGAGATTCAAAATTTAAACACATTCGAATATAGAACAGTTCCAAATTCAAAATTGCCGGGCAATATGTAAACGACAGTACCCAAAAGGCATGCCTAGTATTATTTTACCTGAGTCTGAGCTAACCTAAGTGAGTGTAGTGGCAATATTTCTGTATGCCAGATGTTAGGACTTTACGAATATGAGGCCAAACATTTAATATAACTTAAAACTTTCAGTGTCAAGTTTGGCTGCCTACAAACAGAGGGTGTTTCTTCCTTTTGAAGCTGATGGAAAGTAATAAGGATAATGTCGCCAATGCCCTAAAGAAGAAAATTAAGCCTCATGTTAATATCTTGAAGCAGCAATCATCAGAAGGTGCAAAATTATTGTTGCAATTTGTTCAGAAAAAATAAATTTTAAATGTCCAATGAGCATATTTTTTATTTACATTCTTACTACATTACTATATGAACTGTCTACATATATGCGGTAGATATTTTCTGGCTTTGGATATTTTATTTCTGGAATTGTCACGTTTACTAAAGTTTATATTATTGACTTTTACCAGAGGATTTACTAAGGTAATACATATTCATGCCAATCAAGTTTTCCTTGAGCATATGTACTATTCCAGACTATAATCTATATCTGTGCCGATTTCATCGGGCCGTACTCTTGAATTCGATTCCGATCGATCGAAATTGGAATTTTGAAGTTTCGTACTCTTGAATTCGACGCTAGCGCCATATTGAAATCAAATTGGTTGACGATTTGGAGAACTAACTGAAATTGAAATTACCAATCGCCACACGCAAACGCTACTCTTGAATTTTTTGACAGCTTGTTTGACAGCGATAAATTGAGTTGGTATCGTTTGGAGATCCCAGATTGGGATTTACTCAATAGCCGAAGTGTAACTTTTTTGGAATTGTTTCACGTTTCATGTGGTTTTAACTGAACTATAAGTGGATAATATGGCTCGTTTAGTAATAATGTACAATATTTTACGTAAATCTAAAAAAAATGTGTTAAAACTAAGACGAAATGAGCGTCGAGTGATGCGATATACGGAGAAGGCGTTCTTTATGAGTGAGGAAGAATTTAAAGCTAATTACCGAGTGAGCAAATCTTTATTTGAGGAAATTTTTGAAAATATAAAGCCTTTTATGCCAACTCCTAAGAGAAGAAGTGATATATCACCGAAATATAAGGTATGTTAACATTACAACTTGTAAGGTGTACATACTTAGGTATTTTTTTGTGAGAAGATTATATTATCATCATCCAAATTGTAGATTCTAGCGGCACTATCGTTTTTTGCGACTGGAAGTTACCAAAGGCTGGTTGGCACTCTGATGTCGCAGCAATCTGTATCTCGTGCCATCAAAGAGGTTACAGCAGCTCTCAATCACCATTACGTTCAAAAACAATGGATTAGGTTTCCTCAAACACGCCAAGAAAGAGATGCTATTAAAACAAGGTGCTGTAAAAGTTAAAACTTATCTAAAATACCGTATAATATTGCTAAAAGTAGCCTATAATATAGTACGAGCCCCGATGCAAAATAGTTCGTCTAGTATGGAAAGTAGTGCAAAGCGTAAAATGAAAATGAAAGAAGATAAAAAGTAAACCACAATTTGAGGAACATTTTTCTTTAATTCTTTCATGACTTTACATAACATAAAAAATTTAAAAAAATGTTCTAAAAACATAATGCAAAAGTATTCGTCTACCCTTGTCACTCACTCAATATAATTCGTCTACCACTTAGTTGTGTCGCCTTTGCTCTCAATGACAGCTTTAATGCGAAGAGGCATGGATGCAACCAACACTGCATGCTCCTCAGGTGTAATTGACTTCCAGACAGCCAAGAGATTAGCCTTGTAAGTCGCTCTTCGAGCTTGATCGATTTTTACGGAGAACTTTTTTCATTATCCACCATAGGGTTTCGATCGGCGACAAGTCCGGGCTGTTAGATGGCTATTCGGTTGTAGGGATGCTTTTCAAAGTAGCCACGTCTTCGTTGTCCTTGCAGTAAGGCAGGAAGCACCATCCTGTTGAAAAATGAAGGAATCTTGATGCTTAAGTGACGGAATAGAGGGCAGTAAATTCTCTTCCAAAAGGTTTTGATACCTTGCAGCATTGATAGAACCATCCACAAACTGCATACCACCAATGCCTTGTGCAGACATGCAGCCCCATATCATAAGACTTTCACTTTGCGTTTGAGACAATCAGTATGAAATGCCTCACTTTTCTTCCGAATCACTTTTTTCCTTTCATCGCCGACTGTCACTTCAAATTTGGACTCTTCAGTTCAAATGATACTACGCTACTGGTCGGAAGTCCAATTTAAGTGATCACGAGCAAACTTCAACCTCTTTTTGTTTTGTACAGCAGTCAACAGTGGTTTCTCCTTAGCGGTGTAAAATCCGTAACCCATTCTCTTTAGGACTCTTTTGCAAGTATCAACTGAGACGTCTTTGTGAATCATGCCCTTCCATTGCACAGTGAGTTCTCCAGCTCGAGCACGATGATTATTTTTGATAATTTTCTTTACGATTCTGTTTACTACACTTGTGATGTGTGGTCGACCAGTTTTCTTCAAACAAGAAGTCATTCTATTCTTTTTATAGTGCTGAATGATAGATTGGACTGTAGACCCGGGAAGTATCAAGTCTTTAGATATTTTGTAACTTGATTTGCCAGCATCGACCCCACAAACTATTCGCTTTCGAAGCTCTTCACACACAGGTTTGCCACGACTCATTGTTATTTGAAAACTAATGAAAAAGACTGAAATTTTTAGAATTTATACTGTCTCTTACTTACTTTTACAAATTTAAATTATGCAACATAATTGTACAAAGAAGGAATAATCTTATTGAACTCACCGATAGACGAACTCTTTTGCATCAATTAACAATAAGACGAACTATTTTGCTTATAACTTCTTTGAAATTAAAACTTATTTTGATATGTATAAATTTAAAAAGCTAAAATAGTTTATTGGTTCATCATTAAAAAATGGCATAAGTAACGCAACATATGATAGTAGAACAGCTTAATATTTTATGTAGATATACAAAAATAATGAAGTTAGAAAAAATTTCGCACTAGTCAAACTATTTTGCATCAGGGCTCGTATATGGAAGTAATTTTTGTTGAGACACCTTAGCTTAAAGCATTTAATGTAGTGTAGTACTCCCTAAGTGTCTATTGTTTGTATTAGGCTCATAACTATAATAAAATTATTTTGAATTTGTATGTGATAGCTTTACTATAATAATATTAAAAAATACTTTGTTTCAGGTTTTATGAAAAATACCGGATCCCATCAGTATTAGGATGTATTGCTTGCACTCATGTGGCCATAATAAAACCAACAATCAGGGAACATGAGGAAAGATTTTTTAATAGCAAACATTTCCACTCTAGAAATGTTATGATTGTAAACACTTATTTTGATGAAATTTTTATTAACTAAATAACAATTTAGAGCAAAATTTAGTTCTATCTTTTTATTTATATTTACAGATATGTGATGCAGATTTAAAAATACTGTCAGTTGATGCATCCGTTGGAGGAGCATCTCATGATAGTTTTGTTTGGAATCAAAGTCCTGTGAAACAACATTTAATTGATTTAAATAGTAATAATGAAAATGTTTTTTTACTAGGTTAGTATTATTATGAATAAAGTCAAATATTATGCATTCTTAGTTTGTTAAAAATATGTAATGATTAACATTTTTAGGTGATTCTGGATATGCACAAAGGGAGTATATGATGACACCAATATTAGATGCTGCTGTGGGCTCGCCAGAAGAATATTACACAAAGTTACACTGCTGGGCCCGTAATACAGTGGAGCGCACAATTGGTGTATTAAAAAACAGATGGCGGTGCTTATTAGGCCATAGGGTGCTTCATTACAATCCGAATATGGCAGCCCAAATCATAAATGCATGTTGCGTTTTACACAACATGTGCATCAATAGGGTAGGTATTAATCTTGAGGATAATGCAGAAGAATATATTCATAGTTTTCCACAATTTCTTCCTCAGGAATCATCCAGCAGTGCATCAGATGATGAACTGAGATGTGGAACAGAAAAGAGAGCTGCATTAGTTTGGCAGTTGTGGGCGAGCAGGAATATATGTTAAATTCTAATAACTTGTGTTAAGATTTTAGTTTTTAAGGTAAATTTTATATGATGTTCTTTTGTAATTTTATACTGCATTTATTCTGCTATTTCTAATAAGATTGTATGTATTAATTTTGATATATGTCAATATACAACTCTGTGTAAAAAGTATCGGGAATATGTCAATAAAAAGACCGGCGTAAAAGAGGTTGTTCTAATTTTTTTACTTCATGTTGGTAGCACTGTACTGATTAAGCGCGCAAAATTTGAGCGGGATCTGTCATTTAATTTGTTTTAAACTACACTTTTTGTTAGTGATAGTTTTGAGTCCTCGGCGATTTTTACAATGGAAAATATTGTTGAACAAAAAGTGTGCCTTAAATTTTGTGTTTCGAACGATATTTCTTGTGGTGAATCACTAAAAATGTTGCGAAATACCTACGGCGAATCGTGTATATCGAAAACAAGGGCTTATGAATGGTATAAGGCTTTTAAAGAAGGCCGAGAAGTAGTAGTAGACTTGCCTCGTTCTGGTAGACCTTCAACCGCTACGACCAAAGAAAACATCGACAGAATCAAGTGCTCGAAAATCGACGTATGAGTCTGAGAGAGTTGGCTAGTGAGGTGAACATATCTTTTAAGTCCGTCCACAACATTCTCATTGGCAATTTAGGCATGAAACGCGTCGCCGCTCGACTAGTTCCAAAAGAGCTTAATTTTGTTCAAAAAGCGCAGCAAAAGCATGTCGCTGAAGACATGGTTTCCCGAGCTTCTACGGATCCGACCTTTATGAAACGTATAATAACTGGCGACGAGACATGGGTTTATGAGTACGACATGCAACAGTCTTCAGAATGGCGTCTCGAAAACTAGCCGAAACCAAAAAAACCGCGGCAAAGTCGCTCCAAAATCAAGGTGATGCTGACAGTTTTTTTTGACTACCGTGGTGTGGTTCACTCCGAATTCCTTCCAGAGGGAGAAACAGTGAATAAAGAATATTATTTAGGCGTCATGAAGCGTTTGCATGAGAGTATCCGCCGAAAACGTCCAGATTTGTGGCAACACAACTCATGGATGCTGCACCATCACACACAGCCATTATAGTGAGAGTTTTTAGCGAAAAATTCAACAAAAGTTCTCGACCAAGCACCGTATTCACCTGATATGGCTCCGTCTGACTTTTTTTATTTCCCAAGTTAAAATTACCACTTCGAGGAAAAAGTTTTGAGTCGTTAGAAGCCATAAAAGAAAATTCGCTGAATGAGCTAAAGGCCATACCGCAAATAGCCTATGAAAAATGTATGGTAGACTGGGTGAAGCGGTGGAGATGTTGAAAATAAATTTAGATTAATAATTTGTATTTTTTGTTTTATTGACAAATTCCCGATACTTAGTACACAGAATGTAAATGTTGTCTTTAATGGTATATTTTATTTTAAGTTCACAGTGACATTTAAATTTTAAAAAGTATTATAACTAATATTTTCACAACACTGCTATCTCAATCTTTCATAAATTGTATTTTTAGAGAGTTATTGTTATTTATTGCAATGAGCCAACTTGTGCAAATTCCATAGGAATTAGTAAAACTCAAAGTATCAGTGGCTTTGTAAAACCGAGGTTTAACTATTAAAGTTGTGTTTTAAGTGTTAAGAGATTCTTGGTATCTGAGTTAGCCACATTGTTTATTTCTTGGAAATATAAAATAAGGATGAAGTAAAAGTAAATAGCTATTAGGTGAATTGGGCTTAGACATACACTCTGCATTTCCATTCACGCTTATTTACAATAAATACACAGTCAAATAAGGAAAAAAAATCCTATATAGGTATATATTAATGTTATAAGTAAAAAAAATTGGTTGCCTGTAAAGTCGGTATACGGGCGAAAGTTTTACGTGACAACGACTTTGAGTGGTAAAATAATTTTAATGTGAATATTCATTCGTATAGTAGGAAGAAGGATGAAATAATAGTAACAATTTAAAACATTTATTTATACAAAGAATTATATTTAAAAAAGGGACGCGTGCCTTTCACTTTTTATGTCTGTCTCTCTCGCTCTTAGGCGGGCTAACCATGCCCGAGTGGAAGGGACGCGTGCCTCTCACTCGCTCTCATTGTGAGCGCATAACGTGAGCGGAGCGTAACGCAGTTTCTTGAAGTGTCACCCGGCAAACCAATTTATAAGACGTTGTCACGTCAATAATATCTAATAATGTAAAAACAAAATCAAGGTTCTGGCATTTTCCTTGCTATTTCTGTGCATCGCCAACTGATAGCAATGCTTCAGCAATCTTTGCTAGTGCTTGGGCTGCTGTCATCTCCGCTTCTACGCGTCGGGCTTGTATGTGTGAGAACCGTTCCATGAGAGAGTCCATGGTTCTCACAACACGCCGGCGTGGTCTGGGTATGTTGCTTGGAAGCGGGGTGGATGATGCAGGCACTAAATTGTAACAAACACAATTACATAATATAAATTTCATTTTATTTGTTGATTATTTTATTAATTAAACACAATTAACACAAACTAAACTTCAATGATAAAATAGCACAGCTACTCAGATTTCAATCTCTAATTCCTATTAAATTAAATCTCTAGTATGCGATAGTGTTCCATATATATATCATTATACTTCTAAATCTAGCTCTAATAATCTTAGAATTTAATGATTGTAACTCGAATAAAACTTGATAAAATGACTACCGTTTATTGATTATTACTACTTAGTTGTGGAACGAGAATACAACAATATCGTCTATACGGCCTTACTAGTTTTTAAAAAGAATGTTTTGCATTTTTAAATAAGTTTGATAAAAACTTACTTGTGGTGTGCGTTACCCCAGCAAAATAATATCGAAAATGGTCATTTAAACGTTATAGATAATTAGTTGCCCCCTTCTGTAATTGTTAGGCACATTTTTAAATTTGTTTCATTTAAATTTATTTAGTTATTTCAAAAAACATTGCTGGGGTAACGTTTGAAACGTTACCGCAGCCAGACATTTTCTTTTTTAATTGTAATATTGAAATAAATTTTAGCTAAATAATTAGTTATCTGGACTAGGTAAATGTTACAACTTATTTGGTATTTCTATTTTCTTCGGCTCCGAAGTTATTCGAGATCCTGCTGGAGTAACGTTTGTGGGTTTGCTGGATCTCTGAAACGGGTAAGCGGATTATAACCATCTTTTGTACATAACTTCTTAAGGATTAGTTTTAATTTGTTTAACAATAAAATAACAAAAATAATGGACCGTTTAAAAATTATTTAAGTAAGTTTGAAAACTCTTCAATAGGTACGTCCTAACACTTTGAATAAGACCTCTAAAGACTTACTTTAATCGTTATTCTATTGCTTGTAACTACCTTCAAATGTATACGAATTTTCGTAAGTATACTGTAAGTGACTAAAAAGTTATGATGACATGTAGCTCTCCACGTTCACGATCACAATGTGTGCGGCCTTTTTTGGCCACCGATAAACCTGTGTGTGGATATATAAACTGAATGTTATGCCAATAATTAGTTGTTTAGTTCAGTTGTCTACCTGTAAAATTTCAGCGTCGTACATATAATAATTTACGAGATAATTAAATAAAAGTCATTAGAAGGTGCAAGACCGTGGTAACCCGACCATGTTTAGGTGGTTACAAAAAAGCGATCACCCAGTACATTGCGCTGTCTTTTAAAATGTTTAGTGTAATACACCTTACGATTTCGGTACAGTTGCGTAAATACATTCAATATTTATTCATTATTATTACCTATTATTTATTTTGTTTTTTTTTCCTAATGGATCTTAAGCACTAGTTTCTTTACTTAAAATTCTTTAGTCTTTTTAACTACCGGAACTACAATCAACAGAAAATCTGCACTTTCCCGCTAAAATTATGAATATGTAGATACATGTATGAACGATTTACCTGACTGCAATAAATCGAAAATTTAAACCAATAAGAAATCGTTTCATTTCTTTGATTTTTTTTTGTAAAGAAATAACACTGTAGTAATGGTATTTTATTTTGAGGTGTATAGGGCTTGAATGCATCAAAATATTTAAATCAACAAGTCATCTACAATAAGTTAAAATATACCATAACAGTAGAAGAATACAGTTGTAATTTAGAATGCATCAACATTGCATCGCTCAACAGTCGTATACCTCGTAAGAGTAATATTGTTCTGTGGTCTATACCGAGAACCGAGAATTATCTATACCTATGTACCTACCGCTAAGCGTTGAGCCCGTGACTGTTGATTTCTGTTAAAAACGAACAGTTTTTAAATGATATTTTGATATAATAACGGTAATTTAATTTATCGAGTGAAAGTGATACATTTTTATAGATAAATTAATAAATTTGGTCAGATAATATTTGTCAATCAAGAATCACCGATAATACATCCTTAGCTAGAACGCGGGAGGGGAAGGGCGAAGGGGTAATTCATTGTTTGCAATTTGCATCTAGTGCACTCAACTTGACCCTTAGGCAGATAATATACGTCTTGTAAAGTGCGTGCGCGCTTCCGCTTTCTATTTTTGCAAATATTTATCGTATTCTTGAGAGTTCTTCAATATGTGTGTACCTAATTACTAATAATGGGCATTAATGCTAATTAGATTCAATTTAAGTCATTGTCAATTCATTCATTAGGTCATTAGGATATTAATTATTAATGCTAATATTGAAATTTTGTTCGAGGTGAACAAATTAAAAACGATCATAATTTGTAGGTAGGTATATCACTTATTACTAATTTTACATAAATAATTTATTTTATTATAATTTAACTCATCGCGATCAAATATTGTCTACTATTTATTTTCTCCAACATTATTATAGAAATAATGCAATACAGAGTTTATTCGCGATATGCTAGCCTTAGTCGAGTCATCACTTAAAAAAATCCCAATCTATTCACAAAATACCTATTTACAACGCATACGTTACACTCTTCAAAACTTAAATTACCTATACCTACCCTAAAATTAAACTTCAATTAACAAATACTACACAGGTACCAATTTGATGAACAACTATAAAAAATTCAACAAAACATTACGAGAAAACAAAAGCATTCAAAATAATATCTACCTAATCTCCGGGCTAATTACTAATTATGCAATAAACAATCCTAAATAAAAATTATTTAAACATCATGTACTTTTTTGTAACACTTATGTACATATCCGTACTGAACTTGCAAATAATATCCTACATATTTTAAAAGCCAGCACAATGTACTAGGTGATCGCTTTTTTGTAACCACCTAAAGATGGTCGGGTTACCACTGTCTTGCACCTTCTAATGACTTTTATTTAATTATCTCGTAAATTATTATATGTACGACGCTGAAATTTTACAGGTAGACAACTGAACTAAACAACTAATTATTGGCATAGCATTCAGTTTATATATCCACATACAGGTTTATCGGTGGCCAAAAACGGCCGCACACATTGTGATCGTGAACGTGGAGAGCTACATTTCATCATAACTTTTTAGTGACTTACAGTATACTTACTAAAATTCGTATACATTTGAAGGTAGTTACAAGCAATAGAATAACGATTAAAGTAAGTCTTTAGAGGTCTTATTCAAAGTGTTAGGACGTATTGAAGAGTTTTCAAACTTACTTAAATAATTTTTAAACGGTCCATTATTTTTGTTATTTTATTGTTAAACAAATTAAAACTAATCCTTAAGAAGTTATGTACAAAAGATGGTTACAATCCGCTTACCCGTTTCAGAGATCCAGCAAACCCACAAACGTTACTCCAGCAGGATCTCGAATAACTTCGCAGCCGAAGAAAATAGAAATACCAAATAAGCTGTAACATTTACCTAGTCTAGATAACTAATTATTTAGCTAAAATTTATTTCAATATTACAATTAAAAAAAGAAAATGTCTGGCTGCGGTAACGTTTCAAACGTTACCCCAGCAGGAAATGTTTTTTTGAAATAACTAAATAAATTGAAGTGAAACAAATTTAAAAATGTGCCTAACAATTACAGAAGGGGGGGCAACTAATTATATATAACGTTTAAATGACCAAATGACCATTGATCGCCAGCAGCGAAGTCTAGCCCACCCATCACCACCACTAATCTTTTATCTAAAGCCGACAATGCTGGCAAGCTGTAGGCTGCCCCACCTCCTGTGCGCCTCATCAAAGCAGAAGTTTGTGCGCATTGTTTTTTCAGCGCCCATTTCTTCTCAGCCCAATACTAAAAACATTCATATATTAAAATAAATTGGCAATTTGTTAGGGAAACGATCAACCTTTCATCTTTCACTTCAGATTAATGTAGGCAACCTAATATACCTCTCTGCCTTTCCCATTATCCTCTAATCACTTTAGCCTGTGCTGGAGCCGTGTGCTTTTTTGTTACCTTAATAGTGTAAAAATATACTAAGAATCGCAAAGTCATAATCAATTTGAAAGACATCACCTTAGCCCAGCCTTGACCGTCTTTAATAGCTCCTCCAAGAGTCCGAAGCAAACCCTTAGCAATGCTCGGGTTTTGCTCAAGGAAGTCGACCAAACCTTCCAATTGACAATAACTTGGGCGACTTGTCATTTTTATTGCAAAGACCAGACTTTTATTGTATAAAACAAGAATAATGGATTACACTGTTTTATTTCACGTGAACATCTATCTCTTTAAAATAGTAAGGGTGCTTGTGTAAATATTTACTTACCAATTGATAGAATCATTCCAACCAAATGGGAACAAAATATATTATATTAATAGGAATAGGAACTACTAATTTGTTAGGAATAGGAACAATAAGCTACTTGTCCAATTTACCGCTTCAGAATTTTGAAATTGGAGCACTTTTATCGCTTGTGAAGTTAGCCACTTCATAGTAGGCAACGGTATAATCACATACAGTCAATAGTGTAGGTTATTTTAAGATTAAAATAATTTACTTGCAGAAAAAATAATTAATAACGTTGCAAATAATCAGTCGAACAATTGTTTTTATAGTATTTATTTATTAGTCTTCTTGTTGATACAATTGACCATTTCAAAGCTTTACTCCTGGTTTATCGTAATGTGTTAAACAACTCTAATGCGGCGGTTACGTAGCTAACTTCAAGTGTCACCGTCGTCAAGGCAACGCAATCGCCGGCCGATACCAATTTCAATCCAATTTGACAATATTGTTTTCAAGAGTACCGACTATAGTGACATTGAAATTGGAATTGGATTACTATTGGATTGAAATCGGAATCGAATTCAAGACTAAGGCCGCTATTCGTCGCTAGCCGTTCAGACATGATTGTGTAACAAACATTCTATCCTCACAAACTTTCACATTAATGGCAATAAGAAAGTTACTTAATCATCCATACCGTTAAGTACTCTATCTCTGGTGAAAAACCAAACATTCTCATAATTGTTTGATATGCATATATTTCAGTTAGATTAACCGAGAGAAATTGTAATTAAGACACTAGAAATTAATTAGCGCCCGATTACTTCCAAAACCGATGTCGCCTAATCTTAAGCTATGGTGCATCTTAACCCTTACCGATGAAATGTTATGCCTTCATTAGTTGAATTATACGTCCCTGATCCGTTTCTACAACCCATTATGTGGCAGTTCACCATTTTAACATTATAAATTCACATACGACGCTCCGAGCAAGTATATCACGAATGGTGTGAATTTCTGTAACTGGTGCGACTTCTAGTGTCTTATTATTACGATTTCTATGGATTAACCAGATGTTTTACATCGAAATTATGTAACGACGACAATATTCGAAACTTAAATACTTTATTACATGTGTGAGGTTCAATGTGAGAATCTATTAAATGACTTTCAGTCATAAGGAAACACGTTACACAGACAACTATAAAACTTGCAATTAGAATAGTTATGTTATAAAAATATTTTCTTGTAGAAAGAGACTTCATTACAAACAGATTTCACTTATTATTATTACACCCAAACCTTGCCTATGTCCTTATCTTCCAACTGATTGATTACGTTCAAAGATCTTTGCAGCAGATCCTCTTCAATACTTTCTATTGATCTGAAATAACAGAATATTATTTAAAAAAAATCCTAAGCAGTCGAATGTTCAAAAACACTTAACAAACTTATAACCCCCCGACGCAAAAGCGTCGGGGTGTTATAAGTTCGACTTGTCTATATATATATGTGAGTGTGTGTGTGTGTGTGTGTGTGTTTGTGTGTGTGACTGTCTCTGGCATCGTAGCTCCACAACGGATAAACCGATTTTGATTTTGTTTCTTTGTTTGAAATGTGAATTAGTCAGGAGTGTTCTTAGCTATGTTTGATAAAATTGGTTCAAGATGTTCAAGATTTCATTTTTTTGTTCGCGTCAAGTTCGTATCGGTAGAAGATAAAAGAAACAAAGATAGCTTAGTGAATATACACATACATACATACATATACAGTTTGAAGTACTGCGTATCATTTATTATTAATTAGCCGAAAAAGAATCACTACACTTTTCATTAGTGTTCGGCTCCTTTTGGTCGTAGCGAGATGTTATATAAGCTATAGCCTTCCTCGATAAATGGACTATCCAAAACTAAAGTAGTTCCTGAGATTAGCGAGTTCAACCAAACAAACTAGTCATGTTTAAAATATTAAAGATTATAACGCATTCTGTGAGTTTAAAGTTTATGCCTGAGTGAGCCAGGTTATAATAATATCAAAGTTATGCTTTTTTTACAACTCCTATATGTTGTTGGAATATAAAGATTTGGATAGGCAAATGAGTTTAATGAATACCTACATTTTTTATCAAACTTACCTGTTGGCGTCCAAAACATCCCAGTTGTCTTCTTTCAATTCCATATATAACTTAGATACTTTCTCCTGGAAGTTTAACACCTCATATCTAAAATACAAGTATATGTTATTACTAATGTATGCTTATAAATAATTACCTTATTAAGTTTACAATAATCTGTCGATTCTTCAAATTGATTCAAATGATTGATTCTTCAAAAAAAAACTATGGCACTGTAAAACCATCTTAGTTTATTACTTGTATTATTTAAATAAAGTATTAGCTGGCAACCCTGCTATTCTTGGCCTAAAATAAGCATCAAAGATACTTTGGCATTATCGATCCCCACAATGAGGGGTTGAGTTGAAGACACGTCTTTTTAAACACCGCGAGTGTGGCGTCCAATTAATCTAATGATTACATAACGAAGGGGCCAATTTTATTGGATTATTTTGTAACACGAACCTTTCATTGCCGAATCCAGCTCTTTGCATAATCATTTCTAATGGCATGGTGAGAAAGAACACCTTGTCTGGTTTAGGCAGGCCAGCATCACATGCCTTGCACCACTTGATGTCCAGACCTGTGCAATAATTACAAAATTTTACAAAGCTTTTTAGTAAACAGAAGAAGAGAGTAATTTGCTATAGGTACCTATTTGGGCTGAGTATTCTTAACCTGGAAGTAAAATTTTAAAAATAGTTCTTTAAGTGATTAACCCTAATAAGATAATCTAGAGTTGTTTTCGTTATTTTTTTACCTCCAACGAATATGAGCAGTTACCAATGCTTATAAACACTATATCTACTAAAAAGATTGTATAATTTTTGGCATGATGTGGTCTCCTGTAATTTAAGAATCTCATCAACTGGATGTTATAGTAAACCTAAGTCGGTAAATCCTTTTTGGAGGTATGATGTCATAAACAGAGACATTAGACACACAGGTGTAAGTTTTTTTTTTTAACAAAGAATAAAATTAATGATTGAGTATTGAGTAAATTTTTGCATCATAAGGCCAATTCTCTTGAAAAAAGTTCGGTGATAATTCAGTTCCGATCAACTTTCGTTCTCACAACTGTCATAAAAAGTATTTTCGTAGTAAAAATGTAAAGTATTACGAAGACTAGCAGATTACCGATTCAATTTTCGGTTACAATATAATAACATTACAGTCAACGTTAAATAATACTAAGAAAATGCCTTTTATGACAGTTGTGAGATGGAAAGTTGATCGGAACGGAATTGGGACCTACCTTTTATTACGAGAATTGGCCTTCAGGTATTAGAAAACGGTGTTATATTTATAGATACTTTTAACTAAAATAGGTCGTTTATAGGGTACAAGGGCTTCCATAAAGGGGTAGCTATAGTTGCAGTCATACATTTTATTCCAAAAATTATTTTACTCAATCACGTTATAGAGCAGACAATTTTAGACTTAAGAGGGAATTAGATTTTCTACATTAAGTTTTCTTTTACAGAAGTAAATTGGGATCTTTATATTTTAAATAGAGACGAAGAAACGTTACCTTTTGCAGCTGAGAAGGCTACACCAGAATAACAATATCTGTCTACGATTACTGTAATGCCAGCTTCTAATGTTTTTACTAACGTTTTGGCTCTTTCCCATCGATTCGCTGAGAATAGCAAGTGGATGACTTCATCTGGCAGCTCACTCTACAACGTTTTTAAAGCATATTTAAGTTACATGTACCTTCTTACCTACATCTCTAATAACCACTATTGTAAGTTAATTGTTACAATTATTGAATAATCTGTAATACACTATCGCCTGGCGATGGCAACTCAACCAAATATATATTTGTAATACTTATAAACCACGCTATGCAGAGCCCTAAGTAAGTTTGCCAATAATTATACATTTTTTTAACACATATTTTGTATTCTTTAAAATGCTTTCTACACAACTTCTGTGGATAAACTTCAACTATTCCAAATCTATCCTGCCCTATAGCGGCTGCGATTAAATCTTCCAATCGCAACTACCATCCAGAATGCTGAAGACAGAGTGAGATGGAGGAATCTAGTGGAAACATCCACCAAATCATACACGACCTTCATTAATCGAGGACGCGACTAAGAAGATGAACATCACACATCACATTTTTATTCCCGTCGAAAGCCGAAAAGGGGGTACTCTCCTTTTCGGCTTTCTAGGCTCTAATCAGCAGATAGACAAGTGGCAAAATAAAGGGCATTTTTTTTTCACCGAAAGAATACAATGCTTTACAATAAGCATTCCAAAAAGCACTCAGGGTTTTCCGGAATGCTATACGTAAATACACATGAATCTTATACATATACACCATCCATACATGTGTTGTACATAAGTATGAAAAAACAGTAGAACATTAGGTACCTACACCGTACACCATTCGTGAATACACGGCCGATCGCCGTGCATCAACGTTTATTTTTATAGTATAAGGGGGCAAACGAGCAGACGGGACACCTGATGATAAGCAACTACCGCCACCTTTGAACGCCTGCAACTCAAGTCACAAGTGCGTTGCTGCCCTTAAACGTAAACAAAAACCGGTCTTGAAACAAGTATCTGCACCAACCTACAGGTTGTTCAACAAATAAGCTTTAAATTTATATTTGATATTACGTTTTGTAATGCTTTGCACAAATGATGGGTCGAAGCTATTAATTAGCAGCGGAATCAAATACTGAGTAATTCTCACACCGTAAACGTTAGTTACACTAATTGTAGTAAAGTTCCTGTTAATTTTGGTCGCGTTAGTTTATTATGAGATATTTCATGAAGGATGTTAGTGTTGAAAAATTGTTCTTTAATGATTTTGGTGTGTATCCTATATACCTTAGAGTGTTTAAAAAGTTCAAATTCATTGCATTGATATTTAATTTCAATATTGAGGGGAACGAATTTTTTTTAGGAATTCTAATTTGTACCTAAGTTGAGGATACGATTAAGGTGGGTCTTATAAGTTCTACCATAACTAGTTATACCATAGTTTATGACAGAGTCGACAAGGGCATTATATAGCAAGATCCTAGTCCTGTAAGATAGTCTATAGTTTATAATATACAAGTTAGCAAGGAAAGCTTGAAGTTTCTCACAGACTTTGTCAACGTGGGGAACCCAGTTGAATTTGCTGTCTAAGCCCAAATATGTGTGGTTATCTACATTTTTGGGACATTCGCATAAAGTACGATTACTATGTACTTAGACATGAGTGCTCATAAGATTCTAGGACTCCACCAGTGAGATAGCGAGTCCTGTTATATGGTGAGGTAATGTGCACGAGTTTACTTTTGTTTGAGTTAAAGACCAGATCATTATCATGACACCATTAATTATTTATGTTGTCAAAATCAGTCTGCATTTTGTCACGAATGTCATGATCTGCGACTATTAGACAGGTGTCGTCCGCATACTGGTGCAAGGTGCAGTTTTCGAGTATGTTATTCATATAGTTGACGTGGGAGATGAAATGAAGAGGACCCATCACAGACCCTTGTACCGTTTCTTTCTCAGTCAATACAACTTAACTACAGGTATTATTCACATTAACGCAGTAAGATCTATTTTGTAAGTAGTTCCTACACCAATCTAACATTGGTCCACGTATACCAGTGTTTTCAAGTTTGATAAATGATTTAACGTGTCACATGCACGTGAAAAATCAATAAAAAGAGCTAATACGTGTTTCTTAGAATTTAAGCATGAATTTATATGGTCGGTAAATTCAGATAGAAGGGATGTTGCGCATTTGCGTGGTTGAAAACCGAATTGATTGTGAGCAATAATTTTATGTTGACCACTTAAACGTGGTCCTATGCATAATATTAGAAGTGATCCCGTTTCCATTCGTTTTTCGTAGCCCAGCACCTGATTACCATAAACTAGAATATTTACACATATGTATAGTTGATCCTGCAGTCGTGATCGTTTTTTACATATACTAATTACTACCATTTGTAACGATTGAAACCTTACAAATAGGATTTTAAATACAATAAATAATAAACAACACAAAATTCAAACCTTTGATTGTAAATAGCTGTTGATTACTTTCCCAACCTCTGTGTCTCTGGCCGGAAAATTTCTGTACTCGGCAGGAATATTTTTATTCTTCAAGTTTTCAACTGTAATAATGAGATACATAGTTTAATTAGAAATTCTTTTTGGTTTCATCTTTTGACTATTTATAGGCCTAAAAACTCGTTACTGCTGTTTTGTATAACCACGACAAACTTTCTTATGCTCTACGTTACCGTGCTTTAAGTTTTATCCATAAACCATATATTAAGAGCCGTTAAAATAGTAATAATAAATAGTGAAGTGTAAAACATCCAATGAAACATATTTGACAACAAAATCTAAGTCTATTTCATAGACCTTTCAATACCTGTAAATAAATATTTCCTTTAATACTCGAAAAACACATCAACTGAATAACGATTTATCAGTTTTATATTTCTAAGGGTTTTTTGTGCCTGATTTCTTAATAGATGGCGTAAATAGTTTCTTGGCTTTATAGTGGACTAAGCTTATTCTGACGAATAAAAATATTACCACCACATCATTTTTGGCACATTTTTACACAAAAAGATTTTGGAAAATTATATTAATTTAACTTTATATGCATTATCTAACTTTTATTTGTTCTTACTTTTTTCGTATTATTATCAATGTAGGCAACTGAATGTCCAAAATCTTGTTTAGTTTATGAATGTCACTATCACAATTTTATTTTTGATAAGTTGATAACTTAATGTTTTCATTAGTGATGTAACGAATATTTTATTTATTATTCGCAAACACTAAAACTTAGAAATTATATTTTTAAGTACTTATACATAGCAGAGTATTATTAACTATGACCTAAGCGCGGCACACACTACAAAAATACGACAGCAGTCCATCCGAAAGTTTTACACACTACACAGGTAAGATTCGCATAAGGCGGACTTAATGCCATAGGCATTTTCTTCCAGTCAACCTTGGGGTGATGCAGAGATGTGTGTGTGTGGCACGAAACGATGCATTCATTCGAAATCATTTAAACAGACGACTTGTTTTTTGTGCGGGTCATTTCTATAGGATTTAATAGACAGCTCGTTAGAAGGATTCTGATTTTAAATTTAATGCACGTGTTGCGTTAGAATATCCCAGAAGCTAAACAATTTGGTTGGAAGATATTAAAGTAAAAAAGGATTGAGATGAATTTAATAGCTCCCAATCGGGTAATAAATTTACAATCCATTTCCGAAACCCAAAGGCGTAGGGTAGCATTTATTTATGATTGGATTAAAGAAAACATTTCTACCAAAGAACGACTTGTATTTATCCTATTATCGTTTCATAACTGTTACATTTCAAACAATATAAACTTTCTTACAACTATACTTGATACTTCGTAATTTAATAATTGGCGTGTTAATCGACTGTTACTATATAAACTATATATTATCTGTCCGCTGTGAAGTACCTAAGTATTAAATAAATAAATATATTTCTACCATAAATTGATAATAGCAAACTATTTGGGATGTGTAAAGGAGATACAGCTTTACTACCTACTTACTTATAGTGGTCACGCTATTTTGAACAGTAACCAAATATTCTCTGGCTAAATGAGAACAAATACCATAATAATTACTTCTAACCATACACTACAATCAATTAATCAACTCATAATATTTTTATCGTATTTCATTTGAGAAGTCAACATTCGCATTTGCATTCAAGAATAGAAATTTTCGCATTCGCAAATATATAAAATGTGCACCTTGTTCATCACTAGTTTTTACTGAACTACGATTATGTTACTTAATATTTATTGGCTGTAAGATTTTACAGTCCATATGTCACTAGGAAGTTACTCATATCTGAAGATTAGATTATCTATTTTTTACAAATAAAAATCAAGGCACATGCACTTGATAAGACTGCTTGACTGGTGTAGACTGGTATGTAGGTCTGCCTAGATAGTAAGTATGGGGCATATATTTTACCATACAGAGACTCTTGTGCCATTACTAATTGAGGACTTTTCAAAGCAGTATAGCAGTTACATCATTAAGGAGTATTGATTAGAGAAACTCTGTCAATAACCTGCAGTGGATTAGTTTAAACTCAGGATTGTTTGGGTTCTTTTTGAGTATTCCTTTAGCAACCTCTTTATGAATATGAGCATGGTGGGTAATTTTAATTACATAGTTTTGGCAATTATGACTGATAAGACATGTCAATGAGGTGTGCAATTTATTACTAATGTACACTAATATTCTATATAAGACCATTGACAATAGCCAAACAAATTCTTGTTTTAATTGGTTTATTTGTATAAAAGTACCATTTTATAGTTTGTAGTAGAAGTGTTGCAATACTTGGTCATTCTAATTAAAGGTAACTTTCAGTCTGATGTCATATAAGCAGGGTCAGAATAGAAAATGGGGCTGATGACTTTGATCAAGCTCTCTCGCTCATACTTATCATATTATAAAGTAATTAGCCGAGTAGATTGGTCTATGAATACAAATTTATTTTGCAGCAAACATTCTTCTTTTTGCTTTGATATTACATAACATATATTTTTTTAATATTCTTAATGCAAAGGTAACATTTGTGTGGTGATGGACTAAGAATGTGGAGTGTCACCACCCCTATTTATCCTGTGGGTGTCGTAAGAGCCGACTAAGGGAGCAAACTAGGTAGGACAACAGCACTGCAAAGAGAAGGAAAACACACGAACCCTATACTAACCCTATACCATGCTGGCCAGGCTGGCCAGCATGGTATAGTAGGCCCAAACCTACTTTCTAAGGAGAGGCCTACGTCCAGTAACGGTCTACCTAAGGCTGTTGATGATGATGATGATAGGTAACGTTGGCAGTCTGTCTGCATAAACTGTTGAATTTTGGTCAAATTTTGGTGTAGAAATAAACAGACTGTTGAAGAAGAATATAAAAAATTGTATGGGTATCTGTCCCAGATGAAGTTGCAGGCACAATATTTATTTAATATATCTTTGTTTTATGATGAAAATTTATTCACTAATACATATAAAATTAGCACATAAACTTCTTCTTTGATAAAATATACTGACACTGATAATGAATAGTAAATAAAAAAAACATCCATTTTAATCCTCATAAAATAACAAACCTGTAATTACAACTTAGGTACATAAAAGAGTTCGTATTCTTATACCGCTTACATGGAACCGGTTGTAAACGCTTAGAGACAGTATTTTAAGAAATGCACTTTCCTGGAAATAAAAACAATTGTAATTAAGTTACCTAAAACTTTAGCTTGAGTCGATTTTCCTGTCCTGTCCACTCCTTCGATTACTATAAGAGCACCTCGTTTCATTTTCAGATGCAATAACGTACACGCTGCAATTTGAAAAGTAAATATTTATAGAAGATTGGCTATGTGCTTTTAATACGTTAAATCATAAAGTACTAAGAACCGTGTCTGATTCTATTACTTAAAAGATCAGCTTAGTACAAACACTTACACTAAAATGTATAAAATAATATCTACAATAGTTATTAAAATAACATAGATGTTTAAAATCGAGAGATTGTTGACAATGGTTGCAAATTTTCATTTGTCACAACAAAATTTTAATTTAGTGTTGTACTCAAGTCAAGTCTCAATGTGCTCGTCATTGTTTTACTCAGATGCTCACTTTGCTCAGCTGTTGATTTTTCTTCAATCAAATTATCAAATAAATAAATATATTCATGTTGACAACAACATGACAACAGACTTTCAGAATAAATACAATTTTCATCACCCACATCCCATCATCGTAAGTAATATAATGTTAATGACATCTCATTCATCATATGTGAATATTATCACCAACAGCAAAATATATGTACTCGTAGCTCATAGCTTCCGGCTTCCACCAAGAAAAAGTAATTAAGTATTTGGACTCCAATGCAAAGGAGACTGGTTTCAAGAAATGAGCGTACATTTCTAAATGCCAAATGAGAAATTTTTAAATTCCATTGCATGTGAGTTAAATAATTCGTTCTGTTTTTGACAATTTATAATAATTGTGGACGATGTTTCCGCATATTATATGAACCTTGATCGGAATGTACTCTTTCTGAAATCCAATTTTATACAATTCTTTGCACCGAGTGAGGCCCCTCAAACCCCCTCTCACCTAAGTACGCTAAAATCTCCTTTCTTAGAAGAGGCCTAGGTTCGGCAGTAGAATATTAAAGGCTGATGATGATGATGATGACAGTAAAAATGATTTGTGGGTATTATGTTCTGTTGCTGGAAACTTTATGAAATGTAAGAAAAGGAAAACCTTTTTAAACATTTGTAAAATAGCTTTATCACTAATAATATAATGGAGGCAGCAACTGGAATCAACTAAGGGCGACAGATTCGATTGGGTAGATTAGGAATGTTGAATCAGAAAGTAAAAAAAACACAGGTTAAAAGATTTCTAATAAAAAAAAAGCAATTCAGGCATTCTTACGTCAGGCTGTTTTCTTTTCCTGGACAAATTCCCGGAAAGGCTATAAATAAAAGTATCAATCCGACAACGAAAAATTTGAATAGGGCAACATTTTCGTTTCAAATGTCATGTGCCTTGTTTGTTAGGTACGGACTACGGACGAGTCGGAAATACGGAACGGAACAAGCCGCTGCGTTTCACGCCAAACAGTAGTTGGGCTACTTTGTTTTTGAAAATCTAAATAAATGTAAATTAAATATACAGTAATTTATTTTTAATCATGAAACGAGGATATAAAGTTACAGACGTGAAAAGGGAGAAGAAAATAGGTATTGCGGCCGAAAGTCTCGAAGAATTAATTGCAAGATCCTGCAAAAAGTTAGGTGTAAGTACAAAATTCTTTGTTTATAAAAGTTTATGCTTCTGAAAATGTCTTTATTTGGCTTTGTAATATCGTTCAAAGTCTCTTTTTAATCAAAAGGAAGTGTGTTTATCATTGAAATAAATAGGTCAGGGGTAAAACCTTGACCGATATATGTGTACCTTGACCTAATTTTGCGACTCTGGATTTCCAGTTCAATGTCAGCTGCGCGGAGTGCCGACTATATGTGGCTGAGGACGGCACGCAAGTCGACGATGACGAGTACCTCGCCACTTTGCCCTCACAGACTCTCTTTATATTATTGAAAAATAATGAAAATATGGTCACTGGTAGGATATTATGATATATCGTTTTATGAAAATATTTAAAAAATATTATTATAATAAAAGAAACAGCCTGTATAAACACCATTTAAAAAATTATACATTTTTATCATTTTAGTTAACTTATCAATTATTTAATTCAGTTGATCCATTTATCTGACATTTCAACAGTAAATCCTCCTTCAAATGTCTTAAATTGCTCTGTCACTGTTTCTGTCTTTGTTCTGTTTTTATTATTAACCAACTGAAAAATGAGGCGGTTCTAAATTTGCCTGTATTATGTTTTTTATGTTTCTTACTTGATTTCTCTGTCGTTGTAGAAAATTATTTTTGTAATTAAAGGGATATACTACCAAAGTGGTCCCAGTTCACCACGTATTGGTCTTATGATCTTATAGGCCAACAACACAATCACAAATTTGAAAATATACATATAAGCTAAGTTGATGACAAAATAAATTCTCATTCCAGATTTTGATTACTACTATGATCTGATCCGATCTCATAAGAAGGACTACATAGAAACAGGTGCTGCAGCCAAAGAATTTCTCAGCACCAATATCAAAGAGAAGTTAAAAGTGTTCCAAAAATACATTGAAGCAGCTGATGATGCACACACCATGCTCAGTGAAAGGGCTCAAGATCCTAAATGGTTTGAAGGTAAGCTTTTATTTTAAGGCATAGGCGGCATACAGGCAGAAGTGTCACCTGATGGTTATAGACTGCTGCCTATAGGCACTCGCAACTAGAGAGTGAAAGAAGTGTGTAGCCAGTTTTTGGGGAGGGGGGGAGAGATTTTCCTCCCAACGTTAATCACATTTTGGTAATTTCGTCATAGACAAAAATAAATGGCATTAAAATCAATGAAAATTCTCTTTATCAAAGAATACAACTTTTTTTTTAGATTTACACCTTTCGCGAGTCTTGTGCTAGCGTAATAATAATGCAGTAGTTTTGTAAATCAGTCACAGGTGTGATGATATGAGTTATAAATCATATGATTTATCTAACCACCACCCATTGACATCTGCAACTCAAGAGTCAGAAGTGCATTATAATATAGCCCTTTTCTTCCGAATTCGCTACAACTTTGACTATACATATTTCCGAGTTCTATTTGTTATAATATGTCTCGCAATTCGGTGCGCCTCTTGGCATAGGCCTCCTCCAGCTCTCTCCACTGAGCTCTATCCTCTGCTACTCTAGTCCAGTAAGGTCCCAAGATTAGGTGGATTTTGTCTTTCCATGTAGTTTTCGGACATCCCTTTCTTCTACAGTGGGTACCATAAGGTTACTTGTTTGCTCCATTTAGTTATTTTGGAACGTAGCATATGTCCTGTCCAGCCCCATTTTAAATGATCTATGCGAGTTGTTATATCCCCAACATTAGTTTTTCTTCTTATTTCAGAATTGCTAATTTTATCACTAAGTCTGAGTCCCAACATGCTCCTTTCCATTGCCCTTTGTGTACTAGCCAGATTTTCTCTTTGCTTGTCTGTTATCGCCCTTGATTCGCAGTCGTATGTCATGCACGGGGGAGGATGCAGGTGTTGAAGGTCTTTTTATTATATGCATACCTAAATTTTTGTTCTTCATTATTTTTTTTAAGTGCATTGCCCCTCTTTTTATCCTCGCCCCAGAATTAAGGAAAGACCGGGGTTTTGGCTTCTAACCTAACCTATTTACTCGGTAAAAACGAGGTGGTGCCTCTCTACCTCCGCCGCATAGTCGCAAGTAGTACCGTTCTCGGTAGACGTGAAATGTCGTGCGGTGTTCCACAGGGATCAGTGTTAGGGCTACTCTTGTGGAACATCGGCTACGACTGGGTGCTTCGTGGTGCCTTCTTGGATGGTGTCGCCGTCCCGTCATTGGCCTCAGAGGAAGCCACCTGAGGGATCCAGGCTCATAGTAGGAGCCACTCGCATCGGCGGCGAGCACTCGATGGCCCATAGGACTTCGGACATCATTTCCGAAGTCTAGTCCCCAAGTCGGTTAGAGCAGCGCATAGCAGCGCATACCATGATTGGCACCATGGCCACATGGTGCGGAATTAAGTTATGCTTGCGAAGGAGATGTCGGAGCGGTACCGGGAGAGGTTTAGAACTCTGCCGGCCCGCTAGGCTCGGTACCGCAGACGACTCAGGCGCCGGAGGTCGCAGAACGACCTCCGTCCTCCATAAGCGCAGGCCTAGGGGTGATAGGTGAGGCCATCTGTCGCGGAGCGCGCGCGCCCTTTCGGAGCACAAAGGGAACATGGGGGTCCCCACACAGCAGGGTGTCATCTACCCGCCGTAGATGGCCCGAGGTACGTCGGGGTACCAGGGATTTCCTTTCTAGGGTACAGGGATTTCCTTTCTTGGTTCCCCGGCTTCTTCTTGGTTCACCGAGACGGTGTGCGGTTTTTGGTCCGTCCGAGTCCGACATAACCACTGGTGGGTGGTTATGTCGGACGTGTGGATGTAATCCGAAGGGATTTCCGCAGAGTAAAAAAAAGTACATTTATATCAATTTGAAAACAAAATAACTTATTGGAAGATGAACTTCCAATAAGTTATTTAGGCATAAGCCTAATTTAATACTATAAATATGTCCCACTTTCTGGAGGTGATATTTTACACTTCAACTTGATGATAAGATGGAATACCTATCGTTAATACCATTTTTCAGGTCTAGAATCATCAGAAAAAACAAAAGAGCAATCCATGTCGAAACGCGTCAAGGATCGTATGAGAGGATATTACTACAAAACTAAGTCAGCGCTACAGGCGTCTGAGGTCTACATCCACTCTAAGAACGGATACGGTAAGAAGCTCATAGACACATTCTTAACAGATTTGAGAAAATTACTGGAATCTCACAAATACAATGACACTTACTTCAACCGAAAAGCTACTAAAAACTTACGACTGTGCGACGAGTACGGTCAGTTCGAGTGTGGTGGGCTTTGGAGTTCAGATAAATGTCTATATGAAGGCACACACGTCATCAATCCGTATCGGAGCCGCGAGGAGCGCATTATATTCCAAACTTGGAATTTAGACCACAAGATTGAGCTATCAAGGTCAATAATACCAAAAATTCTACAAGCAATAGAAGGTCTGTACAATGGTGATATAAAATGTATGGTATGTGATAAAGAATCGAATATAGGCGGTATCGAGACAGACAGATACTATCTGCAGATTTTTACACGGGCGAACCTTAAGTTGGTCCATATTGTGTGCCACTACAAGGGTAAACACGATGCTGAGTCTGATGTTTACACCGTGTGCAAGAAATGTTGCGGTCAGCAGAGTATCGAGTATAACTAAATGCCGCACAGACGAGTTATAGAGGTGGGAACACAGATTTAGAACTTATTATGGCAAGCAAAATGACACAATTTGTCTTTGAGGATTTGTGATATCTTGTTTGGTCCTCAGACGGGCAAAACCTTTATGTTATGAAATTTAAGCGAAAAATGTGCCCAATAGTAACCAATTGATTACTCTCTGTTTATAAATCGTTTAAAGGTTAGAGCCTTTAAAAGAATGTCGGTAGTAACCGAAATAAATAAAATTAAAGTTGACAAAATGTGGACGTTCAATACGGCTCTGCCTACCAAACTAGTAATTGTAATACATACATATTACTAAATATCATATATGCGTGACAGAAAATGGTATTGTTCATACGAGTTCTATTTCTGTGGTTGTATGTTATGAATCAAATTATATTTATACACGACATGAAGCGAGATATTTACTATATTTTCTGCTATATTATACGCTATCTTAGTGAGGATCTGTGATCATCGATAATTATGTGTATATGACCTTGTTGCATATGTAGAAAATTGTACATATTTGTTTTTAGAATTTGTTAAATAATTTTGTATTTTTTATGTTGGTACTTTATATTTTAATATTGTAACATATTATTTTATCTTACATAATTTATATTAGTACACACATAAGTTAAATCTATTTTGGATCTCCGTTGTTGTTTAAGTACATAATTGGTTTTAAGTTAAGTGATGAAACGGCTCTGTATACTAGCAAAAAATACTTAGCCTATAAAGTAGCGATCGTTCCTTTGATACTATTTTATCTATTAAGGTATGTCCACATCTAGCGTACAATTAGCTAAAAAAAATTTAAGCGTTATGAATTATGATATACAAATTGTTGAAATGGTATGGTGATAGTGAGATTTTATTTGAGTGGGGATAGCTAACTTACGCTAGATGAGACCAAACCCTTGTTGTTGGTACCTTAATTATAGAAGGTTTTTCTATTCCTTAATTGATCTCCTTTAACCTTTGTAACGTAGAATAAGACATTGTTGTATACCTGTTTGTACTTATTGTATTATTTTTGAATTTTATTCTACTGTGGTGCAAACGTAACTGAGAAATCATTTTGTTTTGATACATAATAGACTATTACGTATTGAGAAACAATAAAAAAATATACACTTTATTTTCAACCTTTATGATTGAGAGATATTAATGAAAATTCATCATTAGAGCATCATTCATACTTAAAGATTAAAGAATTTTAAATGCTAGGTCAAACTATCACAGGAAGACGAGCTATTTTTTTATCTGACATGAGCCCTTGTTTACGGCTTAAAAGAATTTTCGGTAAAATAAAATGTCAATAATGAACTATTTTGAGTTATGTACTGTTAACTGTTTTATCTATATGTGTATTTAATGTTGACATTATCAGTCACTGCGAGGACAGATCTAAAGCGTATTTATTTAAACTAAACTCGTATACTCGTAAACATAAAAATTTTGATAATAAAAAGATTAAACAATAAAAATTATAGTAACAGTGGTCCAGACAACTGTCTACTACTCACGAATGCTGTAACAGAATTCATATTTTCTTTTATATTAACATCGCATATTATGCATTATCAATAAAATTTAAGTTTAACCTTTTTGATTGTAACTTTAAAATAATATTTAACATACTGTTCCTTTTTTAAACTATTTTAACAATTGCAAAGCTGTTTGCTCATCTTTCGCTTGAACGGGTACAAGAAACTTAAAACCTCTTTGTCATAATAAGCTAAAACTTGCTTTATTCCTTAATTACAAGTTACGAACTCACGCGTTTTCATTCTTCGTGATTTTTAATTTTACCATAACAGTTTAGCTTTTTAATGATCAAATAAAATAAATATCCATATTTTTAACTGACGTACCTACGTTCCAATCTACAACAATACGATGTTTATGTAAACAATGTAAGAGCTAGGAAATGTATTTAGATATTTTGTGTTTCAAAGTTTCAAGAAGGAAAAACTCAGTATGCACGTAATAAACAGCTATAAAATTTTCGTGACTATACGCGGTCTGTCCTCGTAACCAATTATACTTAATGAGATTTAATCAATCTAAAATAATGAAACAGGATTTTATCATTAAACCTTCATGTTACATACAGGGTCGTTAGATAGCATATACAATTTTCTTGTAAACAAAATAAATCAAATTCATATAAAGAGACGAACAAAAAAACGGAAGTAAAATTTAAATCATTTTATTTAAAAATAGTTTTATTTAGCAATATAATTTGTTATTAATAAATGTTATTGGCTAATGAACAAGAAATTTTAGATTTAAACAGTTGCAAAAATAATGAACATGTTTATATTTTTAAATAGATTGGTGCTAATTATATTTTTCATATCCTAGTCTTACTATTTTGTTTATTATATTTGAGAGAGAGAGTTGATGAATATTAGGGCTTCTAGTAGGGAGTATTAGACGGATTCGCGCCAATTCAATACGCTCGCACAGCGATCGCAGGCCAACCGCGTGTGCCTGTTTAGAGTTAAGACAACGCGTAGTTACAGATAAAAATATATCTTACAGGTTACTGCTGTTTGCGATATCGTGATTATTAGAAACTTCAATGTTGTCCAATAAATAGAACCCAGGTAACGTCAAATATTTTAGCCGTATGGACAATGCCCCAAGTTTGTTTTTTGTCTCGTTTAACTGAACCCCTACTTGACTCGAGCTTGACCTAAAAAGCTATACACCGTGAAATCGTAGTTGCCGTCAAAATTTTTTTTAGGCACTAGACATTATTTAAGGATCCCATTTTTAAATAAATGGTATCCTTAAATGGTGCGTTGTTACATTCGTAGTGGTGAAAGCCTTAAGGGTGCACAGCGCTTGTACGAGTCGAAAAGTATACCACGACTCCGAAGACAAGGTATACTAAATCCATCGGTGCCTAACCGCTAAAATATTTTATCCGCAAACCAGAGGCTGTTAGACTACACAGACAGGACAGGTTACAACCCCGTCACACACAAGGGTACTGCAAGGTCAAGACTTGCAATAGAGGTCGAAGAACAAATCTTCGACTTCTTTGAACGGGATACTCGAGCAAGCACACGGGTCCGCAGCGCAACGCTTTCGCGTAAGCCACTACGCAGTATGGTAGCTGATAAACACCGCTGGCTTGAACCCTTACCGTTATCAAAAAGTCCGAGACTTACTAGAGAGATAACTTACTAAGATCTAGACTACATTTTGCATCTAGATATCTTGAAGACTATATTTTGAACATTTAATAAAATACATGTAAACAGTAGTGGCAAGTTAACCTCTAATTGCTTTTTTATTAATAATTATACATATCACTAAAGAGATATGTATTTTTTACTTATTTCAAACGTGCCCTTTAAGTGAAGTTTTAGTATTTGGATGTTATGTTAGGTACTTTATTTATCAATGAAATGTAGCGAAGTACGCGATACCGATGGAGTGGTCATTGACACTTGCGCGCCTACCGACTTCAGTGTGTATACAAATTGCGAGTTCTTGAGACAAATTTGTGATGCTAATTACTCAATATTTTGTGTGTGATAGGTACTGAACTAAAATGCGGGTTTCTCAAAAGTTATACTAAATTTTCTTCTGTGTTAATATGGAAGGCAACTACAATTTCACGGCGTATAATAATAACTTATTGTTTACCTGACCAAAAGTCGTACACAGCTAGTGAAGATGCACCGTATTCATCAACTCTCAATAGACATTACGTTTATTTGGCCGATGAGGTAAATAGTACGCCACTGCATAGTGCCAAAACAAACAGTGAAAGTGTCATTTTCAACGTTTCTCTTTTCCATAATTTCAATAATTAATATTGAAATTATAATTTAGGTAATAGGTAGGAGTTATGAAATTGAGGGCCTTTCGTAATGTTAATATTTTGTTATATTTAAATTGTGTAAAAAAGTAATAGAGTAAGATTGGGTAATGCGCGCTCACCTTAAGTAGTTTAATAATATTTCATAACTTTATTTCTTAATTCAGTTTTTTGAAAAGTCATACTTAATTATCTTACTGTCGCGCTCGCGGCTCCTGCTTTATCTATCGAACAAAACTGTATATAACAACTAATTCTAAACCGAGTCGATGCGTTACGGCAGTTAAAGCATATTTATCAAAAAAAAAAAAAAAAAAAAAAAAAAAAAAAAAAAAAAAAAAAAAAAAAAAAAAAGGGAAAAAAACCAAAAAAACCCAAAAAAAAAAAAAAAACAAAAAAAAAAAAAAAACCCCCAAAATAAAAAAAAAAACCCAAAAAAAAAAAAAAAAAAAAAAAAAAAAAAAAAAAAAAAATTTAAAAGGAAAAAAAAAAAAGGGGGGCCCAAAAAAAAAAAAAAAAAAAAAAAAAGAAAAAAAAAAAAAAAAAGGGAAAAAAAAAAAAAATTTAAAAAAATTTTTTAAAAAAAAAAGGGAAAAAAAAAAAAAAAAACCCCCCCCCCAAAAAAAACCCCCAAAAAAAAATTAAAACAATTTTTCCCCGGTCTTTTTTGGGGGGGGGTTTTTAGTTTTAATTTTTAAACCCCAAAAAAATTTTAAAAAAGGGGAAAAGGTTTTTGGTTTGGAAATTTGGGTTTTAATTTTTTTTTTATTTTTTTTTTTTAAAAAAAAGGGGTTGGAACCAAAGAAAAATTTTTTCCCCCCCCCCCCAAAAAAAAGGGGGGGGGGGCCCCCCCCCCCCCTTTTTTCTTTTTCCTTTTCCCCCCCAAAAGACCGGGGGGGGGTTTAAAAAATTTAATTTTTTTTTTTAAAAAAATTTTTTTTTTAAAAAAAAATTTTCCAAACCTTTAATTTTTTTTTTTTTTTCCCCTTAAAATTTTAAAAAATTTCCCCCCCCTTTTTTTTTTTTTTTAAAAATTTTTTTTTTAAAATTTTTTTTTTTGGGTTTTTTTTTTTTTTTTCCCCCCCGGGTTTTTTTTTAAAAACCCCCCATTTCCCCCAAAATTAAATTTTTTTAAATTTTTTTAAATTTTTTTTTTAAACCAAAATTTTGGGGGAAAAAAATTTGGGGGAAAAAAATTTTTTTTTTTTTAAAAAAAAAAAAAAAGAAAAAAAAACCCCCTTTTCCCTTTTTTTCCCCCAAATTTTTTTTTCTTTAAATTTTTTTTTTTTTTTTTAACTACAAGCACAAGCTATATTATTATGTTACTGTAAAATCGGATACGGGTATGGTTACGATGTCGGTCGGTTTAATAATAATTTAATTATGTATTAAATTATTAACCGATTTACTAACCGTTCGGATCTACAGAACATTTTTTTCTTATATCCACCCAATGAGAAAAAAGAGGACTTGGTAATTGTGTTACTTGACAGAATAGTTTGTTGTATTGCCCTTAGCTCTCAACAAACTACCAATCAATTCATACCGTCGCCGCGTCGGTCGTCGGTGGGTATAGGTAATTTTAAGTTTAACGTTTGCGTGTAAACTTGGTTGACAAACTTTAAAACGATGGTTTAATTGATTCCATTGAATCATGTTGCACATCACTTTCGTATGTTACATTCGCTGGTCAACTCATCATACGGTTTACTGCAATTTCAACGGTTCGGTTTGGAACCTATTCGAACAGATTCTCAAACCGATTCAACTCGGTTTGACAGTATTCCAGACCGTCACATCTCTAATATTAATACCTACCTGCCTTTAGTGGTCTGCAACCGATCGATCATAAATGACACATAAATAGCATTTATATTATACGGATGATATATCAGTTCATCGTATTTCACAGAACTATGTTCGTGTGGCCAGCGATCACAGAGAATCTACACATCGGCATCCAATTTTGTTGTTCTGTTTGTATTCAACACACAGTAGATGAGAATAAAAGATCTTGAATTTTTTCCATTTCGATTTCCAAGTTGAGACATTTATTTTTACCTTTTTATCTTTTTAGTTCATTCTTTACGATATTTTCTTTATATATTTATATTTTCCGACTACAATGCGAATATTGTATTAAATAACCCAGTTCGCCTGACTGACATTATCAGTAATATATTAATTATTAAATTTATATATTTTAATTTCATGTACATACCTACAGCTAATTTAAAAAAAGAAAAATGTTTCACAATGTCAGACGTAAAAAAACCGAACACTTAGCCCTTTATTTTAATGACTCGAAAAAAAAGTAAGAATTAAGCGCGAAAAAAACCGATCTGTATCATCTGCTCATCGTTCACTCGGGCAAACCTTATTGCTGTGCTGTACAGGCGTTTCATACTTTAGCCGGTAATCTGTCGATCGGCATTGGCCAATCTTACTCTAGATATTTTATTTTATACTAAATTGGATTAAATGATGTTAGATAATAAGTCGATAAATTTACACTTTAGTTATTCAAATTGGTTTTTATTTAACGTTATTTTTGTGACTTACCGTGTGTGAGAGGCCCTAAAGGAAGGTTGTGTCGTATCTAAGTACTGTTTCATTTGACTTATTCTAAGGCAACAATTCTATCGACCTTTCTTAGTCTTATAAGCTAAAGGTATTTTTCATTACTATACTACATACTGTACTGCGTATTCGCTGACCCACAATCGCACGATAAGTAGGTACTTCTATCTTATCTGTAATGTAACTTATTATGTATAGTTACTATAATAATATATAGGCTTATTGAAGTGCGTTGAAATTATTATTTTTTGTTTCACTTTAATGAGTCTACATTTTTCATTTTTTTTAGTTAGTAAAATTTCGGTTTCGTCGTTAGTAATTTTTTTGTCATCTGAAAAACAAAGTCATTAATCACGCAAAACAATAAATATAGTTTTCGGAAATAGTTGTTTTTATATGTGCAATAAAATTCTTTGTTATGGAGACAAAGAAATTATGAAAATACTTTGTTTTATGCATGCAAATGTAATATAATTAAACAATTCATATTTTTTAGATTATCCATATTGCCATAGGTTGAAAATGTTTTGTTCATTCAAAATTGTCAGATCTTTTTTATTTTTAACAGGGTCTATAGAAGATGCATTTTATGAAAATGCCGTACTTATACCTAACTAGATTCTGACATGTGGGTCCCTATTTACCTACGTAGTAAAACATTGTTACTGTAAAAAGGTAAGTCTTACGTAGCGATTGTGGGACCGACATGTTTATATTGTATGGAGAAATAAAGTATTATAATTATATGAGAAATATCCTATTTTGTGACAATCGTTTACCAACTTGTTTAAATAGAACTAGTGATAGTGCGACGAATAGCAATATTAATGTGTAAGCGATTAATACCGCGGCGGTGCAGCTAGGATTATGACCAAGTCAACTCCTTACTACACCGTTTGGTGTATTTCTTGATAACTATATCTTCCTCTCGATCGTTAGGCTCGCCCCCTATTACGTGGGACCAAACAATATCTGGTGAAGTCTGGTGTGTGATAGAAAGGTATTTCGACGATCCGGTATTCAGCTGACAGGCTAAATATTCCGCTACTACCTTTCCGCAAGCGAAAGATTAACGAAATTATAATTTGAAAATCATTACTTTCCTTACTGGGTTTTGGTTGGTTTCTTTAAGAGCCTGTCTAGACGGTAACAAATAAGGTAAATTGGTGATGGTGGCGATGATGAAATTATTAAAAAAGTGTACCTTAAAAGTATTACCACAGTTAGGACTTAATTTATAATTAATATGTTGTGTTGTTTATGATATTATAAACATTATAATACACTTTTCGTGGGTTCGATTACCGCCCATTACATAAGTATGTTTATCAGTAGTCTGGTTACCATAGTAGGTACAGGCTCTGCCTAGTGTGGGACAAGACGGCCTGTGTGAGATGTGTGAACTTTTTAAATATATGTATATATATTATATAAAAGCAATTTTTAATAATAGGTATTATACTTACTGATAGTCAGACTTGGCCTTGAAGCTGAGCAAGCGCGCGGGGCTTGTAGACTGAGCGGACAGTAACACCTTACACACTCTGTCTGTAGTACAAACCTAGTCACATGTGCGTGTGACGTAATTGCAATATATAGATAAAAAGTTAGTAACGAAAATAGTAAGCACTTTGTTATTCACGAACAAGTTATCACGTCTATCTTATTAGACGCCCGAGTATTAAGTACACTAATAACTTAACAGACGGTAATAAAGGCATCTATAGTACATTCGCGGTAAGAAAATAGTGACGTGTCGATCAAGCGTCTACACCTTGACCATACAGGTTCCAAGCTTTCAGCAACGATAATTTGGTCCCCGATTGGTCTGGTTTCATCGGTGCGTCACTATTTTCTTAACGCGATTGAAGTATAGTGTGTTATTAAACCAACTGTTAACATGTCAAAAGTGCTAACTTCAGCAGGTAATCGTATATTTCTAAATTCTTAAGTAGTAGCAAGACTGTTGACATCAGACTCAGCTGCATCGCCGTAGTTTAATGTCAGTATAATATATATAAACTTAGGGTAGAAGCTTCCATATATAGCGTTATAGTTGTTTGCAAATAGTTGTGTATTTAGTAGGTCTCGGTATACAGTATTATACCTTCTCCTTATCAGCCTAAGTAGGTGTGTAATCAGTAGAGAGTTAAGACAAATATCACTATATTTAATATAGACCATTGATACAACGGTAGAAAACAAAATTATTGAAATGGTGTTTTGTACAAACACTAAACAGGCTAAGTGACACAATTATATGTTCAAAAAAGTATCGAAATTCTGTTGTTTTAGAGTACATTTTAAAGTAAGCACTTGTGAAAATCCATATGTAGATATATGTAGTCCTAGGATTATTGATGTGAAGTAACTCGTTCCTTCCAATGTGACATTAGTTTATTTAGCTTTTATAAACTAACTAAAAAATTATACAGACAGTGTTGGTACAAAACATCTTTAGGTATATTTTATCCAGTTCGGTTGGTTGACTAGGTGTAGACTTTACATGGTTTTAAAGAAATTGTAACTAGTCCAAAGTATAGTTTAGTTGGATGAAATAAAAAGATAAAAATTATATTTTGTTGTTTTTATTGTATCCTTTTTGACATAAATATGTAAACGTAATGTTTGGATAATTATTAAGGTTTAGGCAGTAATATTGCTGGTTTCCAAAAAAAATGTAGTACATTTATTGTAATCATTGTTGTAATATCTTTCCATATTTTAGTATAATTTGTATTTAATCAATTTATATATTGATTACAGTACATAGGGTTGAGTTTTTATTAAAATTAAATACAACATAATAGTTAGCAATATGTGTGGAGACATTTATGACTGGTCCATAAATTCGAAGGGAAAATGATATTATAGGATTATATGTATTATAGTCATCTTAATATTTTTACATTCCAAACCTAAAATAATCCAGATATTAAGGCTATATTGGGCTATACTTTAATCAATATTGTATCATGCCTTATGTAAAGCAAAAATGCCTTATGAAAATCATTATGTAGACCAGCAGATCTAGTCTCCTTATGAAGAACTAGACACTAATATATATAATTCTTATATTGAACGCTTAAATCCTATCTCCTCTTCCTGCCACTGCCTGCTTTTTTACTAGGATTCCTCTGCCCTTTGCCTGCCTTGGGTTTCTTTGCTGAGAAATTGGTAGCGTTGCCACCCTTTGTCTTACGTTTTCCTGCCTTAGGAGACTTTGTATTGCGCTTTTCCTCTGATCGCCTATAAAAGCAGAAAAGTATAACAAAATAAATAGTGGTAAAACATAAAGAACACTCAGTTATTAAGACAAATAAATATTATTTAATGCAAACTATCCATGCATGAATAAAGAATCCTTTATTGAAATACAATTACATATTATTAGCTCTTAATGTTTTCTTTTAAATTTTAGGGATAATATCAAGGAAAGATAAAGAAAAATATATTTATTCTGCCCTTTTGATTAAAATAACGCTCAATTAGAAGACAAGTGAGTAGACATATCATCTAATAGTCAGTAACTACTGCCGCTTATGTAACGTTATGAAATCGACGATTTCTGCTGTTAAGCATTGCCTCTGAGGTGGAAGTATGGTGAAAGATTGATGGTCTCATCAATCAATTAATATAATTTGTTACACAAACTACTAAGCGATAAGGCCGCCCACATTACATCTGTTGTTAGTTACTTTATAGTGTCTATCTATCTACTTGTGCATAAAAAAAAAACTTGAGAAACACAGAGGTAGTTTCCCAATTATTTAAATGATTAGGATTCAAGATTTATCGTGCGGAATGATGGCAGAAATCTACTATAATATGATAATATATATCTATTATAAATGTGAACTTATCAGAGACAAAGAAAATCTATCTATTTTAAGCCTTTAGTAAAAATTTGACACTTACTGTACTTGTTCATCATTTATATGTTTTGCCACAGCCTTGTCCATATCAATCTTAGGCCTCTTACTCAGGATACTGTCAAGCATACTCAAGTTATTCTCTCTCTCCTGCTGTGGTGTCGGTATTGGAAGTTTACGCTTCCTCTCCTTGCCAGGGATGAGTTCATGAATGCCTTTGCCGCGGGCTTCTTTCTCTTTTGGTAATTTGTCTTGGAACTTGCCAAGGGATGCAGTGGACGCTTTAGCTATAGTTGCTGCTGTTTCCAACTGTAAACGAAACAAATCTGTATCAGTATTTTTTGATGACTTATCTTATTTTTTAATTCAAATTTAATTCTTAAAGGAATATATAATCTGTGTGCAAGAAATTTTAAGAAAAATATCAAGAAATTAACAAACATATTTCTAGTGTTAATTGTTTATTTTTGAATTTAAACAAAGATCCTGTACTCCTGGTAATATATGATGGATGATTATGAAACTTGTACCGTTTATAAAGTGAATCATCCCAACTATTTTCATTTAATTATCATATTTTTAGAACTTTGGTACAATTAAAATTGTTACAACTGCAATAACTCATCATTCAAGTGTTGTTAACAAAACGCATTCCTATATTTTTTAAACTTGCTATGCATAAAATATAAATTATATAAAAAACTATGTGAGATTGAGATCAATGAATGAGCTCACTAGTGTATTTAGCAATGAAAAAAACCATTTCTTTATTAATAATGTTGACTGTACAAATTAGACAAAGTAATAAAAGAAAGATTAAATTAAGGAAAGTTCTAATAACTCTTAACAATGTAAAAAAATCATAAACAGATGATTTTGAAAGATATCTATGTTAACTTGTTGACTGCAATGACAACTCATCTGTGACAGCCAGCTGTCATTGTTATCGAATTCAGTACAGCCTATATGCAAACTACAAACTGAAATGACTTTTGAACGCAAAGTTCTAAAAATCTGGTAATTAAAACTGTAAATGTTGATCATATTACCAGCCAAATAAATCCCTACCATGAGATACGCAAGGCGGTACAAAAGTCCCATACATGCCTGCCATTATCCTTTCTACTTTTATTAAAAGAGACCAACCATCTGTTACAATAAAAAAATAAATAATGTTACAAGCATAGCTTTAAATCATTATAGATATATAGAGATACATAGAGCTTTGAAGACAATACTCACTTACAGAAATAGACAATGAAACAGGTTTTCAACACAATAACATCAAACTTTCAAATGTGATACAGACACATATAACCTATTTCAAAATTTAATTTACCTGTGTTGCATTAGCTTTGTCTGATGTAACTGGGAGACCAACCCTAGGTATCTTGACTTTCTTAGATCTAGCAAGATTCTTTAACCTCTGTAATTCATTCTTGGCTACTTTCTCAGACTTTTCTGAGGCTTTCTTCTCATACATATCAGTCATTGGGTCCAGGTTCTGTGGAACTTCTATCAACCAATTCTTCTCCTTCTCAGCAGCTGCCCTTTTGAAACTGAAATAATATTTTACGATTATAACATTTGGTTTGTTTGCATAGTATTTCTTTTTACATGGAATAGGGTCAAACAAGCATACAAGTCATTTGATCGTAAGTAACTATTGGCATCCAAACTCAAGGCAAACAAGTTGAGGAATAAACAAACAATATGTTGTGGACTTATTGTACTCATAAATATATCTAATGGGAAATGGAACAGCCCATTAGCCATGCATCGCTGGTGCACTGCTACTTGGAATTTTGACCTTGACCTTGACTTACTTGAAAGTTTTTGTCCTTGTAATCTGGGCAGATAAAGTAAGATCCTCGGATTATGTTGAGCCGTAAAATATGATTACAGCAATTTGCTAAGGTTTTTTAATGGGACATTTAGAAACAAAGTAATAAGCTAATCTATTATTAGGAGCTTTAAGTTAGAAATTTCAAATTCAAGAAAAAATTGTAACTAATTCCTATCAGTGTTTTAACTATATAAATAATGAGCTATAACAAAAATAACTTTAAAATATGTCACAGGCTATCACAATCCACTGCTAGACATAGTAGGCCTTTTCATTGCATGCCCGTAAGATCAATTTAATTGTATAGTATTGCTAAAAATAGTATATAAAATAGAAACAAATACGTACCCATACAATGGCACCCATTTCTGCAGCTGTTCATCCCATTGTAACTTGTCTTTCTTCTTCTTTGTAATCCCCTTGGACTTGGCAAACTCTTGCCATTTAGTCAACGGTTTAGGTTTGGGAACAGGTTTTGCTCTGGGTATCACAGTTTTTGGTTCTGGCAGCTTTACTATAATAGCTTCATCTGCCCTTTCTGTAGGTAGCTCCCATATTTTATTCAAAAGCAATTGTGTGTTGTCTCGTGTTAGAGCTTGTAAAAATACGTCCTTACTTTTCCTGAAAGAAGTGATACTTTTTAGATTCAGATACATTTATTGGTATAGGCATGTGTAGGCATTAGGTATTACATGATATTATACTATACATATTTTTGGAGAATTAACAATTTTGGATAGTGTAGTTATACAAAAAGTGTTTATTTTAAAGTAGTAAAAATTAACAATATGAATTCAAAAAAAAAAAATCATGATTTTTAAAACGTAAGTACGATGATGACTATATTATTTGTGACTATTTATGATGAATAGGCAAAAGTTATACTTTTACAATCAAAATTATTTTACACTATAAATTGTATTGAGCGACTCACTCTAATAATTTGGAGTCTAAATCATTTGTGTCTGATGCAAGTAGGCATCCTACGTCGATATCAACTTCCAAATGTTTGTCTACAGTGATTGACTTATACTTTTCGGCTTTCTTCTGTTCCCTTTCTAATATTTCGTTAACAATATCCATTTTCAACTATACCAGTAATAATCGAACGTTAATTATTACACATTTGATGAAATGAACACAAAGTTATGACACAATGCAGACACAATTCTAACCTATAACTCGTATTGACATTTGAATGACAAACACGTGCGAGGAAATTTGTCTTTGTCATAAACAGTGGCACCAAAGTGCTCAAAAATAGAGCAAAAACATAAATAGAGAAATCATAAATAGAAATAACATAAATAGAGCAAATAAATAGCAATAAAAAAGTCATTGAATTTATATAGAACAAAAAAAAATGAAATTCTGGCTGGGTATTCTTTGTGTCTGTTTCATGTATGCCTGTAAAGGATATATTCTTAGGGCTGAAGTTGTCTTTTTCTACAAGAAAAAATAAGAATTAAGTACTTATTGAAATATTATGTATGCAGTATGCTCACCGATAAGCAAGAAATTTATTGGCACCATATGAAATGCATGTGGCACATAAATCAAATGGCTATCTTTAAACGATACCACATAATTTAGAATACGTTGTTGTGAGTAGAAAGGAGAATATAACGATAAACAGGGGTCAAAGCGTCTATCAGGGGATTTGGAGCTAGGTATTACAATAATAACAACCAAGTAGTCAGGATCATATACCAACAGCTTGCCCTTAAATAAAAAACTACTACTACTGGTGTCTACTAGAAGTATGTGCCCGACCCAGTTCTCGAGGATGGTCGGGCTACCTTGTATTGGGATCGATGTATTATCACAGACAGGGCTAGACTATTGTTGCCAATACGCCTGATATTGTGGTGATGGATGGAGTGATTGTTGATATCGCCGTTCTATCTGACGAGAATCTCATGAAAATTAAAGAAAAACAAATAGAATATTTGAATTTTTCTCACGAGATTGTTGATATGTGGAATGTCGATTCAGTGATAATTGTTCAGATATACCTATCTGTTCATGAATTATAAGCCAAGAGCCTTGACCAACGCCTTGAGAGGCTCACGTTAGATGGCTGGATCAAGGTTCTTATGCAGAAGGCAGTTTCCCTTGACACCATACTAAGTACATATCTCTTAATCTGTGCTTGACACTGCCCGTATAGTGAGGAGGTTCCTATCTTTGCAGTCCTATCGACCGATGTCTGTGGTCTACTATTATTAAAATTTTACATACATGACTGCTCGGATGGCGTAGTGATTAAGGCGGTCACCACGCTGCTTACTACTACGACACGAACGACACTTTGTGAGATCTACAAATTGTCGTTCTGAGTCTGGGTGTTCTTTGTGTCCGTTTTATGTATGTTTGTAAAGTCCCCCGCGACACAGGATATATTGTCTTTAAAAAAACAATAAAACATTTTTTTAAACAAAAACAAAATGTATTTTTAATTTTTATAAAGTGTATGTTTAAAAATATAATTGATATGTTTATATAACAAATAAAGAGAAAAATAATTAAGTTACCAAATTCGTAATAGTTAAATACAATTCTCCTCGTTGATGCAACAAGTCTGTCAATAAAACAAAACTAACTCTGTAAACATCCTTATTGAATAAATTAGTGATGCGCAAATGTATCACTAAGCTGAAAAGATAGATACATATCATTTCATTTTATAGATATATAGCACTCATCTAGCTCACTAGCTCAGTGATCCAATTCAATTGATTCTCTGAATTAATTCATTTCTTCGTCTAGATCGTATATATAACTCCAAACCTCTCTCGCTCACTCAAACCTTTCTTTATTATATTAACCTAAATTCAGTTCTTGGCAATTCATAACACAATTATTTTTTTTGAGAAATTGTGAGCTATAACTGAGTTACTGATTCATTCGGACTAATTCCAACCAGTACACTACCGACGTGAACCCACTCCTAACACACGCAATTTAGCTTAGCGGGAGGGGCCTTTAAAAAAAAAAAACAAAACAGAAAAAATAAATCGGAGCTAGGGTGAGTGAGTCATACATTTTATCGGCGAGAATGATGTGAATGATGAATCTTTTAGATCAATCACTCAGGAGCTATACACCTCTAGAATAAATAGACCAAATCGTTCTTTGCTCATAAATATTTTCCTTTTATTCTGATTTTAGTGTTATTAATGTTCTTTTATTAAAGTTTTTAATTTATCGTTTAATATTTGAAAAGAATGACTGGTGAAAGCGTAGAAAAGACGTATTGTTTCAAGACAGAAAACAAATTCATAGTCAAAAGTGGATGTAAAAAACGAATGTGGAGGTCTTTAAAGCAGATATTAACGGCTGAAAGAGCATTACCATGGCCTAATGAAGCAGTTTTGTGTAAGGATCGAACTCAGAGTCCTTATCTTTATTATGTTCGCAGACTTTTACATTGCCAACCTCTTGTTACAGACTACTCAATAAATGCACCACCAACTTTTAAACCTACAAAAAAATACTCTGATATATCTGGCCTCCCTGCTCCATACATAGATCGTCACTCGAAGTTGTATTACAGTAGTGCTGAAGAGTTTGCAACTGTAAGAAATCTACCTATGGATATAACAGCCGGCTATCTTCAGCTAAGAGGTGCTAATACTATTGTGGGATGAACTGATGTCAACTACTAATGGTGGTATCGAGTTATAATTTGCATTCGCTGAGATAACAGTTTAAGGAATGATGTATTTGTGGTTGTAGGGTACAAATGCGACAAACAAGATTTAAACCCATAAATATTATTCATGTTAAACAGAAACAGTGTTGGTTTAATTTGAATAAATCCTCAACATAGAAATAGTAAAAAATATATTTGTAGAATTAATATCTAATGAGGCTCAGATGTTCCCTAATTTTATTTTTTATCATCATCCTATCACCATCTACTGCCGAACAAAGGCTTCCCCTGAGGAGCACCCATTATCCTGGTTGTGGGCAGTCCATATTCATCAACTTCCTTAGTCAACTCAACTTTATATAGTATGAAATTATGGAAGATTTCATTATTTTCATAAGTTTTTTACACAGATGTCAAATTTGTTTGTAGTAGTAGGCTTTAATTTGTTAACACTCAGTTAAGGGAGAATAAATAGCACAAGATATTGTTAAAAACGTTTCATTTTCATGTGAAGAAATACCATAAAAATTTCCTACACTTTAGAAAGAACCTAATGGTTCTTTCTAAAGTGTAGGGAATTTTCATTCTTCTGTTGGCTGACTTCCTTACTGTTGGAACTTCACTGTGAATATAAACTGTATAAGAAAAGGGACTTAGATATTCAAACAGGTTTTTATGCAATTGTTATTCTTGGTAAGCATTTACAATAAAAGTGCTTAGCACTTGGTTCCATGAATACATGTGTTTGAACATTTCTTCAAGATTCAGTTCTCGTCATAGGTATTTATTTTAGGTACAATATCTCCAAACTTTTTAAGGTATTTTAATAATTTTATATAATCTAGAAGGGCTGGTATGTATAACATAATAATTTGATTTTGTTGCCAAGTATTTTTAACAATCCGTTTTTCATTAATGCATTATTTAGTCAATTATGATGTAGAGTATCTTAGAGCATAATACCTTAAATAATGTTATAAGAAAAAAACAACAATTCTTAAAAAAATACATTTATTTTAAATGCTGTCTTAATATTAAAATTAACAATTAATAGTCCATTCTTGGCACTGCCTAATTTAAACCATCTACCAGCTTTATGCTCTTGTCCAACAGCAACATATAGCTGCCTCCCATCATTAGTGAACTGCATACAGTTCATGAAACCACACACATTGACACTAAACATTGGTAAGACCTTTCTATACTGTTCACAAACTCGCCACAGCTTTACATTGTTGTCATATGAACCAGATGCAAAGACATCAGAGTTCAATAGAGTTGCCAAACTGGTGATCCACCTTGGGACTTCATTTTCAGAGCCGTGAGCTTCTGTTATTGTACATAAAGGCTTCTTTTTGAGTAAACTCCACACACACAAAGATCCGTTATCACTGCCTGAAACAAAATGTTCCTCATCTAACAGTTTAACTTCATCTAAACTTCCTATTGGTCCATTAAATATCAACTGTGACTCTTCAGCTATCTTCCATACTCGTACTGATGTATCTCGGCCTCCTGCAGTGATAGCTCTCTCTCTCGTTAACGCATCTATTGATGTAATAGGTGATTGGTGACCAAACAACGTTTCTACATATGCCATTTCATCCAGTGACCAAATCTTCACAGACCTGTCTTTACTAGCGGAGTATAGATCGTGTGTATTCTTTCTAAATACAAGCCCTGTTATGAAATCTTTATGACCTTTGAAAGTGTGAATGTGTTTAAGTGTGTGTGGGTCCCATAATTGGATATTTGGGGACTCATCAGATGAAACTAAATATTTTGAATCTGTAGATATTGCAATAGATACTATACCACCCTTCAGAAAATGTGAATGTGTTTTATAGGTTAAGCTTCCAAGTTTTCTTTTCTCTTTGACACCCCACTTAACTATGGTTCCACATTTGCTTCCAGTGAACACAAAACTATTGTCGCTACTGATACACACACATGTTAAAGTTAAACGATGTTCTTTGGCGCGAATAAACCGTAAATCTTCTTGGCGAGGCTCTTCGAATTTCTCTGCGATTTCATATTTTAGTTTACCTTTAAGTTCCAAATAATCCTTTTTAAGACGATCTCCAACCACATCATCAATTTCTTTTAGTTCTGCCCTTTTTGCTTCTTCTTTTTCAATTTCTTCTAAGTACTTTTTAGCTAGACGTAGCTTCTTCTGTTCAGCAGTCTCATGATCACTTTCAGACTCTTCGGCCTCTGAGAACTTTCGTATATCTAGATCACTTTCAGAGGATTCATTGCCGTTTTCGAGGTTATGTGCACTCTGTTTCTTAGGATTGTTTTTCTTAATTTTGTCACCTTTTCTTTTATAAACTTGTCTCGATTTGCCTTTTAAAAAGAATGAAGATGACATCTTCCTTGTTTCTTGATAGTTTTCTTTTAATTTATCAAATTAAAACACAAATACTACGAGCACACAACGCACGTTGGTGTTTGATTTTGACATTAACATTTGACAATATTGACAACAGTTGCCCACAAAAATACACCTCTCGTCAAAATTATACTGTCGAAACGTGACATCTGTTCATCACGTCCAAAATCTTAAAAAATATGTTTTAAACGATCATTTTTTTTGTGTTTAACAATGATGATTAACTTTCGCCGACTATTATGAAGGTCTTTAGTACAAAATATTTTTAGTATTTACCCTTTAAATTAAATAAATTTGAAGGTCACGAACGACTCGGTGGTTCATTACCAAAAATGTGGGGGAACCAAATTTTTTAATACTAAAATCGTGAATAAAATATCAATAAACTATTTCGATCACTAATTAATATTTTATGTACTTTATTACATCACACCTCATCTAACAATCTGGTTCTTTTGAAAGTTTAAGTATCTTAATTAGCATTTTTTTTTTGTTTTAAAGGTAATATTCTGATGTTATATATTACAGGATCTGAAGCTATAAGCAAAATTTCAATTAGATCTTCATTAATTTGATTCCTAGTCATGTTCCAGGTGTTATGCTCTCTGTAATATCTATGTAACATTATTGTGATGACTTTCCAGTTTATCTTCTCCAAGCATATTGCCATTTCCGAGTCCAGGTTTAGGGATATCAACCAATAAGTCTAGATACTCTAGACGTTCTGTTTGTATGCGTTTTTTCTGTCAATTTTTTTATTTTATTTACCATGTGTTAGCGTATTTTGCTACACATTTAACAGGCATTCGTAAAAGGGAATATAATATACATGTAATTACGACAACCTGAAGTTTAAACTCTCAAGATTATAGGTTGAGGTAAACATAACCTTATTGAACCAGCAAAATAGGTTTAACCTTCTACTTCTAGCTTTAGCGGATAGGTCACAAAGCTCTTTTTTGGTCGTCCGTTTTTTGGAAGTACTCTAGACGTAGAGGGTGCACTTTCTTGTTCGCCAGAGGTGGTTACTACTTGTTCAAGCCATTTTTCATTTTGATTAGGAACATGCTTTACAAAATCTTGAAGTTCTTACAGTATTTTTTTTAAATAATTTAATACTTTGAAGACTGTCCCTGCCTGTAGTAGGCAGTTTCAATATTTCTAATGTCTCCAAATGTTTCTATGTCTGTCCTTTGATAGCGGCTTTACTGGTCGATGTAAATGACAAAATATTAAATAAATCAATATTTTTTAATGATTAATTAACCGTTACCTAAAAATATTTTATTTGCTATAGAAACCGGCAATCACTGCGATTTTTTTTTGTTAAGCTCATCATTACAATGAACGGATAGAAATGCCTATTGCATTTGTTTGTTCCCTTTCAGAGAACTTTATATTTTTGTGAGTCGCTGCCTTAAAATCTTAATTTTGTTCAATTTAATGATCGCGTATCACTTGTACGAAGATGACTTGCTCTATTCACACACTAAAGTAAAAAAATTGGACGAACCTATAATAATATATTTATTTGCTTCAAACGAATATAAATAGCATTATAGAATATAGCATGTTGAGTATCGATTTTTGTATTGAATCATTCATAAGGTTCACACACTCACTACCACATCCCTAGCGTAACTTTTGGTAAGATGGCCGAGTTGGTCGATGCTCTGTAAAGCAATAAATAAAAATGTGAAACAAGGGAAGTGTTCTTTTTCTTAATAGAAGAGAAGAGTCTCCAGCTCTCATATACCTTCAACATAGCAATAATATGAATAGCATTATTCCCGACTAGGTCAAAAAAAACTAGTCCAGTAGGTTGTTTAACTGTATCCAAATGTCAAGCGATCATTATTTAGTGTCCTAAAACGACAAGCAGAATTTTGATCCTGATGGTGTTACTGAAATGAATATTACTAACTAGTCCTTCGTTTAAGGATATTGGTCTGAACATCTATAGAACTCTGAATTGACCAACTCAGGCACTTACATACCTAACTAACGTCAATAGTTAGTAGTCATTAACATCCAAGTCCACAGCTGGACATAGGCCTCTCCTCAGAAAGGAGGTTTTGGCCTACTATACCACGCTGGCCAGTGCTGTTTTCCTGCGTAGTTTGCTCCCTTAGTCGTCTCTTACCTCTTACTACACCCACAGGATGAGTAGGGGGGTGGTGATACTTTGTACTCTTAATCCATCACCAAGCGCACATTAGTTAGTAGTAATGAGCATTAATGCTAATTATATCGTTTGAAAATAATTAAACTAAGTTGGGACTAATCCCACCCACACGCCCACCACTGTAACTCCTGTGCACCAGGATCCACAGCAGTGACCCACGAACACACCGAGTTATGACACTCGGGAAGTCCCAGGAAGAAATTAAACTGTCTTGGAACCCGCAACGAAATTAATCAGAAGAAAATTGGAGGAGTTGGAAATACAGTAAATCCACTTCCCTCCTTAGCAAAGCGGGAGACAAAATGAAGTAAAATGGGCATACACCCTTTTAAACAGGGAAGCACCACGGCCACAAATATTACGGGTCCTACGTGAGCTATGTTTGATTTCTATAATATGTATGGCAGAATCGCCTAAACGCACGGAAATTCACCCTAGTTGACACAAGATCCCCATAGTATACCGCCCCAGATGTCACCTGCAAGCTATTCAGCATTATATTACGTTCATTATACCAAAGACTACATTCCCAGAGGATGTGATGAGCAGACTGTTCATAGTGAGAGTTAGGTGTTGAGCATTGACACAATGGTGACTCGACTAATTTAAATGAATAAAGCTTGCTCTTAAAGTTACCATGACCCGTAAGAAATTGAGCGACACAGTGATCCACCTCAAGCCATATCCTCGACAACCGTTCGCGAACAGATGGAAAGAATTGGTAAAGAGATTTAAACTAAGTTAGAGAGAGAATTAAACTAAGTTATAAAAACTACTAGTTTTCACTTTCACTATTGTTTTTATAACTTAGGTAGGTAACGCTTGGTCGGACGGACCAATTACAATTAAACCCGCTAAGTATATCAGTATCTGTGTATCATACATGTAAAAATCTTTACACAGTAGGTATTAAGAAAAATAGTCATCAACACCAATCGTTTTAAATCGTAAAAAAATCTTTATTTCTGTTTTTTCGTTTTAAACCGCCCATACAAGTGTTTTTATAGAGCCGGAGGTTTTTATTTCGAACCAGTGACCCACATGTTCTTGTTGACAAATTAGCGACTAAATTAGGAAGAAAACATTTTTCGCTAAGTGCCCTAGTTTTTGACATATAAGCTTGGTGCGTTACCCCAGCAAAATAATGTCGAAAATGGTCATTTAAACGTTATAGATAATTAGTTGCTCCCCTTCTGTAATTGTTAGGCACATTTTTAAATTTGTTTCACTTAACTTTTTTAGTTATTTCAAAAAAACATTTCCTGCTGGGGTAACGTTTGAAACGTTACCGCAGCCAGACATTTTCTTTTTTAATTGTAATATTGAAATAAATTTTAGCTACATAATTAGTTATCCGGACTAGGTAAATGTTACAACTTATTTGGTATTTGTATTTTCTTCGGCTGCGAAGTTATTCGAGATCCTGCTGGAGTAACGTTTGTGGGCTTGCTGGATCTCTGAAACGGGTAAGCGGATTGTAACCATCTTTTGTACATAACTTCTTAAGGATTAGTTTTAATTTGTTCGACAATAAAATAACAAAAATAATGGACCGTTTAAAAATTATTTAGGTAAGTTTGAAAACACTTCAATACGTCCTAACACTTTAAATAAGACCTCTAAAGACTTACTTCAAACGTTATTCTATGGCTTGTAACTACCTTCAAATGTATACGAATTCTCGTAAGAATACTGTAAGTGACTAAAAAGTTATGATGAAATGTAGCTCTCCACGTTCACGATCACAATGTGTGCGGCCTTTTTTGGCCACCGATAAACCTGTGTGTGGATATATAAACTGAATGTTATGCCAATAATTAGTTGTTTAGTTCAGTTGTCTACCTGTAGAATTTCAGCGTCGTACATATAATAATTTACGAGATAATTAAATAAAAGTCATTAGAAGGTGCAAGACCGTGGTAACCCGACCATGTTTAGGTGGTTACAAAAAAGCGATCACCCAGTACATTGTGCTGGCTTTTAAAATATGTAGGATATTATTTGCAAGTTTACTACGGATATGTACATAAGTGTTACAAAAAACTACATGTTTTCAAATGATTTTTATTTAGGATTGTTTATTGCATAATTAGTAATCAGCCGGGAGATTAGGTATTGTTTTGAATGCTTTTGTTTTCTCGTAATGTTTAGGTGAATTGTTTATAGTTGTTCATAGAATTGGTACCTGTGTAGTATTTGTTAATTGAAGTTTAATTTTAGGGTAGGTATAGGTAATTTAAGGTTTGAAGAGTGTAACGTATGCGTTGTAAATAGGTATTTTGTGAATAGATGGGGATTTTTTTAAGTGATGAATCGACTTAGGCTAGCATATCGCGAACAAACTCTGTATTGCATTATTTCTGTAATAATGTTGGAGAAAATAAAATATTTGATCACAAAATCGCGGTGAGTTAAATTATAATAAAATAAATTATTTATGTAAAATTAGTAATAAGTGATATACATACCTACAAGTTATGATCGTTTTTAATTTGTTCACCCTAAACGAAATTTCAATATAAGCATTAGTAATTAATATCCTAAGACAAGAATTGACAATTACTTAAATTGAATCGAATTAGCATTAATGCCCATTATTAGTAATTAGGTGCACACATATTGAAGAACTCTCAAGAATACGATAAATATTTGCAAAAATAGAAAGCGGAAGCGCACACGCACTTTACAAGACGTATATTATCTGCCTAAGGGTCAAGTTTAGTGCACTAGATGCAAATTGCAAACAATGAAGTATCCCTTCGCCCCTCCCCTCCCGCGTTCTAGCGAAGGATGTATTATCGGCGATTCTTGATTGACAAATATTATCTGACCAATAATTTTATCTATAAAAATGTATCACTTTCACTCGATAAATTAAATTACCGTTATTATATTAAAATATCATTTAACAACTGTTCGTTTTTAACAGAAATCAACAGTCACGGGCTCAACGCTTAGCGGTAGGTACATAGGTATAGATAATTCTCGGTTCTCGGTATAGACCACAGAACAATATTACCTACTCTTACGAGGTATACGACTGTTGGGCGATGCAATGTTGATGCATTCTAATTTACAACTGTATTTTTCTACTATTCGCTCTATTTTAACTTATTGTAGATGACTTGTTGCTTTAAATATTTTGATGCATTCAAGTCTAAGCTCTATATACCTCAAAATAAAATACAATTAGTTTAGTGTCATTTCTTTACAAAAAAAATCAAAGAAATGAAACGATTTCTTATTGGTTTAAATTTTCGAGTTATTGCAGTCAGGTGAATCGTTCATACATGTATCTACATATTTATAATTTTAGAAGACCAGTGCAGAGTTTCTGTTGATTGTAGCTCCGGTAGTAAAAAAGACTAAAGAAATTTTAAGTAAAGAAACTAGTGCTTAAGATCAATTAGGAAAAAAAAACAAAATAAATAATAGGCAATAATAATGAATAAATATTGAATGTATTTAACACTACACGCAACTGTACCGAAATCGTAAGGTGTATTACACTAAACATTTTAAAAGACAGCGCAATGTACTGGGTGATCGCTTTTTTGTAACCACCTAAACATGGTCGGGTTACCACGGTCTTGCACCTTCTAATGACTTTTATTTAATTATCTCGTAAATTATTATATGTACGACGCTGAAATTCTACAGGTAGACAACTGAACTAAACAACTAATTATTGGCATAACATTCAGTTTATATATCCACACACAGGTTTATCGGTGGCCAAAAAAGGCCGCACACATTGTGATCGTGAACGTGGAGAGCTACATTTCATCATAACTTTTTAGTCACTTACAGTATTCTTACGAGAATTCGTATACATTTGAAGGTAGTTACGAGCAATAGAATAACGTTTGAAGTAAGTCTTTAGAGGTCTTATTTAAAGTGTTAGGACGTATTGAAGTGTTTTCATACTTACCTAAATAATTTTTAAACGGTCCATTATTTTTGTTATTTTATTGTCGAACAAATTAAAACTAATCCTTAAAAAGTTATGTGCAAAAGATGGTTACAATCCGCTCACCCGTTTCAGAGATCCAGCAAACCCACAAACGTTACTCCAGCAGGATCTCGAATAACTTCGCAGCCGAATAAAATACAAATACCAAATAAGTTGTAACATTTACCTAGTCCGGATAACTAATTATGTAGCTAAAATTTATTTCAATATTACAATTAAAAAAGAAAATGTCTGGCTGCGGTAACGTTTCAAACGTTACTCCAGCAGGAAATGTTTTTTTGAAATAACTAAAAAAGTTTAAGTGAAACAAATTTAAAAATGTGCCTAACAATTACAGAACGGGAGCAACTAATTATTTATAACGTTTAAATGACGATTTTCGACATTATTATGCTGGGGTAACGCACACTAAGCTTGGCCCCTGCTGGGGAGATCGACACTAGTAGGCCCCCCTATAACCGCTTATAACTTTTGAACCAGTGACCGACAAATTCTGATATTAGGCGACAAATTAGCGCAGTGAGTGACACTAGCATTTATAGATGAGATCAGGCTACAAAGTAACGTGTCAACTGGTAGTATTTATTGCTTTCATTAGTTTTAACAAATTAAGACCTTTCTTCTTGAACGTTTTACTGCATAAGTCTGAAGTTTTAAAGAAATAATGAACAATGAAGAAATAAGTCTACGATTAAGCAGCCATAACTTCCAAGGTGAATATTTCGTAGCATATTGATCAATAGCTTATAATTATTTTTTAGACAAATTTGGTCTTCAATTGTTAAAAGTAATTAGATCTGTAACTTAAGTAGTTGCCAAGGTGTGCGTTACCCCAGCAAAATAATGTCGAAAGTGGTCATTCAAACGTTATAGATAATTAGTTAGCAACGCACACGTTGCTAAGATCTCCGTGGCCGGCAATCTTCCGCGTTTCGTTCGCGCGGCCAATTTAAAACTCACTTTGACAAATTTTTGGTTTGTGCCCATCGATTTTGTCAATTTTTTTCTGTTTCGATCACGTGGCGGAGCAATCAAAATACACATCCCGAGTCTACAAGGACCCGGACATTAAAAGGGATTTTCCACCCCACCAAATAAAATGAAGTCAGGTTTGTTATTGATCCGTGGGCTCAAAAATAAAATACGCATCATTATCAATACTAATTACTTTATTTCAGACAAAACCTATACTATCCAGTCCTCGCCGTCTGCACCTGAGTCCTAGGACCATCTTCGATCCTCAAGTTCCAAAAAATTCGCCGTCCATAATGTGATAATCATGCTAAAAAAAAAAACTAACAACGGCATAGTGTACTTAGATCGCTCGTTAGCAAGGGAGTAGAGAGAGCATTCCATTAGCCGATAAACCTATCCGGAAATCTGCAAATCAGCACAGGATACTGCCACAGCAAACAGGCCAGCGAGCAGCACCGGCCTGCCAAACAAATGTATACATTAGTTCGTAGTCTGCTGGTTGCCGGCCTCCACCTACGCTTCGCGGTTATGTATAAAATGCTGTTGTTTTACGCATTCACAGATGATGATGATTAAATATTTAAGAATAATAATTAATCTCTACGTAGTTTCTATTTAGATAAAAAGTGAGAGCTTAATAAATGTGAGTAAACCCTAATGTCGATGGTTTATTAACAATGAAATACAAACTCGTAATAGATGTGTATGCGTTAACGTCAAGTACCTACGTAATGCGTGTCTCAGTTTGTCAATAAATATAAAAGTTTTACTCATAACTTATGAACGGCAACAACAGCAATTCAGCAGTTGTCAGCACAGCAAACCCCCCCTCCCCGCATACGGCCTCGCTCCCCGTGCACTCCACACGCCCTGAGCATACCAACATAACGATTAATATTACAGTTTTAGATTTAATTACAATTTGCAACAAATGCTGTACTTAATAATATTTTAAGCAACAGGCCAAATAATATATTGCCATCATCAAGTAAAACCACATTAGTTAATGAATACTTGATAAGTATACACTAGGCCTACTACTTAATATATTGACAATGTTAAAAGTAGTACATCGAAATTAAACTAATTAGAAAAATAACTAGAGTCTGAGGCATCACATTCTTACAAAGCTATTTACCACAAATCATGTATGACGATGTCCCACATAATGCCCAATTTAGCCCCATAACCACTTGTGGCGGTAGGTACATGATCTTCCAGTATTTTTGGATTATTTAGACCTGAAATTACATCTAAGACCGGACTGGTCTTACACCTTATGCAGATTAATTACATTAGTTAGCTAATACAATACCAATATTGAGGCTCAAATTTAAGCGACTCAAAGTTTTTTATGCTGAATTCCATAAAACTATTTCAAGTAATGAAATAAACAGTAAATTTAATTTCATTTTTAAGATATGTTAAGAAATTACGAACATTACTAGTTCTATACAAAAAAAAAGTAAATTAAAATCTTGTACATATAAAATTCTTACATTAAGTAGTTGTTAACCTACATTAAAAGATGGAAACTTAAATTATTTGTTACATTGCATGTTTTGCCACTATGTTGGTCATAGTAAGGTCTGTGGATGGCTTATAGTAACTGATGAGTTCTAGTACCTTGGCTGAAGGCTGCAGGCATGTAGGGACAGCACTTCAGCTCACAACTGGTACTCTCAACCTAAAGAAAAAGAAAAAAATCTTTAATATACTTTTAAAAGCATATTTAATTGATACATAAAGAGCACCAATAATGGAGGCTACTTATTTTCAAATAAGTTGGACTATCAGAACACTCTGGGCAAGAAGTGAATGGGATGAACCTATTGCATACTTGTTATTTATTTCTTGATAACTTAATGAACTTAAAGTTTTTATTATCATAAACTAACATTTAGTCTGATAGTTAATTCTATGAGCATCTTAGTACATGATGATAACTAAAATTGTTATCTTCTTTATCTTATCAAATATCTAAATTATAGATAAATTTCATGAACATAAGTGATACTTAATGTTTTTATACTATATAAGTTGTGAAACAAGTGCAACAGCCATGTTAAAGGTATGCAATTACAGAGGGCACTCTTACTTTGAAATCATCAAGTAGTCCCAACATGTACTCTGCCAACAATTTTTTTTTCAGTGCTCTTTGTTTTTTTCAAGCTTGGTTTGTGTGTACAGATTCAAGTGAAAAATGGTTCTAATTCTTATTGAACAGGAGCAAATAGTGTATACTAGTGTAAATAGTGTAATTCTGTATACTTAGAAAGACGATAAGTTTCAAAACTCACATTAGTAATTAAGAGTCTGAACACAATTAGATCCTATTAGACAAATTCAAAATAGAATAGAATAATATACTAATCAATATGTACATTATATCCTTAGTGTTTGGAATATACCTATTGATGCTCATATTGTCAAAAATTGGCAAACTAGCAGAACACCCTTACACTAATTTTTTTAGGACAGATTTTCATCTGAGTTTTGAAGGGCTATAAACTAGACAGTGCATAGTGTATACCTTCTTGCAATTATGCATATATGGTTATTTTTGGAATTGGCCATTATGCCACTTCAGGTATTGAAAAAGTATACTTACTCAGCACAGTTCAATGCCTAGAGCGAGAGCGGGAACGGCTGCGACTGCGTGACCTGCCGCGCGAGCTCTTTGAATCGGAACGTGAACGCGAATGGGAGCGAGAGCGGCTGCGGGTGTACGACCGCCTGCGAGAGCGGGAACGGGACCTGGAGCGACGACGTGAACGAGACCGTGATTGGCTAAAAGAATAACGATGACACAACACATATCAACCTGTGATCACTAATGATAGGGGGATTTAATTTAGTTTCGTTTAATAAGGCTTTTCAAGGGTTTTTGTACATTTATATTCAATGGTAGATTAATGTTTCTTCTGATAAAAAACGATGACTGCAAGATATGAGGAACTTCAACTAATTTGGATTAATATTTCCTTTTATTTAATATTTTGATTTAGGATTAGTAAAAATGTTATAGTATCATCATTTAAGTAATTAATAATGAAGGTGACTGTTTGTTATTATGAGTAAAAATACGAATTTTGTAAGATTTAAATGACATTTGACAGGAATCTTCTTGTCGCTTTAAATTTGATCAGCATGCAATCCAGTGGTGTTTTACACGAAAGCAGCACACACCACCTTGGCCCACAAGCTGAACAGGTCCAATGACATGTTATTGACAAATCTAGCTAATAAGCTGGCCACAATTGGTTTTAAGTGATTACATTGTGTGATGATGAAAATGATTTCTAAATGCAACACAAATTTTCATGTGTTAAGAACTTGGAAGTTTAAATTACTTGTTTACATTGCAACTCAAAACATAGGGACTAAATTATTTATTATTAATAATCAAGAACCTTAAGATTCTGTGGCCAGCTAGAGTATCGAATTTCAGTCATTTCAATAATAGGATTAAGAGCATATTGTGTTACCTGCGACCACGGCGGTCATATCGGCTTCTATAGGGCGACGATGGACGACCGTAGCGCGCCATCTGTACACGGAGTTCCCTGCCATCCAGCATGCGCCCATCTAAAGAATCCAGTGCTTCCTCAGCGTCACGGCGGTCGTAGAATCTACGAAGGTACAGACAAGCGAGTTAAAAAATAGTAATGCTTTAAAATTAACCACTAGTCCCTGCTGATAGGTGAATGTAGAAAAAATTGCAAATTAAAAAGCAACAGGTCGCAATTATGGTTCAATAGACGATTTGGGAACAATAACAACAGGATAATATCTTCAGGTCCCGAAACCATTATAGGCGGGTGTGGTATTTAACCGGTAACTGAGAATGACGTCACGAATGTTAAAAGTTGAAATATGCAGTAAAATTACCTCACGAATGCAAATCCTCTACTTTCTCTCGTATACCGGTCTCGTGGTATATATATATCACCAACTTCGCCACATCTTTCGAATACTCGACGCAAATCTTCAGGCGTAGTGCGGTACGTTAGATTGTCCACTTTCAACGACACCATGCCGTCGATACGCGGTGGTGGCCTTCCGTAACTCATTGTAACTTATATTTTTATGAACTTCACCGTAAGCAATAAATAAATTAAAATCACTAGAGCTGTAATAATAGTGTCAGCGTTACTAATACGAATAAGCGACGCGCGTGCTATGAAGGTGAGCGCTTTATCAAATATGGCTACCGGATGGATGCAATGTCGACAAAAAATATTGCCAGATGAAAAATTCACTTTTACCGGATATAAAGATTTAAATGTGACCAATCTAAAAAATTATTTCACGTTAAAGTCGCATCATATTTTGTGGTGTACTTTGTTTATGATTTTTAAACGTAAGTGAAGTGCTAGAATATAAAATTAATCATTACTACCGACTAGAGACAAAGAAACAGGGTTCCATAATTACAAGCAAGAAAAATAAATGATGTAGCTCATTAGCTTTTACCTAAAAAAATAATATTTTGTCAATTATTTTGAGTGAAACCCGTTGCTATGGAGAAAAATATTATTGTCATAATTTTCAAACAATAGGATAGTAGGATAAAAGATAAATTTGTGTAATTTTCGGTTAATATCAAAACTAGTAAAGTATACAACATTAATTTTAGTTTCAAAATGTCTGGTATTAAACAAGTAAGAAATAAAAAAGTTCTCCCTGATCTAAGAAAAGAGGGTTATCTTACTAAGGAAATATTGCTTTCAACAAAAGAGAAACATGGTGTTTCCACTGGATCGCGATTATTTTCACATCATACTTTAGCCAGTGTTCGGCGTCTAAGTTTCTACCATCCTTTCTTGTAAGTACTCATCAGTCACACTGGTGCCATAAAATTGATTCTAAATACATATTGTAATACATCGCCTCAATTTTCAATAATTCCGTAAATCAGTAAACCTTTATATAAATACATTTATTATATTTTATGTTTGTTGTAGCTTACCAGAGGATAGTCTTGATTTGGTTTTAGCAGCTACATATAATCAATCCACTGAAAAGTTTGCTGACAGGGAAGATCTATATTTGCAGCCTGAGACAATCGGTTGTGACACCTGGCGAAGACTCAGGAACACTTACGATAAACATCCACCTGTCGTTATACCTTCGGTAAATTCAACTTGATGCTATGGGGGCGTCTTTTACAATCTCTTTGAGGAATCGGATACATTCAGAAGGCCAAATCTCGTAATAATAGTTCGCTCACAATTTAGTTCCAATCAACTCTGTCATAACAAGTATTTTCGTAGTAAAGTATTAAACATTCCACCTTGACTGTGATGTGATAATATCGTATTGTAACTGACAATTGAATCTACTAGTCTTACTAAGACTATCAGATTCAATTGTCAGTAATACTACAATTTCACTACTTAAATACCTTTTATGACAGTTGTGAGATTGAGAGTTGATCGGAACTGAATTTTGACCGAACTTTTATTACGAGAATTGGCCTTCTAGTGTCTGTCAGAACATCTGTTTGAGAAAATTTATTTATAAACCATTTTAAATGATTAAATTATCTATTTAGATGAATGTTAAAGTTACCTGACTAGAGAAATGATCTTAACTTACAGTGGGCAACATGCACTATTAGTTACTGTCTGTTTCTCGTAGAGAATATTATCACTCAGTAAATTTATCAAATCTCGATCAATAGGTATTATTACTAATATTATAATTTGGTATAATACATTACGACCTGGTTAAAACGCCAGGCAATTAATAAGATTAATTATTAATTATAAGAAACAAATCCCTACATAGCTTCTACGTCCCTTGCGTAGGCGATGTACCAGACACCACCTACGCCTAAGAATTTGGACCACACTCTTTAGATTTTTGGCGCTAGTAAGTGTAACTACACTTCAGCGGTCCCATTAGTAGCGCCAAAAGACAACTATAACTACTAGTTAGTTATATTATAGTTGTCTTCATACTAATAACCACAATGGCCAGTGGAGATTTTCACACGCCAAGAAAACTTAAGTACCTGTTTGGGATGAGTAATTTAGACACACATATTAAAATACACACATACATCTGCTTACGCTTACTTAATATAAAATGAATTTTAGGGACACCCGATGAAACGAGGCGGTATTCGTGAGCATCGTTCTCCGTTCAGTGTGAAGCTAATGAATTCGGGAGTACATTCTTCCCAGACCAATCCTGGATACAGCAGGCAACCAGCCGGCGGAGCCATATTCTTCTATTAATTTTTTGCCAGTAGATTAACAACCACTTTCAAACATCAGACCAAGATTAGCATTAAATAAAAAAATATTTTTGTGTATTTGTACTATCTGATTTTAGTAGAATTTTGTTAGTAAAATTTAATACAGATTATTTATAAACTAGCCAACCATTATAAGACGTTGACCTGTGGAAATTAAAGTCGTTAAAGCCAACATACAATGCATTTTAAAGGCCAGACTCAAGCACTGTAGTACAGTGCTTAGGCATCTGAAACAGCGCAAAATTTTAATTTTGGGAAGATACCGTCTGATCCCAGAGGTTTCATTCACTAGTTCCATTATGCTACTATTGGGATTTTTTTTTCCCAGTAGTTCCGTAAAACTGAAATGCTGTTTATGCGAGACAAAATTAGTACCATTAGTTCCAGTACAATCACAATGAAATTAACATATTATGTAACTATCATTTGCCATAGTTCATTAAAGGTATTAGTTAGGTGAATAGGCAAGTTGACTCAATTTGAAAACTTGGTTAATTATATACTTCAATATCTATTTTATCTCAAAAAACCTATATTTTAAAGAAAAAGCAGAATTTACATAACGTATTTTGTATTTAGGAAAAAAACAATTTAAATATCCCTTGAAAACACTGAATAGAGTCATGGCGTCTTGAATCACGTCACAGTCTGCGAAACAAAACTGTTTACATCTGTGTCCAGTGTCAACTGAAACTGATTAAGGTGAGAAAATAGGCTAAAACCGAAAAACAATAAGGAGTAACCTGCTCTGTTGTATGAAAATGTCAACAACAACAATGATGTTTGAACACTTTCTGATTGGTGTTCGCTGTCACGTGACTTATTGCCTATTTTGTTCGAATTTATGTTTAAAAAAAAGTTAATCTTTAACTTTTATGAGAAATAGACTGGTTTTTTCTTATCAATGTCTTTTCATTTATAATTTAATACTATAAACCAAGCAATTTGTTAGTAGTGGACACAAGCCTATTATTAAGAAAACGACTTATGGGTTAAATAGTATATATTTTTCATTTTCTACCTCTATCTATTTTATTATTCCATTTTTATCTGTACAATGTTATAAAAAAAACGGCTAGAAAACCACCCGAATGCTCTTGCCGCGAGTCTTATTACCCGCAGCTATCAAAAACGTCTTTAAAGAAAAGACATGCTATAATAGTATAGGAGAAATGAAGAACTAAGGAGTACGTGCCTTCGCAGGAGGATACACTCGACCCGCAAAAACCTACCACTTATCCGCTTATAGTTGCCTACTGATTGCAGATTGGCACGGAAGAAAAAAAACAATACAAACTTCACCTCCAGACACTATTGCCGCTTTTGTAGGTGGTGAGCTTATAATAGTGGTGCTCTCTTCCACAGAAAAGTAGCACCCTACCTTGTACACGTTTAATAAAAATAAATCGATGTCCTCCAAAATCACAATTCAATTTCCTGTTCCTTTTTTTTTTTAATACAACTTACCTACTTTATTTGACTACAGCTCAACTGTCCATTTTTTGTATAACGGAACGTATTTTATTTATATTATATTAAGTGAAAAAGTATTCCAGTTCCATGGAATTACTGGGAGAAAAATCCCAATAGTTCCATAGTATAATGGAACTACTGGAATCAGAATTGCCCCATTTTTCTTTTGACTTTTCTAATTTCTCTAAAAACTTTTTCGAACTATTATAGCTAAAGTATCATATGTGTTATTACATCTCAGTCGACTCAGCTACTTAGAGGAGCAACGCTGGGGCGCGCGGTATAAAGGAAAGCGGAGTCCCGCCTTGCCCGCAAAGGCAGTACCGGCCGACTTCGCTTGCTAAGGCCCGGGGTTCTCTAATCGTCCGGCCGAGCTACCGACGACTGAGGCGTGTCCGCCGCTGGTGGCGTACGCCGTCTACGCAATTTACGCTTATTCGTCCCACAGGATTTATTGAATATAAATCCTAAACGCCACTTGTAATGATTTTTTTTATATCCGGTTTTTATCGCTGTAAAAAGTAGCCTATGTTACTCGCTGATAATGTAGCTTTACATTGATTGCTTTAGTAGCTTATCGAACAAACAAACTCTCTTTCACATTTAGAATATTAGTATGGATAGGTGAAGAGCAGCTGAAAGTTCACAACTAAGAAATAAACACAATAGAGGTGCACAATTCGAAACTATTTGACACTGGCCGTCCAAACCTTGATCAGTCATTGATTAAAAAGTAAGTTCTAGTAACATCTAGCACAGCAGATATAGTATCGAAAACACCATTTAACAATATATGAAACAAGCTAGCTTAAAAATTTCTGAAAAATTCCACTTGAAATATGTAAAATATACACTTACAATAAGGAACAACTCTTTATTATTAAATACTTCACAGTTCGCGTGATATGGATGTTTTGGATTCCCTTGGTGAGTTACCTAAGTTTAGTTTAAAAATCTATGCTAAATGTAAATGTGTTAATGAAAACGGCACAAAATATTTGCTGTAGTAAAAATGTATCAATATTTGAGATTGAGAGTAGTTGCTGTGTACATATTATAAAATATGGTCTATCTGAAAGCAAAAAACTCCAAAAGTATTGCACGTACATTACAGGTTTATGTGTATAATTATTTAAGGTTTTGTACAAGTTTGATGAATTATGACGAAGACTGTTACCTAAATAGTAGGTAAAAGTGTGCTGACTGGGATTTTTATTGGCGTGTCCCTGAAAAACCAGTAAAAATATATCAAAACACTGTATTACGGATTTATGCTCGTTGAAAATATCTATAACAATATAGCCATGCTATTCATCTATCTTCTTAAAGTAAAATCTTTCTGCAAGTTCCTCACCTTTATTTATAATGATTAAAAAGTTTTTTTTTTAAATCTTCACAATTTTGCAGGCTCCATTAAGTTTGAAGTAACACCAATATTTCAAATCCCAAAGAAACTGTGAGATCTCTTTTCTCGTTAAATTATTCGCCCTAATGAAAGCTAAAACTTTACTTTTAATAGAGCGAATTCTCCTTCAGTCTCGAGAAACGTGTCTGAGACGTTAGAGAAGCGCCCTCTCTGACCCATAAGTAGGTGGCAGGTTACAGGTGTCATCAGTATTATGGTATGGGTTATTTTTCATACTGGGGTCCTTTCTCGCAGACCAGAAAAATCCTACCGCGTACCGTCTATAACTTAAAATGTGAACCACTCATCAGGAAACAACCTGATTCGGTAGAAACAACTTAATTATTTTATTTTTTAGATCTTGACACAAAGGACAAAAAGTCCCTTCGTGTTCGGTCTTGGTACTTGTACGAGCAATATAAATCTCTCGAAAAACACCAACTTGACGCTGCACAGAAGTTAAAGAATAGATCGTACCAGGATAAAATTCTTCGCCAAGAATTATCAGAAAGAAGAGCGAGACGTAAGTTGTGTGACCAGTTCGGACTTTGCCAAAGTGAGTCCAGCATTCAGAAAACATTAAGTAATCATACCGCACACGCCCCAACGCTTAGTGTGAGTAACGACGATTTTTTTGAGAGCTTCAGCGAGCAAGACGACGAACACGTCACCAAAGAAACTGAGTTTGACTATAGTGAAGAGACAACCCAAATAAAATCTTCTGTGGAAGATTTTAAAAGTCTTGAAGAACGGAATGACAATGTTAGTAATTCGGACAGTATAAATAGTGTTGTTGAAAATATTACAACGGCTAATATTGCCGAGATTAAATGTAATAGTGACTGTAGTGCCTATTCAGAAAACGCAAATTGCGAAGACGAGAATTTTGTGAGTACATTTAATGAAAGTAATGAATATGAATACCTAAGTGACAGTCCTATTACACCAGTAATCATAGCACAGGACATAAATAAGCAGTTGGATTCCGTTCGAGAAGATATACAACGTTTAGAAGATATTACAAAGTTCGAAATCGATTCCAGTAGAGACGATATTCAATGTTTGGAGGACATTACAAAAATCGAAGATAAAAGTTCGGATAATGTGAGCCAGTGCTCACAAGATGCAGCCCATCATCCGAAATTTATTCGCAACAAAGATAAAGAGAAGGAAAGCTACAAAGAGATAATTCCAGTATGGTCTAAGCTAGTTAATTACGCATACCAAATTGTACAATTGAACCATGGTACGTATGTATAATTAAAAATATTTTAGGAATATACTACTGATAATAAAGGTTAGAAGGCTCGAACTTGCTGACGCGAATTAATTACTCGAAGGCTCGAATAATTAATTAGAGTTTCCAGTATGCGACCCTGACCTGTCCTAGCTATTACTTACATTTCCAAATCCCTCATCACTATCTATCACCTTTAATATTCAACTGTTAGACAAAGGCCTCTCCTTAGAAAGTAGGTTTTGGCCTACTATACCACGCTGGCCAGACGGGTTGGCATAGTCTGTGTCAAGTTTCTTTATCTTTCCAGTGCTGTTATCTTGCGTAGTCTGCTCCCTTTAGTCGGCTTTTACGACATCCACGCAATGTATAGGGGTGGTGACACTCCGTATTCTTAATCCGTCAGCACATGGGTCCCTAGTTATAAACAACATACATTTTATACCATTGCCTTCCTTTTCTTTTACTTTTGCTTTTAAAGTAATAATCAATTTGGCCAGCTTATCTCTGAATTGCCCGGTTGAAGGCTTGCTCTTTATTAGGAACACGACATAGCCCAGGACCACCTACGTAAGTATTACACAAACGATTCCCGGGATACATGAATTATATTAAACGAAACCATTACGGCGTGAGTTAACGCTTGCATTTGTTCCCTGTTTTTTTTTATTAAATCACAGTAATAATCACCAATATCTATGACATACGAATCTGGTTGTATCTTAAAAAGCCCCTAAAATGTTGTACTATATTTAACTATGTATACTCTCCTCTGAATGTATACTAACGGTAATCTTGGTTGCAGGTAATTGCTATTGTGACTATAGTTCTCAGTTTTTGACTGCTGTTCTTGCATGTGACATACTACGTCGATGCGTCAATAGAATGTGTAAGTAGCTAGGGGCGAGTGGGTAACAGTAGAATAATCATCAGGTGATCCATTGTTACCCTCTGTCCTCTACACAGTTATTTTTAAACTTAATACTTATTATCTACTTATTGATATTTGAACGATGGAGTTTTGGTTTTAGATTTCATGTGTTCCGACATAGTATCTACTGATAGTGCAAATTACCGACTTGCCTAAAAAGCTATAGTAATTCGAGAACTCAACAGTGGGTTGGTAGGTATAAGCGCACCTCTTGTTTTTTTATTGTTGAAGCTAGACATAGCTATCAGTTAGACGATTTTAAATTTGATTGTCAGTTTTACGAACATGCTTATATCGGTTCACCTGTTTTCAAGTGATGCGCTTACTAATAAACATCATGTTTATTTTTATATAGATTTGTTTCGTTTTAGCCTCTTTTTCTAATAAGAGAAAGTATTCAGGTAGATAAAACGTGGAATACATCATTCTCATAATCTTGTCTATCTACATACTTTCCCTTGTGAATATGACTTGAGTTGATATCACTGTTGTTTTTACAATGGAGAGCAGTTCTTTACCAAGTACTCATAGATTTTATTTTTTTAATATAATAATAATGTCGATAATTTAATATCGAATTTCCGTTCGTAACTATTCCATCTGTTTAGGTATTAAGTAGGTGATTTAATTCTAGGTAATATTTTGCAGCCTTACGTCTCACCAATAAGTTTTGTTACTGACGATGATAAATTTGACTCTTCCAAGTTTGGAAAAACTAAAAAATTAGTACAATCAAGAAAATCTAAGAAAATAATTGAAAATAAGGTACTTACCGATTAATACCTATAAGTTTGTACTGTAACTATGCTCTCCTGCCGATATTCCAGTATTGAACGACTTTAAAAATAAGTAATTAAGTGTACTTGATCAGTGGTTTCTGTGTTTAATCGATACAGACCCTCAGAAAAGTGACAGAAGTGTTTATCTTGTTAGGTGGTTTTGGCGATTTTTAAACCGTATTTTCTCAGTGCGATTATGGTAAACCGTGACATACCAATACGTATCTATAGGTAATTTTGGTCAAACATTTAATATTATACAATCACACAACGAACCAAGATAAAAAAATATTTTGAAAGATATAAGCTACATTTTGTGAAACAGCAGTCTTTCGTAATTGTCGTAAACACTGTCGCTTATGAAAAGAAGTACTATGATATTTATCGAATAACGTCAATATGTTGATAAACAATTCCGTTCTTATAAAGTTCGCCCATTTCATTATCGTGACAAATTGTCTTAATCTACTTCTACTTGTAATTTATTTTTAACATTCTATATAAAATAGTGTAAGTTTGGATGGATGGCTGTTTATTTTCTAATCAATCACACCAGAATAGCTGAACGGAATTGGATGAAAGGTACCGCGTTGACTGGTGAACGCGATAAATACCGTAAACATACGCGATAGTTTAAAAGTTAGTAATGTGTAAACATTTAAAATGTAACAGTCAAAACGAGATATGTATATATCATTGTATTTTACTAAGCTTTACCTACACACAAAAAGTAGGTACTTAGATATAGAAAAGAGATTTTAAACCTATTAGAAAACAACCCGATATTTGACACATATTCGAAACAGCATTGTACACACACATTTATGTCCGAAAGCTAACATAGTTAGATAATAGTTTTTTTTTGGTTTAGGCATACTATGTGGATTCTTGCAAATATATTTATACCCACTTCTTTATTTACTCCGACTTTTCTTGTCGTATGGAAAATTGGACTCTTATGCATAGGTAATACTATTTTTCTTTCCAATTTTTAGCCTAAACGAAGAGTAAATCGTCATAAAAATTCGTCAAGGCTTTCATATAAAAACTATTCGGAAAATTGCTGGGACTCTTATATAAGACGGGCGTCATTTGAGAAGCGGTCAAAATCAAAGTACCGTCGGCGCAACAGTGAACCTTGGCAAAGGGTCGTCAAGAACCCTCACAAAGAAACCTTATATACATCAGGCAGCAGCATTTGGTCACAAATTTCTAAAGATAGTATGTCTAGAAATATGTTTAAAAATTGCACGTGCTGCAAGAAAGTGGTCAACCCAATGTTGAAAATTGCACGATATATAGACAGCATATTGAAGGACATCAATGATTTGTAGTCCAGCGAAAATTCTCATTGAATAATAAAAATTGTGAGTAATCCTTAACCTATGAGTTTTATTTTTGTTCAAACTTTATCTTATATACTTTTTTACGGTGGTATTTGTATCGATATCTGTGTAAATAACAGCTGACCTTACTAATTATTTATTTCAAAAGTCTCTTTAGTGCAAGAAGTTTTATGTGCAAGACAATAAAATTATTAATTTACGAAAGTTTAGATCATCTAGCAATGTCAGTCAATGCCTATACTTACCAGCCAAATAGACCTTTATTGTGTATAGGGACAGAGGTAAACTACTAGAGAGAGCTAACAACTTACTGCCTATGATAGTTTTACTTCTACATTCTTTATACATAGGTATGTACTACCATCATGACTAGACCTTAATTCAATGAGTTGGTTGTTAGAGGGAGGAAGACATGTCTGTAACATAAATTTCCAAGTTCAAAGTTAAATACTCAGTCCTAGGTTGCTTACTAGATCGTACTTAAGTAGTTTCGTTTCTATTCAAGTAGCGAGTGAATAGGACCCCGGGCGTCGAGATAATACAGATAGAGGGGAGAACGTATTAGATTGCCTGTAAATGGAATAGCGACGTGGGTAGAAAGAGAAAGAAGACGGGGATCACTTCAGGCTACCAATTTTTTTTTTTCCACACTTATAATCAGCTAAGAGGTGCCAGAGAGATGCATGTAAATCGTCGTCTCTTTCTACCAACGTCCCTGTATCGGTATGTATTTAATTTTGCTAATTCCTTTTATGAATGAATAGTTTTTAAGACTTATCCTATTCAAATGACTGGTCTATTACTCTAGTAGTCCAGGATCCATTCTTCGTTCTTTTAATTTGTTGCAACAATACTTGTTTTGTTAGTGCCAAACTGGAAGGATCATATCCTACGATTTTTTGTACGTGTTACAATTAATAAATATAATTTTGATTAGCCTTCCACAATATAGGCTCAACTAGTTTAGGCGCAGACGGCCGTATGTATGATGTTTAATGTTATTTTTATAAATAATTTTTATATATGCCTCAAATACGTGTCTCCCGCTTAGCTTAGGAGGGAAGTGGATTTGTTTCCAAATTTTTCAATTTACGTCTGATTAATTTCATTGTGGGTTCCAAGACAGTAAAGTTTCCTGGAACTTCCCGAGTGTCATAACTCGGTGTGTTCGTTGGGTCACTGCTGTAGATTCTGGTGTACAGGAGTTGCAGTAGTCGGCGTGTAAGAGGGATCACTCCCATATTTAGGCATCGACAACATTACCACACTATTAATTGAGGTCAAGGAAAATAAAACGAATATGATAAATATGTAACACTTTAATACACATGTCGCCTGTACAACAGCGAATTTAAGTTAGTTACAATATTTATTTGTATGTCTACATAAAAGATTTACACCGAAAGATTTTTATATGAACTCACCCCTTCACCTTTCTTAATTCGTATAATGAAACTAGCCCGAACTTGTAACACAGGAAAAAAAAGTATTTTTCTATAAAAGTTTTTATTTAGTAAATCAATGAATTACCCCTACAACTTGTAAAACAAGTTCGGTTCAGATAGCTATTTAACACAATTACCATTCGGTGAAGTTTAAATAGTATCCAGCTGTTTATATAGACATATATTTAATCCCAAAATTATATAAGTGTCAACATAAAAATTCGTAGAATAATGATCGAATTAAAACTTTGAGATACATTTTGTGTGCTATTTGACCAGGATAAGGAATATATTGTTGGCAAAAATCGCCATATAACCGAATTGGTTCTCTGTTGATCCTCTCGTCTACTTTCCGTTGTCTTTGTGGACAATGGCTAGCTATGAAGTGATGCTGGAAACAAAGACTAGCCAATAAAAAATATGACAGAATATCAAAAAGCGCGGTTCGATTTGCAAATAGTTATACGATAGCCACAAAATGGCTGAAGTAATAATCAATATACTGCAAAGTGAAAATTATGAATGTTCTCACTTTGTAGCAATTGAGGATTTTTAACGAAATGATAAATATCCGGTACTAAATAAATAGTTATCCAGACACTGTTAGGAAAGTACAGGACGGTTAAATGAGTCAGTGACATGGCGGAATTTCCGTGGACAAATTTTTATCACTATGGTAATCATTCAAGTGTTGTTCGTTTTAATATCAAAACTGTGTTTAGTGTCAGCGTACTGCAGCAAAACAGCGAACAGGCAAACGTCGATGAAAAGCGCCAGCGCTGAACGAGATCTGACGTTTGTATCGCTGTACCACAATCCGTCTTGCTCGCTGTACCATCAGTTTATAACTATTTAAAAAGATTCTGATGAATTCGTGATGATGTTAAATAACCAACCAGAGCATTAGATCTGATACAATTGTGTCACATCTGCTATTATGAGAATAATAATTAAATTACCGATTTGCCAACACAGCGTATTTCAATAGAGGCTATCAAATGAGGAGGTACTTCAAACGGCGTATGTTTCTTTTCTCATTTTGGTATGGATCAAATAAATATTCTTATGCGAGATAAACCCACAAATTGATAACCGAAAGCCTGTAGGTGTAAAGAGAATAACTCAAGTCGCAAGTCCAGTCAAAGAACCTTCAATTAATTATCAACTTAAGTGTTTAGGTGCGCAGGCTGTGTTATATATCATATGGATTTGTTGGATCTTTTACAAAATATTTATCTTCATATTTTTATTATTTTAGTCTATGTAAAATTTTATTTGTATTAAGTACATATACTATTTTAATATATATATTCTACTCATCATGTTATGTGACTATTATTTTAAGGCATGTAATTGGTGCACTTGTTATTTCATTCGTTTATAAAATAATAACACATTATATTTAAAAATAATAAGAGCATAGACAACAACTAGTTCGGTAAAGGGGAAGTTATAGTGCTCCACGTTTGTGCTACATTTATTATATTAGTTTGGCGATTACACATATTTTTTATATCTTATGCAAAACACAAAAATGTCCACTGCCGTGCGATTAAATAACACATCGAATATACTTGCCCCATAACATTAACTATTTGATATTTTTAGTTTATTACAATAAGTATAATTAATTATAAGTATATAAAATTGACGCCATTGTCACATGTTGTACACTCAGTGCATGGTCATTCAAACAGCTGTTTATGACAGTATATATTGCATTTTTAAAAACAAAGTTCTCTCTTAATTATTTAATATACAGTCAATCTTCTAGTTTATTTAGTAAAACAACACATCGCCCGCAATATGCATTTTGCAAATAAAGTTTAATAATAAATATAAAAAAAAACGATTGAAGATGTGAAACATGACAACCTCACATACCAATTAACAGCCAGTTATCTCTCTTTGGTCAAGTCAAAGAGCGTGCACTTCCCGTGCTTCCTGTAACAGACTTCCGTCCCTCTCCCCCTCAAAGGTTGCGAGAGGAAAAAATTAAAATTATAATATCAACAACATTTTATCTAATATCATGCCGTTACAGTTCGTATCTGTTATCGCAAACAAGTACCATTTCAGTGACGAATCAAATTTAGAACTGGTTTGGATATTTTATTACGAATTGATCAATTCATTCATTACCTTACATTAAAAATTAAATAGTGACGTGTTCTATAAAAGTCTCGAAACTTAATGTTAGGCTTTATGAAATAATATATTAATTTAACTTTCGAAATATTAAACATTTTAAATTTTAAATATTTCAAACATGGAGTGTGAAAGGTGGCTCAGTTGCACCAAATATTAGTGTATTACTTTTTATTTAACAATAGGGGTAAAATATTTTACACAATAGGACTGTGACTTTTAACCCCGGAACACCCGTTCCAGGGTTAAAAGTCGTCTGCGGTATTTCCGGACCGATACGACTTTTAAACCTTCAAGAAAAGAGCTTCCTAAAACTCCTCCTGAGTTGCAGAGGTTCATGGGCGAGGTTGGTCCCTTTCCATCAGGTGACCCATCTGCTCGTCTGTTCCCTCTAACATAAAAAAAAAAACAAGAAAAAAGATGACTTGACTGAGTTGACAAAGATTTAAAATCAAACCAACACTAAAGTATTTCTATGACTGCTGCATCATCGATTTTACGACAGCTTCGTTTTACCATAGACAATTAATGTTGCCTATTTTGAAACTAAACTACAAACTTGTAATATTTACGGGCTTCATAAAATTAAGTGTAAAATTAATCTTTACTGTTTCTAGTTTGGTTTTAAAATTAAACGTCTTGTCAATAGCACGTTGTGACGTCACAAACCAACTTTTCACAGAACATAATATACTTAACTTTGTAGTCACCTACCGTAATACATACATAAGTGTTCATGAGTTCATATTTAAGGTCGAATTGGGGTTATAGGTAATCGGTACAACTTGAGCTCCGATTTCCATTTTACACCATTTTACACAATAATTTCGTATAATATGCACTGAGTGTACAAAGATTTTTTATGCTATAATTTGAGCTAACAGTGTTAGTTGTCGGGCGGATTGTCGAAGTAGTCGATCTTCTCGGCCGGTGGTTGCTGAGCCTGTTTCGGTTGGCTGCGAGCCGCCCAGGCTTTTGTCGAGGTTAGTGTAGCCCAACCACTCGTTGATCTAAATAGAAATAGTTGTTTAGTATAGGTGATCTTAATTTTAATTGTTGAAACAGAAAGTAAATTGAATTTTGAAAATTGAGTTACTATCGTTCGTAATGGATTTTAAAGTCAGAGGATGGTTTACGTATTATGTAATGCAGCTGTCATCAAAAGTTAAGGTCATTCCCCGTAGGTATAACACAAAAGTAATAACTACATTTGTATTTCGTGTAAAGAGTCTATGGCGACCGCGCGCTTCGGCTGATTGATTAATCACAATTCTGGCAGAAAATTCGATGAGGAAACGATGGCAAAGTTTTTGAATTGGTAAGTATTTTCTATCAATAGGAAAAAACTAGACATAGGATTTTTTAAGTAATTTGGCTATGTTGGTCTGATGTTGGAAAATTGGTCTCTTGTCCATGTCTGTTGACTTTTTGGGTCCTACTTATTTTGTTGGAAATTAAACGAACTGTATCATTTTATGACTTCGAAATATAGTTATATTTCTACACTAGAGATATTTAAACCCCATAATTATGAAGTTAACATACTTTTAGTGTATGACCATAATTCTAAAATATTATGGAGGTCGTTCTACATAACAGGGGTTGAAATAATTATACCGGAAATGGGATTTAATGTGAGTATGTAGTGCGTTAGGGCCCGCCCGCAAAGCGATATTTATTTTATCAAATCACAGATTTTTTTTTCCACCATTGCGGATAGTCCAATATAGATCCCATTCCGTTAAATATCGGTGTGCGGGCGGACATGTACTGACTTGTTGAGCGCGTGCGGCGCGGCGGAGGGGGCGGGGCCGGGCGCGGCGGGCGCGGGCGCGCGCAGCACGGGGCCCGGCACGCGCCGCTTGCCCGCCTCGCGCGCCAGCACCTCCAGCACGCTCATCGCTGGCAGCCACGACTGAGGACCACACTCTACTTACACCACTGGACGTCAAACTTGCGAAAGCCCTCGTTCACTTATTTCGCAGAATCACAAAGCATTTACAGAATAGTCAGAGGTCTCGATCTTTGTTATATGTCTGAATGTAATTTATATATAATATTGTATTGAGAAATATATAAGTATGTTTATCAGCAGTCTGATTACCGTAGTAATAGTTTGGGATCGGACAGCCATGAATGCGTGAAGTTATTATTTTTATGAAAGTTATTTATTTATTGTTAACCAACCTTCTCTTTATCGGCGGTAGCGACTACGTTTCTATTGGGCTCGGCGTCATAGGCCACGCTCTCGCACCCGAAATGTTCGCACAACTCGTGGATGAATTGACGCTTCTGCCAGTTCATTGACGGGAACGAGTGCGCGCGCGTCTTCTGCTTTGACTAGATAAAAAAAGAAATTTTATTAGTTGTTTAGTACTACAATATAAACGGTTTCATTATGATTTGTTTACATTCGTACAGGCCGGCTTTTCGGGCCGGTCGTGGCATGTTTTGCAGATGTGAAACATCGAAATTATTTTGTTTTCTTTTTTTTTAAAGGCAACTCCCGCATTAGGAATAAATCCTGTGTCGCGGGGGACTTACAAACATACATGAAACGGACACAAAGAACACCCAGACTCAGAACAACAATTTGTGGATCACACAAAGTGTCGTCCCATGTGGGGTTTGAACCCACAACACTCGGCGTAGTAGGAAGCGGCGTGGCGACCGCTTAAACCACTACGCCATCCGTGCAGTCAAATAGTCGAATCGGAAGAAAGGCGTAGTCGTGATCGTCACTTGTGCATGGCGACTCGTCGCCACATCGCATGACATGTTAGATATACTCTCTCATAGCGTCGCAACGCGACGCCACGCTCACAGCAGGTCTGACAGCATGATGTGCAGAGATGCATTAAATGTTTCACATCAAATATTCACTTTAGTACAATAGGATACCAATGCATGCTGTAATCGACTGCTAGCAGTCGTTGCACTGGAGTATCATACTTAAATAAATGCATTCCCTGTAATATTATGTGTTAACAATAGGGAATATGCACGTGACACCGAAATGGACAAAATATTTTTATTTGTATTTTTTGTTGCTAAAAAAAGATACCCATACAATTATTTTTGAAATTTATTATAATTTAATAGTGAAATTTAATCATCAAAAATTGGCTTTTTTAAGATTCCCTCGCAAATTTCTAAAACGCAACGCTATTTTTTGAATAAAACGTGACGTCAACCTACACTGTCAAGAGTGTCAACAAGTTGTGTGTATTTGTAATATTTGGTTTCTGGTGATTATTTGTTTCATTTTAAGTTAATAACTAATACGTTTTCAGTGTTAAATTATTAAATTCCCGTGTAGAAAGACTCAACACAATGACTGAATATTTAAAATTGCACTTTGTCAGGTGCAGTTTTGATATTATTTGGCACAAAGGAACGGCACAATATTTATAATAAGTTTTTATTGGCTTTTCCTTGGTAATAAGTTAATTTTTATCACTCACTTTTTTAACTTTCACAAACTTTGTGAACTTCACTCCGTTGTTGACATCGAATTCGTCTGAAAGTGGAATCTGACGTCACAAAAAAAGCGCGCCAAAATGGACTTGTTCAAATTGCCCCAAAATGATAGTGATTTTAATAAATTTTTTTTTGCTTAACGGTTTATATTTCGGATGTGTTATATTTATTTTTGGTAATGTAATAACTAGTAGAATCGTTAAAAAAAATAAAAAAAATACATGCATATTCCCTATTGTCGGCGAGTGAATAATGAGAAAAAAATAAACAAATACCTTTTTAGCGAGTTGCACGAGCTCGGTGAGCTTGTCGTGCACGAGCTGCGCGAAGGCGGGCTCGCGCGCGGCCGTGGCGCGCACGTGGTCGGAGTAGCGCGGCGCCAGCTTGGCCGACACGTCGGGGTTGCGGATCTGCAGCGCCAGCGCCATCTGGCGCGTGCGCGCCTCCACGCGGCACTCGTCGTCGCACTCCAGCCTGCCCGCACCCGCGACCAACACGATTACTATCACACTACCAACTCGGTGGTGATACCACGTCCCCGCAAAAAAGCACTTTCGTTGGTCTTCACAAAGTGAGATTAGCGGACTCAAACCCCCCAATTTTCGGACTCAAGGGCTAGGCTCTTTTTATCAGGTGATCCGTCTGCTGGTTTGCCCATAACACTATAGTAAACGTAAGGCTAGAAGGTTCGGATCGGTTATCTCTTTTTTTACTTAATCCCCAAAATGCAGTAAGCAGTAATAGGATTATCCTCTATTACGTGTGTAGGATCAAATTATATTGGCCAACTATAATTTGGTTATATGTAAACATGAGTATTAAATACGTAATAATAATTTAAAATCTTACGTCTTGAGCATGTTTCCAGGTCTCTCAGACAAATCGACGGAACCGCCTTCCTGAATTTTTGTAGCTGCCAAAGCGCTCATCATCCTATAAAACAATCAATAAGTAAATGTTCGCTACTAAAAACCCCTCCAAGTTCATAATTCATTTTTAAACGTCAGCAATAAACCGTGACGTATATAATGTTGCATAGGATTAAATGGTTCAATTGTGTGAAATGTGGAGGACAGCGCCATCTAGTATCGACTAAAGTACAGCTATTGAGATTGTGGTTAATACGAGTAGCTCTGATTCTTACAAGGCTAGATGGCGCTGCAAGTAACGCGTGACTGTTTCTGGAATATTCCTGTTTCTTTGGAACGGACTATCGAATCTTACCACTCGTAGGAAAATTCAAAAGCGCTATAAAAGCAGAGCGTGTTGGCCGTTTGGGACAATATCGTTTTACGACAGCGAATTAACATCAGAGTGAATTTCAGGTGCGACTAACGAGATATTTAGTGATTTCTAGTTTATTATAGTGAGTAAATACAGTGCAATAACGTAATAAACCGACAACTATTATTTATCCCGCTCGTAATAATAAGTTTTTTGAAAATGATCTAACATCTAATAGCTGGTGAAAACCGCATCAAATTCTGTTGTATAGGTCAAGAGGAGTTAGTAGACATCTAATCGACAGACTCCTAAGGGTACCTTCGAAATCATTGTTGAATTTGTCAAGCATTTCAAAATTTATTTTTCGTATTTTTCTAATAAGTTATAACGCAAGTATAAAAAACAAAATTTTCTGAAAAATAACATACTATACAAAAATACATAGCTTACGTAAGCTGAATTTTAAGAGATCATCAGAAATGATGTATTAGACAACGTGGCTCATCAAAATGAAACCCTTGCCAAGCTTAAGTGGGTTCGGTTTTATATAAACTTAACTTTATACAGCTGCTCGATACAAAATCGCTATTTTTTGACAGGCGGTGTTAGAACTAAGTGCGGTAGAGCTAGAGAGGCGCGTGGTCTTACCGTGCGTAGTCCCGGGCGTTGTCGCAGCAGTAGCGCTCGGCGTGGCGGCGGCGGCACGGGCACGTGGCGCGCACGAGGCGGCGGCACGGCGCGGCGCTGGGGCACGCGGCGGCGGCCGAGCGCGGCGCCGCGCCCACGTGGCACGGCGCCGCACACGGGTGCCCGCACGACGGACGCTTCTCCGTGCACGCCTGCGTGCATCTGTGCCGACGCAAACCGTTTACTTTTTGTACACATAAAATTCTTGTGTTTTATATGAATGTACGAAGTATTTATTGTAACTAAAATATATGTTTAACAATTTTAGAAGCAAAACGTATGTATGTTTTGTTTGTAAAACGCTGGTAAAACATCGTAGTTAATGTGCTAGTTGTTTATTTAACTAATATATATATAGTATCGACTTATTATTATATTTATACTTTATATTTATTATGTTTTGCTTCGTTTTTGATTTATAAAGTAGTAAATTGTTATAGTTACCCGACATGAATTTTTCTCTAATAATTTAAATATGCTTTTAACCTGTCATTAAATAATTTACATGCCTTCAAAAACCTGTTTTCAAATTATTCCATGTTCAAATTAACAATGTTGTCAATACTCACTTGCCAGTATCACAAGGTCCTTTATGACATGTCTTGATACACGTGTGTTTGCCGCAGGGCAGAGGTTTGCCACAAGGCAGACCGCACGAAAACTCCTCTTGTGAACAAGGTATCGTCTTACGCTCCTGTGCAACAGAAAAATAATGATATCAGTGCACAACTAACTGCCTCATAAATGCGACGGATTTTAGCATGTTTGCTTTTGAGCAATTTTTATATTTCCTGAAATTGGATATCAAAAACTTGTTAAATCATTTTATGCACGCAATTAATTAAGATATCTTCTTCTTAGCGTGTCGATGAAAATTCAAATTGAGTCGGCCCAAAATTTGGCGACGAGTACGGCACTTTCAGTAGCCTCCATCAGTTCCTGTGATGTGCAAGTAACAGGACAGGCTGGACACGATATCAAGTGCCCCATAGTTTGTGGGGCAAGACCACACTTACACTCCAGGGCAGAGTCATCTATGAATCTCCACCTGAACAGGTTTTCTTTGCTTCGGCCTACCTGTGTCCGGAGTCTGTTTAGAGACTTCCAGGTCAGCCATGACAACTCGTGTCCAGGCGGAAGATTTTCGGCAAGTGGCACAAATGGGTTGGGTAAGGAAACGCTATCTTGCCACAACTTAAGTCTTTCCTTAGAGCGTTCACCAGTGAGCGGGGGTACACACTTTAAAAAGCTGTTGCGGCTTTTCAGCCTTTGCGGTACTATGATGTTATTGTGTAGAGGGTGTCTAGCGTCGGAGACCATTTTGGCTCTTTCACTAGAGCTCGCCACCGCTCTGCGAACCACTGGTGGCAAGTTGAACATAGTAACTCAATTACGCATTTATGCTATTAGCCAATACAAGTCAGTATAATGTAGTTACCTCGTGATCGCCATGGCACCTTTTGGTAGTGAGCACGACGCACGGAGGGCAATCCCCGGAGTGGCAGGAGTGGTGCGGCGGGTGCTTGCAGGGGCGCTCCCTCACGCACGGAGCGCTGCAGGCCGGCGGCCGCGTGCCGCAGCGGACGGGCGGCAGTAGGACTTCAGCGCCACATTCGCAAGTCAACTCTTCAAAACCTTGAAGGAAATTCGGAATCTTAGGTGTGGACTTATTTTATTAGTAAACAGCTAAAAAAATTAAAAGGACTCATTAGAAATAACCACCGTTAGCATTTTATAGTCAGCAGTAAATATTAGTCATTTTTATTTCTTTAGTAAACAGAATGATTTGGACATGAACATGTTTCTTGTTTGTGTATGCAAATAGTTTTTCTTTAGGACTATTGTAAAATAGTAGATTATCCCACGATAATTATGTTCCCGTGTGAAAGCCAAGCTACGTTATTTATTCAACAATTGTTGTTAACCAATTAAGTAAAAATTAGATATCGATGTGAGACGTGATTTCTTTTATATGTTACGTCATGTATTCTAGAATTAATACATAGATAAGGTATAGAGTATGGAGGTAGGGTAGGGTACTTACTGACGCGCGGGCAGAGCGCGCAGTGGCCGGTGTGGCAGAACTCCTCGCAGCGGTGCGTCTGGCACGACAGCGTGCGGCCGCACACCACGGCGCAGCGGTGCGACGCGCTCGCGCAGCACACCGTGCGGCAGCGGTGGCGTCCGCACGACAGCTTCTGTACACAGCGATACAAGCCTCACTTCAAACTTCATATTCACTTTGTGTATTTAATTCATTTCTATACCTATTCGCATTATTTATAAATATAAGTCTAAAATGGTTGACAAATCTCGATCAAAAAGTTGTTTTAATTTACATAGAAATAGTTGATATAAAAGTCTGGTACACATTTAATAATGGCATTTTTTACACCTAAACTAAATATAGCTTGCATATGCATTCCACCTGGAACTTGGATAAACATACTCATAGCCGATTCGCGAAGAAATTATCGTTTCGTAGAAAAGCTTGGAACCTAATTGCTCGGGAGCGGAGCTTGAATGATGGGTTGCTATTATCTTAACGTGAATGAACTATAATTTTTTTGTAATTAATAAATAAATAAAAGTCCTTGTTAACTAATATGTTTACGAAGAGTACAAAGTTTTGGATTTTTCTGATTTTGATGTAATAGACCCAAGAGAAAAACATAGGTCGCTGGTTCAAATCCGGCTCGAAGGACCAAAAATTTATGTACGGAGTAGCACGAGGATTGCAGTGCTTGTTAAATAAAAGTAATGTTTCAAATGTTACACTCTAATAGTATATTGTTCAGGTTCATAATATGTTCTTAAACGCTAGAAATTTTAGTGAAATTTTATGTTTAATGAAAATGATATAATGTTGAAACGAATGAACCCGAAAACGTTTGTTCTAAATAGGTAAACGCATGACTCGCTTAGTCACCACACTCGCTCACCGAACAAGTGCATTGTTGCGCTTTGAGTGTCCCCTCCCTCGGAATGGGAGGGTCGAGGAGGGGACGCTTGGGCTTGGGTAACCGCACATTCAGTTTTTACTGAAACTTACAGTTGTAAAGAAATAAATAGATCAGAGTAGTTTAGTAGTTTTCTGAGAGGCTGTGGTATCACCGGCCGGTCGAGCTGACCTACAATCCTTAACACTCTTTATTCCTTTATAAACTCTTTATAAGTTTACCTTATTACATTTCTTCTGGCATAGCACATTGTTATACATCTGGGGTAAATCAGCGCAGGGTACTTCGCGACTGGAATGACCGCAGCGACACGGAAGCACTGTCTTGTCAGGGCATGTAGGGCAAGCACCTGTCGAATAAAGGGGATATTTGAATAAGAATACATTCAACATATTTTTTTTGGTTAGCCAATAATTGTTTACATAATACATTTACAATTTAACAACTAAATAATGTTTGCTGGTGTAACAATTAATTATTGGCTAACACCGCATGCACAATAAACGGTAACTAATAATAGTAATAATAATAAACGGTAACGAAATGAGTAATTATTATTATAAAAAAATTAAAATTAAACAATTTAAGATATAATTAATTGTCTCAGCAAAACATACAATTAAATCAAAGTTAACTTACTTAAGAGTGAATTATGATGTTATAGAATAGTAGTATAACATGTATTAGTGGTCGTCTAGAGATCGGTACTCGACTGTAATTTATTTAATTAATTAAACTTGAAAAAAATACTTTTTGTACAGTGACATTAGATAGCTGGTGGAGCTGTGGATGTTTGTACGTTGTAGGTGGTGTACACATACAATAAGGGTGTGCTGTAGTGAACTAGATGATTATTAAAAGTTTGCCTAATCATCGATTTTATTTTATACTACTACGAGAAGTGCTTTTAGTCCAGAAATTGATATTGCATATTTTTGTAAAGTGTAAAAGATCAAATCGTGTACGAGCTCCTACACATTTTTTTTTATGATGACACTAAAGATCCTTATAAAAGTCGACCTATTTATTAACAATAATACATTGAGTTTTAAACGTAATTTGCACTGTAATTGTGCCAAAAGAGGAAAATGTACCACAACTGATCAATATATACTGGACCTTGTAGATTTTAAAAGCCGTTTTTCACATTATTTTCTAATTTAACATTTAATTCATCTATTAAATATCTTCGTCTGCGGAATTTGCTCAAAAAGCAGTTTTTTTACATATTAATAGATAAATATATGTATACCTTCGTGACAATTGAGTTTGCAGAAGTGTTTGTCTTCAGCAGGTCCGCAGGGAAGAGGTTTGGCGCAAATGTTACCGCACAGCGGTATCGGGTCGGTGCAAGATTTGCGTGAGTCTGGCTTCAACCTACAGGAACAGACAAAATACTGATTAAGTACCACAAACGGATTTAAAATTTAAAACGTTTTTTTCAAACCAATCAATCGAATTATAATAACTTTTTTTTTTTTTTTTAAAAGACAACGCCCGCATTAGGAATAAATCCTGTGTCGCGGGGGACTTTACAAACATACATGAAACGGACACAAAGAACACCCAGACTCAGAACAACAATTTGTGGATCACACAAAGTGTCGTCCCATGTGGGGTTTGAACCCACAACACTCGGCGTAGTAGGAAGCGGCGTGGCGACCCCTTAAACCACTACGCCATCCGTGCAGTCGAATATGCACAAAACGTAAGGAAAGGCTAAAATAACGTACAAATCAGAAAACTCTTATTAATGATTTCGATGATTATGTATTAATTCAAATATTAAATTGACCACTAAAATTGATGATAATGACATACCTCAAGGCAATCTGTTGTGTTTGGAACTTTATTTCTGCAATCTCTATTTTGTAGTATGCAAGAATTAATATTTTACCATTAAAAACTTAATTTGATTATCTTTATAAATAACTTAGTGATGGGAATGAAATGTAGGTAACTGACTTGGTCTTCCCGCAAGGGCAGGCATGCACGTTGAGTGGCAGGAGCTGGCAGGGCTCGCAGGGCGGCGGGTGGCAGGGCGCGCGGCACACGTGCGCGCCGCACGCCAGCACGCGCCCGCACTCGGCGCCGCACGACCAGCTCGGCGCCGCGCCCGTGTCCAGCGTGCACGCCACCGTGCGGGACACCGCGCCCGGGCAGTAGCACACTGACAACACAAAATTCAACATATTACTTCATTACATTGGTTTAGACTTCTTTTTCAGGTGTTGATTTGGAAATACCAAAGTCCTTTGTGACATAATTCTCCATCATAATCATCAGCATTTGGTGGAAGGCTACGGCTATCTCAACATTCCCTTAAACTATTAGAAAAGAACTCATACTTTTAACCAAACAACTAAATCAAAACTTAGTCTATTCGTTTAGGACCTACGATTTTACAGACTCTGAGTCGGTGGTTACATTGTCAAAGTTGAACCATTTTATCTCCAATGCAATTGAACTAAAGGTAAAGTTACTGTACCTTGTACAACAGTCTCCTTGCATACGTCACAGGGTCCCTCGTGACAGTCTTTTCCGCATGTGTGAACGTTGCACTCTAACGTACGCTTACATATACGTCCACATACTTGCGGTAATTTGCTGCTGCACAATACTGATCGAGTTTCTGCTCCACAACCGCATTGTCTACAAAAAATAACACAGTTTAATGAATGCAAAAGAACAATAGGTCATGCTGTGGAAGAGCCATGCTTCAGCACAAATAGGCCGGCTCGACCGTAGTGATAACACGGCCACACAGCAAGCCGGTGTTAATACCTTCACTGCTGAATAACACACACCTTGTGTTTATAGAAACTTTCGCCAGTTCTGAAAAAACACACCGGCATTTCTTCGATCCACAAGTGCTGGCTACACAACTGTCGTAATCAATATTTTATTTTAAAGATATATGGGGTCTACCAATAAGAACGTCCTGGTTTAAAAATTGAATAAAACACACCATTTTTATGAAAAATGCATCTGATTGATTTATTTGATAGATAATTTTATGCAATTTATGTTTTAAATAATATATCGGCCAAATGACCGCCGCGGCTCTTTTTGGTGTGCGTTACCTCCAGCAAAATAATGTCGAAAAAGGTCATTTAAACGTTATAGATAATTAGTTGCTCCCCTTCTGTAATTGTTAGGCACATTTTCAAATTTGTTTCACTTAAACTTTTTTAGTTATTTCCTGCTGGGGTAACGTTTGAAACGTTACCGCAGCCAGACATTTTCTTTTTTAATTGTAATATTGAAATAAATTTTAGCTAAATAATTAGTTATCTGGACTAGGTAAATGTTACAACTTATTTGGTATTTGTATTTTCTTCGGCTGCGAAGTTATTCGAAATCCTGCTGGAGTAACGTTTGTGGGTTTGCTGGATCTCTGAAACGGGTAAGCGGATTGTAACCATCTTTTGTACATAACTTCTTAAGGATTAGTTTTAATTTGTTCGACAATAAAATAACAAAAATAATGGACCGTTTAAAAATTATTTAGGTAAGTATGAAAACACTTCAATACGTCCTAACACTTTAAATAAGACCTCTAAAGACTTACTTGAAACGTTATTCTATTGCTTGTAACTACCTTCAAATGTATACGAATTTTCGTACGAATACTGTAAGTGACTAAAAAGTTATGATGAAATGTAGCACTCCACGTTCACGATCACAATGTGTGCGGCCTTTTTTGGCCACCGATAAACCTGTGTGTGGATATATAAACTGAATGTTATGCCAATAATTAGTTGTTTAGTTCAGTTGTCTACCTGTAGAATTTCAGCGTCGTACATATAATAATTTACGAGATAATTAAATAAAAGTCATTAGAAGGTGCAAGACCGTGGTAACCCGACCATGTTTAGGTGGTTATAAAAAAGCGATCACCCAGTACATTGTGCTGGCTTTTTAAATATGTAGGATATTATTTGCAAGTTTACTACGGATATGTACATAAGTGTTACAAAAAACTACATGTTTTTTAAATATTTTTTATTTAGGATTGTTTATTGCATAATTAGTAATCAGCCGGGAGATAAGGTATTGTTTTGAATGCTTTTGTTTTCTCGTAATGTTTAGGTGAATTGTTTATAGTTGTTCATAGAACTGATACTTTTTTTTTTTTTTTTTTTTCCGTGCGATAGAATTGGTACCTGCGTAGTATTTGTTAATTGAAGTTTAATTTTAGGGTAGGTATAGGTAATTTAAGTTTTGAAGAGTGTAACGTATGCGTTGTAAATAGGTATTTTGTGAATAGATGGGGATTTTTTTAAGTGATGAATCGACTTAGGCTAGCATATCGCGAACAAACTCTGTATTGCATTATTTCTGTAATAATGTTGGAGAAAATAAAATATTTGAAAAACATGTAGTTTTTTGTAAGTTGTAAGTCCTAAATAAAAAATATTTAAAAAACATGTAGTTTTTTGTAACACTTATGTACATATCCGTAGTAAACTTGCAAATAATATCCTACATATTTTAAAAGCCAGCACAATGTACTGGGTGATCGCTTTTTTATAACCACCTAAACATGGTCGGGTTACCACGGTCTTGCCCTTCTAATGACTTTTATTTAATTATCTCGTAAATTATTATATGTACGACGCTGAAATTCTACAGGTAGACAACTGAACTAAACAACTAATTATTGGCATAACATTCAGTTTATATATCCACACACAGGTTTATAGGTGGCCAAAAAAGGCCGCACACATTGTGATCGTGAACGTGGAGTGCTACATTTCATCATAACTTTTTAGTCACTTACAGTATTCTTACGAAAATTCGTATACATTTGAAGGTAGTTACAAGCAATAGAATAACGTTTCAAGTAAGTCTTTAGAGGTCTTATTTAAAGTGTTAGGACGTATTGAAGTGTTTTCATACTTACCTAAATAATTTTTAAACGGTCCATTATTTTTGTTATTTTATTGTCGAACAAATTAAAACTAATCCTTAAGAAGTTATGTGCAAAAGATGGTTACAATCCGCTTACCCGTTTCAGAGATCCAGCAAACCCACAAACGTTACTCCAGCAGGATTTCGAATAACTTCGCAGCCGAAGAAAATACAAATACCAAATAAGTTGTAACATTTACCTAGTCCAGATAACTAATTATTTAGCTAAAATTTATTTCAATATTACAATTAAAAAAGAAAATGTCTGGCTGCGGTAACGTTTCAAACGTTACCCCAGCAGGAAATGTTTTTTTGAAATAACTAAAAAAGTTTAAGTGAAACAAATTTGAAAATGTGCCTAACAATTACAGAAGGGGAGCAACTAATTATCTATAACGTTTAAATGACCTTTTTCGACATTATTTTGCTGGGGTAACGCACACCTCTTTTTGCAGACGGTCCATTTCGGCCGGTATGTCGGCTATGGCTCGTCGAATGTTGGTTTTTAGGTCACGAATTGTAGCTGGATTATTGCTGTACACTTTAGATTTAACGTAACCCCAAAGAAAATAGTCTAAAGGTGTTAAATCACACTATCTTGGTGGCCAACTGATCGGTCCATTTCTCGAAATTAACGACTCACCAAACTTTCCACGCAATAATTCCATGTTCACTCGAGTTATGTAAGGTGGTGCACCGTCTTGTTGAAAATAAAGGTCGTCTGCATCAATATCATCAAATTCCGGAAAGAAATATTCGGTTAACATTGAGTTATAGCGCTGGCCATTCACAGTAACAGGGTTTCCTTCGTCACTTTCGTAATAATTTTGGACAATTTCCAAGCGTTGGTTTAAAGTGAAACGTGACATGATAAAATGGCAAACCTTACTGAACACAAATGTCAAGAGAAGTCAAAGATCCATCATCAAACATGGCCGCTATGAGCTGTCAAAACCAGGTCATCCCTATTGGTAGACCCAGTATTGGTTTCATATATATTCGTATAACACATATTAGATAAAATAAACGAAAAAAAAACATTTATACACTCAAACGTATGTTTTCATGCATTGCCGATACGCCACCCAACAGTTGTGTTTTCACTATTGACTATTCACAATACTTCATTGCTGAAAACACTCTACATACATTAGTTAGCAGTCTAAGTGTATTTCTTATATATTATAGACAGCAGTGAAGGTTTTAAGCAATTCTTTATGAACACTCCCTTCCCCCTATTTCTAAAGTAGCTATGCCTTTACGACTCTCGAGTTTCGTATTATTTTTCGTATTTTTTCTGAACGGCCAAAAGGTTATTCCTTAATGACTTTATGTTAGTGTCACATTTACTTAAAACATTTTAAAGTTTTAGTGAATACAATAGAATCATATAATTCGCATACATACTTAGTAACAGTCGCCTGGCATGGTGGGCATGGTCCAGGGTGGCATAGCAATGTACATGGATGCGGGCAGGTCCGTGTCCTGCGGCAAGCCTTGCCGCAAGTGTGAGCACTCGCAGCACCACGTTGGTATTCCGGTGAACGTACAGCTCCACACATGCATCGATATTCAGTTGGTATTGCCTCATTGGTGTTTTGACAGGCTGGACAACGCCATTTGCCCTCTAGGGTTAAAATAATTATTATAAATGTTAAGAAAATCAATAAAAAGCTTTTAATAAATTGATCAATGTATATTTCAATATTTGAAAAAACTATATGATGATTTAGTAGTTACATACATAGATACCCACATACACTCACATCTATGTCCCTGAAGAAGTAGAAAGAAGGGTGTTAAGCACCCACATTTGTACAATATTTTTTTTGTAGACAACTGCACTAGGAATATATCCTGTGTCACGGGGTACTTCACAAACGTAAATTAAACGGGCACAATGAACACCCAGACTCAGAGCAACAATTTGTTGATCACACAGTGTTGTTCCTTGTGGGGATCGAACCCAGAACACTCAGCGCAGTATAAAGCGGCGAGGTGGCCGTTTCAACCACTAGTGCGTTCATGTCATCCCCATATATATAGTGAAATGATAGGCAAGGTATTGTCGGAAAATCTGAGCCTTCTGCCTATACTAAGTTATAGTTACAGTGTGCAGTAAACTATCTTTACGTAATCTATTTACTCACCAACCATGCTACTCATGGCCCACTTGCGGATGCAGCGTAGATGCAGCACATGATAGCAGTTGCTGCAAGACCATACTGGTTCTGTCTGCTTTACACGTTCACAACAAACTAGACACTCTAGTGTGCCCTTGTCTAATTGTTCCGTCAGACGTTCGCGTTGTGTCATCTCATTATGTGCTGAAGATAAACAATTTTATTGTTCTTAATAATCAGATAAAAAGTACCAGATAGGTAGTTTTATAGATATTCTTAAGCCTTTCATTCTTCTATGACATTGGAAAGTCATTTTTGTGCAAGCCAATATTACCTAGTATTATAGAAGGGATCTCTTAATTTTTGAGCACAGACATGTTAGGTGGACATACATTTAATTCAGAGCCTACAGTATTGGGCTCATTATTTACACTATAAGGTGTTGTCTTGTTTGATTCTTCAGTCTTTTGTATTAGTACACTTATAAGCATTTAAAGTTAAAATAACTTGAATGTCTTTATTGGATTGTGGGCCTAGTAATAAGTATTAAAAAAATTATATCATACCTTGATCTTGTTGACCATGCTGTTTTCTGAATCTTTGTGGACTAGCAATATGTTCTGACTTCTCTCTTTTCTCTCTTTCCTTTTCAATTTTCTCTTCTTTAGGTTGTAAATACATGTTAGCATACTGTTCATCTTCAGTACTGTTACGATCCACTGTTCGAAGTCGTTGAGTCCCTGCATAGCTCTTATATCGGCTAGAACCTTCTCCTTTAGATGCTCTAACATCCTGAGTATCTTTGCCCATGGCACTGTTATAGAATGTTCTATTATCTGGCTCCTTATTTTTTGTCTTATAATTAACTTTGTTTTGGCCCCTTTTGTTGCTAGAGTCATATCGATTAGAATCATAGTGCCGACTATTGGAGTCCGAGTTACGATAACTAGATTCACCGTATCTACCATTCGATTCTTGGTTTCGATTGCTTGTATCATTATATTGGCCGTTTGAGTCAGAGATTCGGCTACTTGTTGCATTATATCTAGCTGCTGAGTCTTGGTTACAATTATTTGAATCATATTGGCGCTTGTTAGCTTCTTGGCTGTAGCTACTTGAGTTAGAATAAGGACCATTTGATTCATCTTTGCTTGAAGACGATTCATGGTATTGGGTAGCATCCTGTGTGTGGCCTGCACTTACTTGTGGACTATTGATTTCTTGAGGACTTGCCATATCATTGGCTTCCAAGTTATTATAGTCAGAGTACTGCTCATTAGTATCCTGATAGCGTTTACTTTTATCATACTGTCTGCGGTTAGAATCATTATAACGATTACGGTTCCTACTGTTAGATTCATAGCTTTTTTTAACTTCCTGAGGAATGTGGTTTGATTCGGACCTATTTACTTCTGTATTTGGAGCTGTTTGCTGAGGTCTTTCCCTCCAGTTAGTGTCTGATGAATTACCATAACTATTTCTAGACTCATTTGTATTACTGTAATGATTCCTAGATTCATTTATTGTACTATAATTATTTTTAGCTTCACTTTCTCCATTTTGAGATTTGTTTTCTTGTTTAGAAAAATTCTGTGTGCTGCTGGAAGGCTTCATCACAGATTTAGGTACAAATTCTGTAGCTGTAGCAGTAAGATTAGACTTGAGAATCATTTCATTTGAGTAAGTGTTTTGTTCAGGTGGTGTTGTATTGTACTGACTTTGCATGTTGACTTGGTAGGAGTCAGTTTCATTAGATATGTTGGATGAGCTGGCTGGATAATTATAACTGTTTAGTTGAGGGTTTTGTGAGGTGGATGGTACATTTGGATAACTATGCTGTTGTCTAGTAGGGTAGTTCTCATATCGAACATTGGTATAATTAGGTGCATTAGCAACAATACCGCCACCGTTACTCTGCATTTGGGATAAAAATTCATTAAAGCTAACATACTGATTAGATGGATTTGCTCTGTTGGCATAGTAAGCCTGGTTAACATATTGTTGGCCATTAGGGTCACCATTCCAGGTTTGATATTGATTGTTATAGGAGTATGTATTGTTCCACTGCGACATGATTATTTGCAAAAAAAAGTAATTTGTTGTGAAATAATTTTCGATTACTCACTATACTATATGGCAAAGTTTTAACTCCGTTACTAGTTTTTTTTGTTGGTACAAGGTGGTAATGACCGCAGGCCGAAGCCTGAGTCTTAGTTATTCCGTTTTGGTCTACCTGAAAGCAAATACAAGACTAATTTGTTATCAAATACGAAAGCAACCGACATGTGCCACTTTCTAAATTATTAAAAGATCCTATGAACTTACCACTTGCTTGTTTTAACTGCTGAATTAATTTATATTAAAAACAAATATAAATCAAAAAAAAGAAATTAAATAATTGAATAACTTATAAAATTTCAGTAACTTTATAGATGTGACAAGGATGATTCGGAATCGGAAGAAGGGTGAAGGGGGTAGGTCGACGTTGACAGTAGGTTTTTTTTTGTAAACGTTCTGATTGTTCTCAGTCTTTGTAGAACTTTAAAACCAAAAACCAAAGACTAAAAAACTTAAGACTAATAAAAAACAGATATTAACTTTTAGTAAAATATTAAAACTATTAGTCTGAAGAATCAATTATTTTTATATTTTTAAAATGCTGTTTCATGAATCTTCACATGGGAACTGAGGGACCAAACTACTTAGACGCATTACGTAATATTAAACGTTTTTGACTTACGTACAACTAGCAACACAATGGCATTGATCATGGCGGGAACTTAAAAAATAATCGTTTTCGACGTTTACTATATTTAAACATAATTAAATTAAATGTAAATTTAGCTAGATCGGTAAAATATAATGCTTGTTAACATTTCATGCGTATAACCTCAATGTTTTTATTTTTTTGGTGCTTGATGTTGTGTCGGTGTCGTCATACTTGAATGTACTCGTATGTATACCTACTAGATTCTAGTCGCTAGCTCAGATCCAATAAAAATCATATGGTTAGTAAACATAATTTACTGTCAATTAATTGCACGATTGTCAGCCAGTTGGTACTTACTCGTATTTAAAATAACTTATCATGCACACAATTATCGCACTTAATAATGAGGATGCCGTGCTACTGACTAATATCTGTTAAGTAGAAGAAGAATAAAAAAGTAATTTTGGATATGCTATTTTAGTTTCAGAATTGGTTTTAATTATTTACAGATTAGGAAATCATTAAATATCTTGTAGCATAAAATAGACAAAGTCAGCAGGTAATATGAAAACAGAATTTCTAATAAACATACTTATATATTACCAAATAAACATATGGATAAATTACACAGGCAAGGCCGTCTTAGGCCACGCCGAGGCCCCTGGGCACACAAGAATTAGGGGCCCTGTCGGACAGTTAACAAAATGAATGGTGAAAATATTTTTAATTATGATCTTTTACTTAAAATGATTTATTGGCAACAATCAAATATACCTATAATTAGAGATATTAATTAGATATATACATTTACGAGTAAGTATAATAGATATACATATGGGATGCATGATGACAAGCATCTTTGAATTGATGGTTTGAATCAGTTAGGTACAATTACGACAGTGATTTTTTTCGGGATTTCTGTTGTGGAAATTCTTCTATTATATCTTCAAAGTCAATTTTTTTGAGGATATCATTTTCTATACACATAATTGATAAATACGTTAGTCGCTCTTGTGACGCTAATGTTCGTAATTCATTTTTTATTCGCTATAACTTTGAAAATGAGTGCTCACCGCTGCAATTGGTAACAATTAGGCATAGAAACATTGTACAATACATACATACATACATACATACGTACATTTACAAACTTGTAGCCACTTCGACATTTGGAAAAGTTTTTCTTCTAATCAATCGGACTTTATTAAATTATGTAAGTTTGAGATACTCAAATCAGCTGATTCCTTTGATATATTCTTTAAATAAAAAAGCCGAAGGAACGAAGTTATGACGATCGAGTAAAAGTGAATCGACACGATTGTAATTACAACCCCATCTATGAAAGCGGCTATTACCTACATATTTTTCAGTTGGTTTCTAATTAAAACAGTTTATACATTGGTAAAATCTCCTTGAGAAATGATTTCCTATCTATTCGATAGATGGCGCTGAATAACTGACAAGTGACAATTCAAAATAAATACTGAGATGAAAAGTAATGATTTCCTATCTATTCGATAGATGGCGCTGAATGACTGACATAAAAGTGTCGTTACAACTTTTCGTGAGAATTTTTTCCGTCTAGCCCCTTTCACAACGCGCGATAAGGAACTTCGTTCCAAAACACTCTGATTTGAGCTCATATGCATTAATGTCTTCGTGATAGAATTCTTTAAATTCATTGCATTTTTTTTTGTTAACTCGTCAGAATCAATTGTTGTTAATTGTGAAAGAAAACGAAAACGATCGTGAATTTCTTGATACGCTACCAAACGATTTTTTAAATGTTCATTTAATGTATCTATTATAAGGATAAGTGTATCTATACGAATTTTTTCCTTCCCATGCAACTGCACAGTCTCCGATGATCCTTCAAAGAAATTAACGCGTGTGCTGCGAATTCTATTCCTGTCAAATTTATCTTTATAGTCAGCATTTGGATTTTTTTCTTTTGCAGATGCGTAAAGCTTTGTGGCAACGTCCATGGTAATAGTGCTATCCTGTAAGCTTAAACTTGTTTTGTTCATAATTCCCAAAAAAGTCATTCCATATTTCCGTTAAAAGTATTGTGTTCAATTTTTCCATTTTTTTTACTAGGCTTTGCGCTTCGTTTCTTGTTTCTCCTGGTTGATTGACATCACTTACTATCGAGGACAAAGCTTCAGAAATATTTAAATAACCATTTTGTAAAGCATTAATGGCATTTGCACGTGCAGACCATCTAGTATCCGGCACAGAATTCAAGACTTTATTTGTGCCTAAATTCTCTACCATAATTTTCCATCGTTTGGTCAAAGCGGAAAAGAAATTGAACAATTTTCAATTTTTGTATAAACTGAAAATATGCTGCAGCTTCGGAAACACAATCAATAGCTTGAACACCTACTAAATTTAGCAACAACAAAAATGGCAACTTTGCATTTTTCTTTTATTCTTGACTGAACACCAGAATACTTTCCAGCCAAATTTGATGCATTATCATAACTCTGTTCACGACAATCTTTTATAGGAATATCAAGGCTTTCTATAAAGTTCAAAATGTTACCTGCTAAGTATTCTGCATTATGTTTATCTATAGGCAAGAACTGTAGAAATCTCTCAATAGGCTCTCCATCTTTTACGTATCTAACGATGAAAGTTAGTTGGTCAACGTGAGAGAGATCTGGCGTAGAATCCACGCTTATAGAGTGGCACATGTGACTTGTAATAAAGTTGATAAAACCGAAAAGAAAATTAAATATGCCATCATTATACATATTTAAATTGTTAAAAAGCGGTGATTCAGAAGGGCTCGTGTTAATTAATTACTCATTATTTATTTCTTTTTAACCAATAAAATTTGGCGTATTTTTAACTGTTTTCATCGACACTAATAAAGAATCAGTCAGTAGTGAGTTTTCTAACAGATGGCGTTAGTAGTAATAGTCCAATCTATATTAATAATTTCGTCAAGGGCTACGGTAGACTCGATCGAAACCTTCCCTGAATGAAACATAAAAAAATAAATCATATATCCGCAAAATTCGGTTTGTCGAGTATTTTGTTTAATTCCAATGGTGCTGACAGACAAATCGCAGTCGCCATATTGGCCACTCTAGCGAAACGTTAGAGGTTAGAGAGAGGAGAACAATCGCTGTAGAAAATAGTGTCCCAGAAATATGATGATAATTTAAAATGGTCTATTTAAGGTGTATACGATTTACGTTCAGGGATTCCCCGTGTTTGATTTCGCCTGTAACATTGTAGAAACTGTCTTCGGCTTATGCTTTTATGTGCGAGCAGCAGTATGTGTTGCGATGCAATTTTTTTGTTTAATGTATGATCATTAATCGTTATCGTTACGTATACAGCGACCTTTAAAACTAATTCCCGGGGCCCGGGGCCCGGGGCCTCGCAATGGCTAAGGCCGTTACTGATCATTGGCTTGTCAGTGCTTAGAGTTGTCATAAAGTTGCTAAAAAGGCCCATTTACTTTTTTTCGGAAAATGTCGATATGAATTTGAAAAAAAAAATGAGGTAAGCGAATATTTAACGTGCTATGTATTTGCTTTTTGGAGGCCCCTTGACGATGGAGGCCCTGGGCACGGGCCCCGTGTGCCCTTATGGTAAAGACGGTACTGTACACAGGGCTTGGACACGAAGCAAAAGATCGTACTTATCGGATAATTATTTGTCCTGGGTGGGAATCTCTGTTGACTGCTGGCTTAGCAATCAATAGTCAATGCGTAATAGTTTAAGTAGTCAACTTGCAGCTTCCTATTGTTGTGGGTTCGATCCCTACATGAAACCACACTTTGTGGGATCCAAAAATTGTTGTTCTGAGTCTGGGTGTTCTTTGTGTACGTTTCATGTGTGTTTGCAAAGTTCCCGCGACACAATATATATATATTTCTAGTGTGGTCTTAGATGTGTCTTATTAAAAGAAAGAAAAAAATATGTTTTTTTTATTAAATCACCGTATCCATGGCTTTTTATACTTGCACGGATCGATTGAAAAGCGTCACTATAAGGTTCACCACAGAGCGGTACCGCGCCGGGCATTGCTCCTATTGTCTACTTAAAATGATCCATTTGATAGGTTCGCGATTTTGTAGTAGCCTTGGCCTGTTTAGATTGTATTTGGTGTTATGCTTTGAAGTTATTAGCAGGTACGTTAGTATAGTGATGGTACTGGGATGGGGTGCATGGCGAGCTCGCAGGTCAGCGCACGTATAGTTCCGTCCGTGAGTGATCAACATTTGTGAAATATTTATTTAACTAAAGTGTACATTCGGGTTCCATCAACCTCATATTCTTCAGGCCTTTTCACTTGACTCATTGGGTTCGTTCTAATAGAAAAAAAAACCACATAATATCTGGGAGATAGTTGAATTGAGGCCTTCCATGACACACAGCATTCGCAATGAAATGACAGCAACATAATTTACTACTTACATACTAGTTTTAGACTGCGTTTTCTCATGTGTTACTGTAGTCAAGTCAAGCATCCCTCGGGAATGTCTCTTTCTGTATATCTGAGCCCTCCAACCATCTTTGATTAAAACCAAAGCCAAAGTAAAGTAGGTAAGGCGAGAAAGCTTATAAAACTAATAAATGAACAGACAAACACATCATCATCATCATCAACAGTCTCTAACAGTCCACTGCTAGACTTAGGCCTCTCCTTAAAAAGTGTAACAAATTCATTTCATTAGTTAGGTTAGCATTTATAGTTAGGTTACGATTAGCAATGTTTACTAACTAAAGTTTCATTTCTTTATTTAGATGTGATATTTCATTAGATGTGTATCAAATATAATAAAATAACTTGTGATCACAATGTATTTAAGTCTAACGACGAGGTATATATATGATTACCAGAACTTTATTTTGTATGCCAAGAATCCAATGCATTCCAAGTCTCTGTCAGAGACACACAAGGGCGAGACGGTGCTGGCGGCGTTGACCAGACTGGACCAGGAGATCACCAGTAGTGAAAGGACTCACCCAGTGGCTAGACTGGCAGTTGTTACAGCTGAAATGGATAGTATACAACAGGTAGGTTTGCAGTAAGTTTGAAAATAGATAAAAATTACTTTGTACGGCAATAACAATTATATAAAACATGGAGCATCTGCTAGAAATACCTAGAATCCTATCTGATATTATGAAAGTTTTGTCATATGCATTGTGATTTACCCAAATTCAGCAATTAATACTAGAACGAGGAAATTTAAGCCGAACTGATATTGTTGCCCTATTGACGTTTTTTTAGGAAATCAACCAATTTGAAGAGACCACGACTGTGACCAATAAGGACGTATACGCTCGGACAATCCATGAGGTGAGGAGACCTTAAATGTTGGTCTTATTAATACTAATTGTACCAGGTATGCGTTGCACCTCCCCGTAAATATAAACAAAAACCGAAAAAAGAAATTAAATAAGTATACATTTTTTGAACCAGGAACCGTCACACTACCAAATTTTTATCATAATCTAATCAATCCTTTTGGAATGCTGATAGGACAAATCTTGATTTTTATTTATAGAGATACTCGTAATTGCCATTGGTTTGTCTGCTGTATTTTCACGGCTATGTAACAGTACTGCATAGAGAAGGAAAACTTGAAACCTTGCAACCATATACCAACCCGTTTGGCCAACGTGGTATAGGAAGTCAAAACCTTCCTAAGGAGAGACCTATATAAAGCAGTGGATCGTTAAAGGCTTTTTTTGTCTTCCTTTTTCTTCTGTCTGTTTTTTACTTCATTCCGTATTTACTTATATTATTTTAAAAAATAATAAAATTTTCTTCTTTCATTCTAGTTATTCATAAGTTTAGACTTATACAAGCGGCCAATGTTAGCGTCCGAAAATGAAGATTTTGTCGCTAATGTGAACAGAAAGGTTCGTATTCATAGTTTTTTTAATATTTGAGCTTAACTCCGATCAAGCTTATTTAAATCCAAGACTTATTAGTAAGTGTAATGTATATCTTTTTAGGAGATGCGTCGCTTAGAGCTGAGTTGGTTACGCAATCGTTACGGAGAGCTGGCACGAGAGCGGAGAGTTTTACACGCGCAAATATTGCGCATACGCTCTTTGTACACACAGTTGCAAAAATTGCTAGGTAAAATTCTAACAAGTTTTTGTATATAGCAGGAGTGTGGTATATTTTTTATATTACGTTCGATTATTAATTAAGTAATGTACTTTCTAGAAAGTCTGTGGGGTGCTGAGACCCGACCCGGCACGCCATTGGAGAGTGTTTTGACTAAAGCGTGCGCATTACGCGATGCGCTCGCGCAAGTGAGTGCTCGTTTGCGAGCTGCGGCTGAATATGCGCATGCGGCGGTGAGGCTCATGGATGATGCTTTGCCTGCATGGAAGCTCACTACTGTTGGCAAGTAAGTAAACTAAGAATATCTTTTAAATTAACCAAATTTAAAAAGGTGGTCAATTCGGCCATTTTTCATCATCATCATCATCAACAGCCTTTAATAGTCCACAGCTGGACATAAGCCTCTCCTTAGAAAGGAGGTTTTGGCCTACTATACCACGCTGGCCAGACGGCCATTTTTATTCTGTGTATATTACACACAAGGCAATTAATAAACAATTTTTAATTGAAATAACCATTTCAATTTTTTGTCAAGCTATTTAAACTGTTCAGTAAGTATCAATACATATTACTTAAATAAGTATTGACGCCTATTGTTAGTATTATGTGATCGCGTTAATTACCGTACATTTACATAACCAATAATTAATTTTTGTTATGTGTGCTTTATTGAAACACTTATGTTGCACGATCAGAAGTGGTTGGGAGCGTAGCACGTCATGTGCAGACGCATGTCGCTTGTTGGTCCAAGCGCGCTGCGCTGAGAGAGGCGCGCGGCGGGTGCTGGCTGCTCCCGCTGCTCCCAGGGCCGCCAGGGCGTTACGGCTAGCGTTAGACTACGCTTTTACGGACGCTATACATGACCACAAGTAATTATTTACAATTTTTTTTCTAAAATCGCACTGTAGGATGTCCTCTAAAAAGGTAGACAGATGACCTTGTGAAAAACACAGACCGCTCCCAAAAGTTTGAAAGTTATTGAAAAAAGGTTTTAATATCCTAGAGATCTAGAGATTTAAGATCCCTTCAGTGGCTAAAATGATTATGAATCTTTATATTAATAAGTTAAAAAAATATATGTTCAAAGAATAGTCCTGTATTTGAAATGACCACCTTGATGATTACGAGTATTAGTGAACTGCAGATAAGAAAAAAAAAGTGCTTTGAGTAAAAAAATATGTAAAATGGCTACACAAATCCAGGTCCAATAAGTATTTTCCCATGTGTAATGTTTGTTCGTGTTGATACTAAGAACTACGCATAGGTAGCCAATGATTTTCAGTAAAGAGATTTGTATTGATTTTCTGTCTATCTCTTTTCCGTCTATTTATAATAGTTTTAAGAGAAAGAGATTGCATTTATTATGTTGTCAACAATTTTCGAAACAACAACATCGTAGGTGCTGTACATACATCCGATATGACGGATCTATTTTGTTCACAGATACCAAAGAGCAAGTGAAATATTTTTTCAGTTTAAGGAAGCATTGGTATTACTAATTGAATCCATACATAAGGTAAGCTGCACACAATACTGTACACAAAAAAAGCAAACATTGTTTTAGTATTTTTTTCATATCTGTTATTTTGTCGTGAACTCATTTCTTTTTATATGTTCGTATTTTACCAAGCTACCTCTGTCATTACTACTACTTTCAAGATACCCCGTTTCTGTGGGTGATAACCCTCAGAAAGAACTAGAAGGAAAAGTCAGTCCTTTGTTTATACGGGTTTTCCCGTTATCTGGAGTATTTAAGATAGTTATATCGTAACAGGTTGATCATAAAAATACATATTTTTGATGTCTATTACTATGTGGTGTCAACCTACACGTAAACTAAATAAATCACGTGGATATAGAAACTACACACTATTATGCAATTATGGAGGATAGAGGTAAGCACACCCGTCTTATATTGGGGGAATGTGGAAAAAGTGTCCAAACTGATTCAGGTACTTACCGAAGCAACCATGCCCAGTGAGTACCTGCGTCAGTCGGTAGGTGACGCGACCCGCTTCCCTACCTACCCAAGCTTGAGGCTAGGCAGAACGGCACCGACAGCTCGTCAGGGCGCATACTGCGGCTGTTCCAGCCGCGCGCGCAACTGCCCCAGTGAGCGTTCCACCGCATTTCGAGCTCGTCCTAGTCTTCCCCACCCTCACCCCGGCGGATCTCACAAGTCTGGTCATATCCGCCAGGATATCAAAAGGCGGAAAAACGTGCCAGGACTATCGCCGCCTGGCGTCAATTAGCCTACCTCTAGTGTGTGAATGCAGCCTTACCATTATGGTAGTTTTTTTTATGTATTATTGTTTAACGAAATGAGTTTTATAATATATCTGAACAATTTTATTTTAAATAACTATTTTTGACATATGGCCAACTTGTCACCTATTTACAAAATTCTTCTGTACGAGCATAGAAGTTGACTGTAAAATGTTTGCAAAGATCCACGGAAATCTAATAAAATGTCAAAATATATTAAAGAGAATGCAAATCAGAATGCAATCGGGCACCGTTGAAATATTTATAAATGGTACGCCAGCCACAGTACCATCTTTCTATTCTATAGGACAGGCTCTGAAGAGTGTAAATGTAACTATACCGGGGTTTTGCTTTCATAGTCGGCTCTCTGTAGTTGGCAATTGCCGCCTTTGCTTAGTAGAGATAGAAGGTTGGAATAAACCCCAATTATGTTGTGCTGTGCCAGTGTCTAAAGGCATGAAGGTACGTACGAATTCACCTGCGACTCTCCAGGCCCAGGAAAGTGCTCTGGAGTTCTTACTAACCAATCACCCACTAGATTGCCCTATTTGTGATCAAGGTGGTGAATGCGATCTCCAAGATTTAGCTGTGAGATTCGGGAATGATCGTTCCAGATTTACAGACATACATTTTGACGGGAAAAAGGCTGTTGAAAATAAAGAACTGAGTCCACTCATACGTGCCGTCATGAATCGTTGCATTCATTGTACCAGGTGTATACGCTTTGCATCTCAAATTTGCGGATTGGATATTTTAGGAACAACGGGCCGTGGCGAAGAGATGCTTGTTGGAACATATGTAGATAAAATGTTTTTTTCAGAATTATCTGGAAATATTGTAGATCTATGTCCTGTGGGAGCTTTGACTTCGATTCCCTATATGTTTAAAGCGCGGCCTTGGGAACTTAATAAAACCAATTCCATAGATGTAACAGACGCTACTGGAACAAATATTGTAGTTGACTCTAGGTACAATCGAGTGATGAGAATTCTGCCTCGGGAACACTTAGAAATAAATGAAGAGTGGCTTTCTGATAAGGGCCGGTGGTCATTGGACTCACTGGAGATGCAGAGATTAGTGACACCTATGAGTAAAACGAAAGGATGTTGTTTCTCGATTGAATGGGATGAGGCCTTAAGAATAGCATGTCAAATGATAAAAGGAGTTAATCCAAATAATATAGTAGCTGTTGCTGGGCCTCATACTAATGTAGAAACGCTTGTAGCTTGCAAAGATTTTTTAAATATTTTAGGATCTGAGAATACGTACATAGAGCGAGGTTTAGCGTGTCTTGAAACAGGTGCTGACATCAGAGCAGGATACTCATTAAATATGAAAATGTGTGATGTAGCTCAAGCAGATAAAATTTTGTTCGTCGGCACAAATCCTCGATTTGAGGCTCCAATTTTGAATTCTTGGATACGTCAAGCTTATTTAGGCAATGAAGCAGATGTTTATGTTATCGGTCCGAAATGTGAATATAATTATCACGTCACATATTTGGGTGAAACCATCGAATCGTTATCAGAGGCTGGAAACGCTTTAAAAAGTGGTAAGAAACCTCTCATATTTGTTGGAGTCGAGCATTTGAACAAAGATTATGGTGGGGCAATGATGAGTGCATTGCTAAAACTAGTCAAATCCCTAGGTTGCTCTAAAGATTGGGAAATATTGCATATCATTCCTTTGGAAGCGAGCTTTGCGGGCGCATTAGAAGCAGGTTGGAAACCCGGAGCGAAAGGTCGCTTAACACAGTCAAAAGACATAGAGCTGATCATATCACTAGGAGCAGATCAAATATTTTATGATTGGAGACCACCATCTGGTAATAAGCTAAAAATTTTATATATTGGCTTCCAAGGCGATAGAGGTGCAGAAATTGCAAATTTGATTCTACCCGGGAGTGCTTACACGGAATCGGGTGGACTATACCTAAATATGGAATGTAGATCACAGTTCGCGTTGCCGGCTGTCACGCCACCGGGGAAAGCACGTTCTGATTGGCATATAATACGTGCTATAGCAGAGTGCTGTGGAGTTAATTTACCTTATAGTGATCATAATAGTTTATGCTGTAGGTTCTCACATATAAGCCCACTTTTCATTAATTTGGGGGATTATCAAACAAAGTTATTTTCGGGATTACCTTGGACGATGGCAAAAACTGGCGATGGTACTTCACTCAATTGCAGCCAGTTGGAAGTGGAAATGAAAACCATGCCAGATTATTATTGTTCTGATATTTTTACTTACAATTCACCCACTATGGTGATGACTAAAAAGGCGGCTAAAGAATTTGCAGAAACATGCTATGCTCAAATTTAGTGATTAGATTTATTTTTAGACCTGTATCTTTTTTTAAATACTTTATTTATTAAAACATATATATTTAAATGATATTGTGATTAAAAAGTCTTTACCCGACTGCAAACAAAAACACAAGAGAGGAGGTTCTTTTATTACTTATTTTTTCTTTTGGCACCGACTTCAAACAGACTCGAAGGTATCTTTTGCTATTATAATGTTACCTGTTATATTGAAGGTCGCACTTATTTTAGTTTAATTAGATTTGTAATCATTTTTTCAATTTTATTGCTCTTTGTTAGTTTCATTTGAAGTTTGTTCCTGTTATTTTTAAAACGATTTTTCATTAATCACAAAATGTAGACCCATCGAAGTCGGTGAAAAAAAAAAAAAGTTAATTATCAATTTCTTGGCAGGGGTCCCTTATTAAGTTTTGAAATTGCACAGTCGACTTGTTTATCATATTTTACAAGGACATTTTACAACGTAGTAGCTTTAAGAACACTCGACGTTGACTGTACAGAATAAAAACTTTTTAAAGTACAGTTACGCTCATAAAGCTCATTTTAAAATCGGAATATTAATTTTATGCATTTCTACGAAAACTTTACGACTACTTAAAATATAAATCATAAGAAAATTAATTTTATTACAGTCTAAACGGAATTCGATTATCAGTTGAATTTCCTATTATATATTATATCAACAAGCCCTCAAATCTTCATTATAGTTATGTTTGTCTAAATATAATATACAGGGTTACTGGTTGTTAAGTCGACCTAGATACTTTAAGGGGTTATAGTTGCCATCATTTCTGATAGATTTCACTATTAAATACCATATCCCAAACCTAACCATTAACCACCAATCTATATAGTTGAACTAAATCGTTGTCTTCTTTATCATGTTCATCAGTGAAACATGATATTCCCAGACTTGATTTGATCTGCCTAATTCGTCGAAAGGCTACGTCCAACGCAATAAAGTCCGGCATTTGATGGCCAGGATAGTGTCGATAGGGGAGCCCTAGAAGGGATTTCGGGATTTACTCGAGCGTGTCAGATTAACATAGGAGGTATACCTTACACCCAATTGAGTACCTCCACCATACATGAGCTCTACATATAGAGAGGATCGTGTAGGTCAGCCCTTAAGTTTATTTAAAAAGAAAACGATGGCCGAAAATACTCGAGCGTGTAAGAGGTAAGTTGAGTCAATTACATGCACATTAGAGTGTATTTAAAAAAATCGGACGATTTACGTAACATAAAGCTGTAGAAGTTCCAAAAAAAAAACACATGATAATGATGATAACAAGGAAATGACAACATTTCCTTTTTATTTTTAAGCAAGCAATGGAAGCAAATTAAATATAAATTTTATAAAAAATCAAAATATTTCAAACCGTAAGATTTAAAATACTCGGATTATCGTCAGATTTTTGGCTAGTATGACAGGAACATCAAGCTGAACCGTCTGTATAAATTCTAGCACGGTCGGGTATTTCGAAATGGCGATTTTTCAAATTTGCAGTTTGCATTTTCGATTATTCGCTACCAGCTTGTGTCACTTTAAAATCATCAGACCTCTGAATGGGAGCATTTTTGGCGTCCAAATAACACATCTATATATATGTTTTTGAAAAGCTGTAGAAGCTTTTCCCGCCGCTGAAAGTGGAAACATTATATGACTTTTATTGTTTCTTTTACCTAATCTTTCAAATGCAATAGGTCCCCATGACGCTCGAGTAAATCCCGATTTAGCGTCATGGGCTCCCCTACTTATTTAAGTGCAAATTCACCAGCGACTCGAAACGTTAAATAACTATCGAAATAAAAAAGTCCCATGGTTGGTGGTTCACCATGGAACAAAACAAGTTTTTATTGTTTTTCTACATTAGATGGGTGATTAGAAGGGTGTCATGCACCAGGTTGCAATACTTGTAATGTGATCGCGTTATTACCCGCGTATAAACATCAGTATGTACGTAAGGTTTTCGTTTGACAATAGTCATTGTGGTCCGTGTGGTAAGGGATTAAGAATACAGAGTGTTACCACCCCTATTCATCCCGTGGGTGTCGTAAGAGGCGACTAAGGGAGCAAGCTACGCAGGACAACAGCATTGCAGAGAGAAGGAGAACTTGACACAAACCTTATACCAACCCGTCTGGCCAGCGTGGTATAGTAGGCCAAAACCTCCTTCCCAAAGAGAAGGCTATGTCCAGCAGTGGACTAGTAAAGGCTGTTGATGTGGTTGATGATGTGATGTGAATAGTCATTGCCATAGTATTAAAATATAATTTTGTCATTAGTAGCTTCGTTGCGTTTTCATTTTTTTGTAGTACTGGTTACCGAGTCCAGTTTCCTTTTAGGCACCCAAGTCCAAGATTTGTACTTTTCGTTGGCTCTTCTGCCTTTATTTAGCATCAATAAGTACCCATATAATGGTTCTGAGCTACGCAAACTACGCAGAACATTAGCACTACCAAGAAAAGAAAACTTGAAACAAACTCTATACATACCCGTCTGCCCAGGGTGGTATAGTAGGCAAAACCTTTCTAAGGAGAAGCCCATATCCAACAGTGGACTACTAAAGGCTGATGTGTTTGTGAACATATATTATAATATTTCAGGTGCTGCTGAATAATTTAGAAAATCTTGTATCAGCTGAGAATGATGTCGCACGGAGCAGGAAGGAGCTTCGTGCGACTAGAGTGAATGCGATCGTGAAGAAGGGTTTGGGAGAACTTAAGTATGATCTGAAGGTGACGAATATAAATTTGAAATAAACGCACATACATAAAATATGTCTTTGTGTCTTTTGTTTACAAAAGAAATAATCAAAAAGATGCAGGTGAAAATAATTTTGATATCTTCTTCGAATTATTGATAGCAGGAAGAAGGACGGCAGATCTGATGATAATTTTATAAATTTGTCCCTTCAGTGTTAAGGGGAAACTGGGGTCACAAATTGTTTCCGTTATCTGCCTCCACTTCATCCATCCCGTATTGATTAAATGCTGTACAGTTCGATCAATCTCACCATCACATTGTAATATAGATTAAAACACATTTGTTAATAAAAATAACTGTAAAACAGTAATTATACACATAAATATTTAATAAGAAATGTAAGAAAGATTGTAAGGATGTAACAGGCACCTGCATGTAGTTGCCCTTGTAAAAGATGGACTCGCTGGTGACTACAGTGGCAGTGGCGGTGGGCGCCTGGAGCGGCTGCCACTTGAACATGAACATGTACCGCGACCGCGGGCGCCGGGTTCTTGGCAGACGCAGGCGCAGGCGTCTTAGTTTTATAACGCGTTGATTCCATTACTGAGGAACTTAAGACTTGTCCTAGGTGTCGATCTGGTTACTTATTGTTATGTTGTGCTTTCTTTTAAGTAATGCTGCTTTATGCTAGCTAGCAAAATGATGTTAAGGATTTATTTTTCATATCCGTTATTAATTTGTTTTCTTCAACGATATTGATTTGATATTGTCGTGTTTTATTTTAAATAGATTATGAATAGATTTATAAATAGTTTTTTTTTAGCTTCACACACGGCATTTTGATTTCAAACTATGTAGACAGAGCCTGTGCTTTGCTATTTGCAGGGCCGCCGCTAGCTGTTTGAGCGCCTGCGTGCAGTGCCGATAAAGCATGAAATCTTTTTCGTGCGAAAATCGTCCACCGGGTTACCGGTGGACGATTTGGCGACGACGGGTGGTTATGGATTTTATTTCTGATCAAGTTCTTTTTATTAACCCCCGACGGAAAACGGGCGTTATAAGCTTAACCTGTGTATTTCTCTGTTTATCTGTGGCATCATAGCTCTCGAACGGATAAACCATTTTCTATGCGGATTATTTAATATTGTGTTATAGAGTAAGTCGTTTCACAGTTCAATTCGGGGATTTTCTTTCCTTAAAAGAAGCAATAATTTTAAGTTTATTTTTAAGTTGGTTGGTTGGTTGGTTTATTAATAAATTCTTGTTTTTTCTCTTTAATTCTTCTTATTTTAATGAAGTTTTATTTAGTAGACCATTTAACTGAGATCTATTAGTGTATTTTCTAAATTATTTCCTATTATCAAAATAAAAATACTACTGACTGGGAAGTAGAACATCGAAAAATATCTGGATGTGGAAATCCACATTCAGGTGCACTCCACTCCCCTCCACACGTAGTAGTCCTAACTAGTTTAGGTTGACACAAAGGGCGACTATACTTTCTCTTGTTGCGTACCGTTTTGTGTCGGGGGTATTTAATATTGTGTTATCCCTATTTCAATGAGTTCAGAAATCATATTACTTTACTTCGACACAATTACACCGCGGCACGTCGTGGAATGCCGAGAGACGCCAAGGCAGGCGTATCATTTTTTATTCGTCACGCGTGCAACAAAGGTCATAGAATTTTGCCCCTCTTCCCTCCGCCCGAATCTAGGGCAGGGACATTTTGGCCCCGGTAACCTTATTCACTCGATGAAAAGATAACAAAAGGATTGCTTATCACCTGTTTTCTGAAGGCCGTGGTAACACTGGTCAAGCCAGCCCATTTGTGCCGAAGCATGGCTCTCCCACGGAAGAATATCGTATTTGTCTCTCTTCATCTTTAGCCAGAACTGCTTTATACTAAATCCCGGTCAATCATAATGACACAACGAACTTTGGATCCGTGTAGAGCATAATCGGAGGCAGTCCGTCGAATGAAACGACATGACCGCGGTATAATTTTATTCAAAAGTCGTCGCGACATCAGTTAGTGTCGGCACTATTGAATGGCTGGGCTTTCTGCGGGATACCACAACTTGAAGAAGTAGAAGAAGACCTTGCCGTGCCGTGCCTTACCGTGATATCAGTCAGAATCAGCCTTAAAACCGCATGCCACGTCGTCTCGGCTAGTAGCCAGGAAACCAGGTGCACCCTAGAAAGGAAATCTCTGATATGACGACGAACGAGTCTAAGTCATCTTACAGGACCCTCATGTTTCTTAACCACGGTTGCACCTCCCTCCCTTTGAGAACGCTACGGAGCGCTTCGCGGTCACCTATCACCCCAAGCCTGCGCTTATGGAGGAAGGTGATCATTCAGCCAGCGCTTGAGCCGAATGCGGTACCTGACCTGTTCCCGGGCCTGGCAGGCAGGGAGAGGGTCATAACCCCCTCAAGGTCCCACTTCGCCCTCTCCTTCGCGAGTATAATTGGCTCGCAGAAGGAGTTAACGGAGTTATACGCGCACTCGTTCCGTGCCATGGCTGCAATCAGTCACGAGGTCATGCTTCTGCTCCACACACACCGGGCTTTCTTCTAGCGTATTTAGCGTCATGTACACACTCTGGCCATCGCAGTGGCAGGCGTAGGCTGTCTGCGTCAGTGAATGTGATCTCCAAAAGCATCCTTTGAGTCAGCCGGTATCAGAGGACCCCGTGTTTCCTCTCGAGCCAATCCTCCATAAAGAGTCTTACCGCAGCAAAAACGGCGTGCCAGGATTAAGTTGCCTCTTTTGCCTGGGATTGGATTTTCATACCACCGATTAATCGATGTCACTATAATAGTACATAATAACACTTATTTCTTAGCGTCCCATGGATTCACCGTGCGGGTGCCGGGTCCATCGCGTGACAGATGGGGCAACACATGCGACTTTGACAGCGCCTGGGACTTGCGAGCCAGGTATAGGTTTAGGGAGTACTCCTTGCGACGTTTCATGTTTATACGTCTATATAGGGTTATTGCACATCTGATATGACGTTATTATGCTAAATACCATATACAGGTGTTAGAAAAGTACCCGAACAGCAGAATAATTCCTACCTTGATTGGTGATCTTTAGAGGTCAAAATTTGTGTACTGAAGGTCATATCCGATTGTAATTTTTTCCTCTCTTTTCAATTTTGGGCTCAAAAATATGCAAACCTAATCGAAAATTCTATGATAAACGCGAACCAGAATATTCTGAGATAACCTTCTAGGTTGTCATCAAGGTCAATTTAAAGGTCACCAAGGGATAGCCAGGGAAACTTCCTGTAACTTTTGTATTTAACGTATTCATGAAAAATGCATCCCTAGCAAATGATTCTGCTGTTCCGGTACTTTTCTAGCACCCGGTATATATATTAGACTATAGTTTTGGTAACGCTCACGATGTGTAAAATAATGAATACTTCGTATACCTATTACTTTTATCATTACAATAGAAATACTTACGAGTATAAATTTGTTCTCTGACATATTTAATCGGATGGACGTATTATAATGTAGTAATAGTAAATCTAACTCATATAAATATAGCTAAACTAGAAATAAAAGTGTTTTATAAAATCCTTCTTTGTTATTAGGTACGAGATGTCAATATAACATTTCAAAATTATGATAAATGACACATTTAACGTATTTTTAATAAGAAATAGATTGATTTTTCTTGGCAGAATTATTTTTGGATTTCTGTATTTGTTTGTGTATAGTGGATTGGGAAAATGTTAGGAGCACTTAATAGCAAATTCTTGAAATTTCGAAACATTTATCAGAACATGCAAATTAGAAAGCAAACAGTGGACTTGTTCATAAATGGTACACCTGTCACAGTTCCTTCGTACTTCACTATAGGACAGGCTTTGAAAAGAGAAAAAGTGGTGGTACCTAATTTTTGTTACCATGAGCGCCTCTCGATAGCTGGCAACTGTCGAGTTTGCTTAGTGGAAGTAGAGGGTTGGAATAAACCCCAAATTTCTTGTGCTATGCCAGTAGGGAAGGGCATGAGAATACGTACAAATTCACCAGAAACACTTCGAGCTCAAGAAGGAGTTCTAGAGTTTATTCTCATAGACCATCCTTTGGACTGTCCCATTTGTGACCAAGGAGGGGAATGCGATCTTCAAGATTTAACAATGAGATTTGGTAGCGATCGCTCAAGATTCACAGACATTCACTTCGATGGTAAAAGAGCCGTCGAAGGCAAAGAGCTAAGCCCACTCATACGTGCCGTCATGACGCGCTGTATTCATTGTACCAGGTGTATACGCTTCGCTTCTCAAGTTTGTGGATTAGATATTTTAGGAACAACGGGCCGTGGCAGTGATATGCTAGTTGGAACATTTGTAGATAAAATGTTTTTTTCGGAAATGTCCGGCAATATTATAGATTTGTGTCCTGTAGGAGCGTTGACCTCTATCCCCTACATGTTCAAAGCTCGTCCCTGGGAACTAAGGAAAACCAATTCTATCGATGTAACAGATGCTACAGGCACAAATATTATAATAGACAGTAGATACGATCGAGTTATACGTGTTTTGCCTCGAGAACACGAGGAAATCAATCAGGAGTGGCTCTCAGATAAAGGTCGATGGGCCATAGATTCACTTGAAATGCAGAGGTTAGTGACACCTATGAAAAAAATAAAACAGGGTTGTTGTACATTCGATTGGGCCTCAGCACTTAAAGAAACATGTCAGATAATTAAAGGTGTTAGTCCTGACAAAATATTAGCTATCAGCGGTCCTCATACCAATGTGGAGACGTTGGTAGCTTGTAAGGATTTTTTAAATTTACTAGGAAGCGAACATACTTACACGGAACAAGGTCTTTGTTCTTTAGGAACAGGTGCTGATATAAGAGCTGGCTATTCTTTAAATATAAGAATGTGCGATGTTGCTCAAGCAGACAAAATTTTATTTATCGGTACAAATCCTCGATTTGAGGCACCTATTTTAAATACTTGGATTCGTCAAGCATACAGAAGCAACGAGGCTGATATTTTTGCTATCGGTCCAAAATGTGACTATAATTACCACGTTACATATTTGGGCGATACAGTTGATGCGCTGTCACAGGCTAAAGACGCTTTAGAATGCGCTAAGAAACCTCTAATTTTTATTGGAGTTGAGCAACTAAATACTACTTATGGTGGTAAAATCATAAGTGAATTATCTAAATTAGCAGAGTGCAAAAAATGTGAAGATTGGGAAGTTTTGCACGTTATACCATTAGAGGCGAGTTTTATTGGTGCACTAGAAGCAGGTTGGAAACCAGGTGCGATAAATATGATAAAGAAATCAAGCAATATAGAACTCATTATCTCATTAGGAGCTGATCGAATATTTTACAACTGGCAGCAGTCAAGTGGCACTAAATTAAAAATTATTTACATTGGATTCCAAGGCGATAGGGGTTCAGAAGTTGCGAATTTGATTCTACCCGGGAGTGCTTACACGGAATCGGGTGGATTATACCTAAATATGGAGTGTAGATCACAGTTCGCGTTGCCGGCTGTCACGCCGCCGGGGAAAGCGCGTCACGATTGGAAAATAATACGTGCTATAGCAGAGTGCTGTGGAGTTAACTTACCTTATAGCGATCATAATAGTTTGTGCTGCAGGCTCGCAGAGATCAGTCCTCTTTTCACTTATTTGGGAAATTATGAACCAAAATTATTTTCGAATCTAGCTTGGTCTATGGTAACAGGTGGCGATGACGTTGACAATTGCCAAGTGCAGGTGGAGATGACTAAAATAGCCGATTATTATTGTTCAGATATTTTTACTTATAATTCACCCACAATGGTGATGACTAAAAAGGCGGCCAAAGAATTTGCAAACTCATGCTATTCATCGTTATAGTGTCATAGACACACAATAATTGAATAAATTAATATTTAATTTTAATATTTGTTGGTTTATAAAAATACCGCAAAGAAAACCAGTGTTAAGCAACTCTTATGCGCTTTTCATCGAGTGAGTGGAACTAACGGATGCCCAATCCCCCCTAATTCTCCTCCTCCTAATTCTGGGAAGGGTGAGCAGTCATAGAGCTGCAAGACACTTGTGTATCCTCAGCTGCAGGTGTCCATGGGCGATGGTAATAGTTACCATCAGATGACCCGTACGCTCGTGGGGGCAATCCACCATATACTGGCAAATATACCATAAAAACAAAAAAATACAGTTTTATTACTATGAACATATAAGTCATATAAGACGGACAAGGAGTATATAAGGTCATCGCGGTAGTGTTATAAGTTAGAAGGCGATTAAGGACGAGGTGCAGCATGCAAGCGAAGTCGCGCGACGACTCGGTGCGACTTCCAGCTACGAAAATCAATGCAGCGTGCGGGCGACTAGCGATGAGCTACAGATCTACAAAAAGTTCGATATATCTTATTATATGACTCTGAAAAAGTAATGGGTTATTTACTAAGCTATTTCAACAATACAGTGATATTTCTTATCTGATTAAATACGTTAGATAAGTTGTGCGTTTAATGTAGATCGAAACTGCCCTTTACAGCATGTCACTAAAATGAATATCTTGAATTATCAGGGATTTAAAATGCGGGGGCAGAGAGGCGATCGCTTCGGGCCATATGTCCCCGTCCCGGGTACCAGCGGCCCTCAGTCGTGGAGCGTGTCTGTAACTATATATTAAGATATCCTGTAGTATCGTTTAATCATGATATTAATGTAATGAATTACTCCACACTGCCGGGCAGGTCGTTAGTCTAGTAATAAAATAGAAAGCAAAAAAGTTGTCCTGCGCAATCGCAATCCATCGCAAGCGATTTACAACGACCAGTCGCTGCAAGTCACGCGACCACTGGTCGCAAGTCATGGGCACGCTGCACTAAGCCGTTTATTTCTATACGTTCTATCAAGTCGCCCGACATCGCTTGCACTCCGCACAAGCCCTCGTATAGCTAGATATTGTAACGTTTTAAAGCCTGCTGTTCTCTTTATAAATAATTTAGTCAATATCATGTTATTATAAATAACTTAGTTAGTGTTACATTAATTTACCTTAGTATCAGTTTTTATTAAAATGACTGTTGTCATAAATATTTTTCAGTTATTAAAGTACCTATGTTTTAGATTACATCTACCTACCTGTTTTTTTCTTTAAAGTCAACTGGCTAGACGGAAATCAAATTTGCAAAAAAAAGTTGCAAAGGATGAGTGGTAAACGTGTATTGAAAAGGGACTTCTCGAGGACTCTTGCTTTTACTCCTCAATCCATTTACATAAGTAATATCAGTTTCCTACTATTGCTTTCATTTTTATCTTCATCTTTCTTCATAGTTGGCAATAGTAGGGTTTTTGTACGCCTCAGCTTCAGTAATTGTGGATAAGTGAGAGTACAATATTGATGTTTCTCCAGTGACTTTCGTTTGGGCCATCTATCAGGCATGATCACGCAACCTGATCTGGTGATCCTCTCTCTGTGTCAAAAGGATTATATATTCGTTCGTCTAACGTAATCGGGGTTTTGTCAATTTTCTTTTTTTTTTTTAAGAAACATTAACGATGTCTCAGTAACTTACTTTGGAGACGTGGGTCGTAAATAAAAATAAAAATTTATAAAAACACAATCAAATTTTATTAAATATCAAATATTGTATTGTCTAACACGATTCCTTAACTATCATGTTTCACATCAATATCTCGTAATGGCATAATAATAATACGGTTACAAATACATTGGGTAGTAACGTATCGACAGAAACGATAGTAGACGACAGACAGAGAATTAACAGTAAACATATCGCGATACTAGACACCGATATAGAATATAATGTAAATAATGTTTCTATCGATATTGTCATGAAGGAACAAGAAGTAGCTGAAGACAATAAATATGAAAACAATCTATACAGAGATATAAATGAACGAATTGGAAAATAATAAACAAACAAACGTATAGTACAAGTTGATGAAACAAATCACAATCATCATTCTCAAATAGTATAGAGATGTTTAAAAGCTTTCAAGAATGACATAGATGAAAATGGAAATAATGAAACGTATGAAGAGACTCATGTACGATGAGACTTAGAACACACTCACATTATAAATACTTGTCACAATACATGGGCTTAAATGCAAAATCTACAAAAAAGTGTTATACACGATTATTATCTCAAAACGGTATGATCAGTTAATAATAGGTCTTACAACTATTCATATTAGGTAGTTTTTTGTGCGCCAAAGCTCTACTTGGATGATAAAGCATTATATAGAATTTCTTCTGCAACTGAGGATTCTTCCTCCTACTTTATTTCATTCTGTATTTGAAGAATTATGTGAGTAAATTGTGAATAAGTCTTCTGTTCATTTGCAGAAGAAACCCGACTGTAATTACGACGACTTTTTAAATTTAACACTGATATGTGGGTATGATGTGTCACGTCTAACTTGGTCGCTAGAGTACTCGACTCCACACACCTAGTCTAACACCGGGCAGTAGTATTCAACCTTATCATCGACTCACCTTACTGTACCATTAAATGTATCCATATTATATTTACTGTAAATGAATTCAATCAATTGAAATGCTCACTTAAAATTATCAGTATTTGTGCGAAAAAAGTATTACCGTAAAATATTTGTTTTATAAAAATAGTAGTCACTGAAAAAGTCCTGAAAATAGTTTTGCTGATTTCTTACATAACTTGTAATACAAAATTAATTTATAAAACTTTAAAGTATTCTTAAAAGGGCAAAAAACTGTAAATTGAACTGTCTTTTGAGATTCAATTTCTGTTTTTTTGTTAATATCTCCATCGCTTTAATATTGATGATTCACAATTTACAATGCCAATCGTAATGTATTCGCCTATTAAAATGGACGGCTCTGTGTTATTCACATTGCCAAGTACCGACGGTTGGAAGTCAGCGTTCCTAAAGAGGGCTAATTCCTTATCGAGTAGGTACCGACTGGGCCACAGAGACAACGCCGGGCTAGGCTTAACGAGTAAACCAACAATGAGAAGCCCGACCAACGCTGCAGCTAATCATTTAGCGTGGGATTATAAAAAACCGTCTAAAGCGTTACTTTTATATACGTAGTAAAAACATGGAAGCACTCCTGCGGACAGACTCTTTGCTGGCTATCATAATGTAATATTACTAACATTGTAGTTGACGTGGTTAAACTTGTACATTACGCTATTGGTCTATGTAAATACTTTCAAAATCGCAAATTAACTGACGCGAATCAAACTTAGCATTAATATTAGGTACGTAAACTTAGGTAATAGTAAACTCAACAATAGACTAGCGAAACAGATCAACGTAACGGTAGAGATTAATAAATAGACAACAAAAGTGTACGTCCATTGAACGCGAAGGGCCTGACGTCACGACACTGTGACGTCACCGTGTCGCAGTCGTCATGCGGCGAGCTGTCACTAAATTATGCGTGGCTTGCTTTACACTTTGGTGACCGTCTTCAGTTTTCTACTTCTCAGGCATCTGTGAAAGGAAAATGTTATGGGAAATAAAAAAAGAAGACAGTATATACGTAAATTTTATTTTTATCTTTTTAAACAACAGCCGTTATAAAGTTAAAAATAATGGAGAAAAGGCTACGAAAAACTGAGGCCAAAGTGCGAGTTTATTTCACATTCACTTGATCGTCACGGTGAACGCGTTCGAATCGCAACGCTGAACGGGCTTGCTATCGATAGCGAGTTGATGTGAAATAATGAAAATAATTCTGGTTCTCTGGTTAATGAAATAGGGCAGTGAACTTAATCTCTTCCAGGCAAAGAATAGTAATCATTGGTTTAAAATTATAACTACTATATACATAATATTTTACTTGTGGTTACCTGATGAAGCCGCGGTACAACATAAACCCTCCATACACGCTCAGTATAATGGTCGCCGTCCAAACAACTGCCAGTACTGAACTACTGCCCTCTGAAATATATAAATACACATAATATACATTTATATGCAGTACATTTTTCTAGGTCATGCAAAATGTAGATAGTATTTTAGATAATACAAAATTCTATCGTGATCAAGATTCGTAGTCGTTGGGCACAGAGTGTACTTTGTCAAAATACCATTATGTGTGTATTATCCAGGGGTACAGTAGTGCCATTCACGGAATATCATGTCAATAGTAGACTTATTAAACATATGAAGCTTCAATTGCATAGCTCTTACACTTTAGATGTTATTGATACCTAAAAACCGGGATTTCGTCATTGACTCACTGGTGATCATCAAAATTTTTAAGGAACTTTCTCAAGTCCTAGAAAGCTGAAATTTGGTATATAACCTAGTATTAGTACACAAACTACAAAAAAATCTAAAACTTGAAACTTTTACCCCCTCAACCCCTTAAACTAGGGGATGGAAGTTTGTATGTGACTTCCACAAATTTTAATGCGAGATCTGCATATTGATAAAAAGACAAAGACAGAGAGTGTGCTATGAATAAAGGCAACTTTGATGTGCAAGAAATATAACAAAAAAAGGCAAATAAAATGAACAAATTAAAATATATTGTTATAAGTCGCACTTACATAAAGAAGTGAAATCCCACCAAACATTTTTTCATGTACAATGTTGCCAAGATCTTATGAGATACTAGATCATATGTCTCGCATTGACAAAAAGTTATCGGATCTCATGTAGATCTAAGCTTCTAACTTTACATGTCCTAACTCCAAGGCCTACCTTCACAAACCTGACAAGTCAAAATATGTGGCTTCGACTGCTTAAACCACTAATGCCATCCGTGCAGTCAATTTTGATAATAGGAAGTGAGTCTGACCGATATATCCGTCGTGGTAGACGTCGGCGCTGGGCCAGGCGCGGCGCGGCTTATCGTCGCGCGGCTCCACGGCGAGCAAGTCGGGGATGTCCTCAAGCTCGCCGCTGCAGTTCGCCCACTCGATTGTCACGTATCTAAGAGTTATTTAAAAGGAAGATTGGATTTTAAATAAAAATCTGTCTTTCGAAGTTGTTTTTGCTGTATATTGATGATTATTGCTAGTACGAATCTTTGCCGGGGACTTGGTCGATTGAAACCACGTTGTGAATCACACACGGAAGCTTTTTAAATTCTTATCTTTATTGTATCGTATCTTTATTGTATTTGTAGAAGTTAGGAAGTCGGTAAAAGGATACGGCTGATAGATATTAACAAGAGTAATTTATTAAAGGAATCAAGGAATTATGATGTACAAAGGAGCGAGGGAGCACACGCGATGGCCGTTGATCGTGCACTTTATGTTTTTGATAAGTAATGAAATAAGTATGGAAAAAAGCGCTTGTTCGGCAATAGTGTACGGTGTCATCGTACAGTATTTATCAATTATATTATTACATAGAGTAAATGAAGGGAAATTTAAAACTATAATTATTCAAAAACGAAAGCTTATATTACATTGTCAATACAAATGACACTTTAATCATTATAATTATTATGGGATTGATATTCGATATTTTTAATTATAAAAATATCGATAAACAATTGCTATAAAGTTTTTGTTTAATAAAGAAAATTACAAAGTGTTAGAAGAAGAAGCCTAAGAATTTCTCGGCATGTCGGCAATATCCCCGTTCATGAATGCTTTTCGAATAATTAGTGATCAATTAGGTACATGAAATAAAGATATTGAACCTTTCTTTAATCTGACAATTTTTTCATCTTTAGTAGCTGCTTCGTCAACAACCCTTAACAGTCTACTGCTGGACATAGGCATCTTCTTACAATGGAGGTTTTGGCCTACTATAACACGCTGGCCAGACTGGTTGGTATATAGTTTGTTTTAGGTTTTCATTCTCTTTGCAGTGCCATTGTCCTGCGTAGTTTGCTCCCTTAGTCGGCTCTTCCGACACCCACGGGATGAATAGGGGTGGTGACACTCTGTATTCTTAATCTGCTTGACATGTTGTAACCGTGGCATGAGTATATATGTAGCGTAAAAACGGCATCGCCATTTTAAGGATAATCATAGTCTAACTTAGTGTTCGTACAGTAAGTGACACTGAAACGGAGTTTAATAAAAATATTATGTTATAAAACGTAAGTAGTTACGTTACGTTACCTGGAGGGCGTGCTGCAGGCGCGGCGCGCGGGCACGAGCAGCTGGCGCGTGCGCGAGCGCGCCCCGCCGCGGCACGGGCCCCACGCGCCCCACGGGCCCGGCTGGCCCGACTCCGACTGCTTGCAACCACATTCTACCTCGCACACTTCGTCTTCCTACATATCGATAAACAAAATGTTATGTTCACTTATTTATGCACAATATAATTGGTCGCTCTTTTCAAGACGAAGTTTCATGTTTTGACTATATTGATATAACATTGTATATACTCGTATAATATAAATATTATTATTAAACACATTTCACACACGGGCCTATACTATGGTAACCAGACTGCTGATAAACATACTTATATATGTCTAAACACATACATATTATAGATAAATGAAACACAGAACAAATGACCGAGCTCATCACACAATTATTTGTCCTGGGTGGGAATCGAACCCACGATCTCTGGCGTAGCAGTCAGAGTCTGAAGGACTGAAAAAGTGGGTGGTTATGGTGTTGTATCCGGATTGTATATAAATTAAAATTCTTAAACAAATGGTTAATATTAAAATACATGCTAATAATTCCAATAAATAAAACTCAAACAAAAAGGGCATGGATACGCAGCTTTGATTTAACATTAAGAGAAACCTATATATCTCCACCAATAGACTGCAATAGGATATTTGTGTGTTCATTTTTTTAGTTATGTTGAGTTAGGGACTTTAGATTCGGGCAGTACAGGACCGGTTGTTGTGGCGAACCTTGGGGGAGGCCTATGTCCAGATGTGGACGTCTCCAGGCTTAGATGATGTTGATTACATGTGAGGAGCGAAGAGTGGATTCAGTATAGTGTACCTACCTGGTAATGCATGGGTGGTGCTACGATCCTGCCGGGCAGTACTCCAGCGCAGCGCCACGGCTGGAGGAATGTGTCCATGGTGTCATCCCCGACGCTTGTGAGCTCACACCGAGCGTGAGATACCTTCACACCCCATCCACAAGCTCCGTCTGCCTCGTCGCCTGATGACGTCTGAATACCGGATTTTTTGTTCATTTATTTATTAAGCCTAAATTTATGTGATTGTGGCTAAACAGTTGTAATTCCAAGATACGAAGTAGAAATAGGGATATACGGTGCTGAGATATTGTTCAAAGTTGAATTGTTAAATACGATCCTTTTTTATCGTTTTTAACATCATTTTCTAAAAGTTAATTAATTTTAAGAGATGTTTACGCCCCAGATTCGCTGTGTACACATTAATAAGTATGTGGTAGGTATAAATAAATATGTTTTTGTTTTGATTTTAATTATCTACCTGAATATGGCATCCTAGAGAAGGTCTGGCGACGAGCCTCATGCAAGGCTCCCGTGGGCAAGGCGCTCGTTGTTCAGTGGAAGGACACGCGCGGCCTGGCCACACCGCCGCCGTCAGGTGTTGCCTGAGGGACGAGGGAAGTTAAGTAATTATTTCACGAATTAAAAAAGACAAAAGTTTAATTTAGTTTTTTTTTTACCCATTATGAATCATTTGTTTATTTTTACATATTAAACTTAATTTTACTTTTTTTTAATAAACGTTAAAAATATTTTTACTATTATCAAGATATCGCCGTAACGTAATAATGAATTTAGAGGAATCGAAAACTTCTTCCTTTCCAGAAGTGATGTTGACAAAAAAGATAGTTAGACTATAAGCTATGGTTACACTGTAAAGGTATGACCTGATCCTGCGCATATGGCGAGCAGTGGAAGCATCCCCGCAAGAACAAGCTGACGAATCCCACGGCCCCCACTGGCTCAGCTCACAATCCACACCGCATGGCACATAGCACCATGATTCCTTAGCTTCGGTTGCTGTTGTATTCTGTTAAGACAAGGTACAACTCTGCAATTTAACTGTCATTGTAACAATGTATTGTTTAGCAAGTTCAAAAAGTTATGTTTGCCTTCATACAAAGATTTTTCAGTATAGCCAATGAGAGAAGAGGGAAACAAGAGAGAACTCAGCTATTGAGATGAGCCCAATTAAATGAGCTTAAGAATTTTAAGTTTTACAGACGATATATATATATATATAGATAATATGTACTTATTGTTTACTATTTAATATTTTTTAATAATATTCACTTACTGGACAGAAAGTATCGTTCACAAATATTCCGTCACTTCGTAGACATCTGACAGCTCTCTTCTTCGTACCTTCTCCGCACGGAGAGCCTCCTGAAATAACATGTTAGAGTTAATTGAAATTAAAAACTGGTGCTTGGTTTTATGTTGCTTTTAATTACGTAAATATTCACCTAAAGGCTGGCAGTCATCCCACGGAGCAACATGCCAGGAGTAGACGTGAGGTGAGCAAGGCTCGGCTCCTACGAGATGTGGACATGCGGCACCACCGTCGTCAGCGGGACGTAACACCACACGAGTACGATCACGACGGCCACCCCATTTAGTCTGTTAAATGAGTTATGATTTTTTCTAGATTATCTTTACGTTATTGTTGACCTACCAAAAAATGTCAAATACATAATTAGAAGTAAATACGTAGTTAAGCTTTTGACTGAGTTTCACTAAGATAAATCCTACTAAATGATTAAATCTATAAAAAGAGGTTATTTTAATTAATATCCAGACGAACTAACGATTACCTATGACTTCAACTTTACGAAATAATATTTTACTAATTCACTAAGTAACCATAAACTGTTATAGTATACGGTATTCCACAGGGTATATATCTCGACCCAAACTGAATCTCTGGCGATAATTAAGTATGGACACATCTCTTAGCATGATAAGTACCTGTTCGCAGGGGCTCCAATCTGACCAAGTGCTTACAACACAGTCAGCGGGGCAGGGGGCGCGACATGTCGCTTCACGTGATGGAGCTGGTCCAGCTCCGGATGCTTCGCATGTCGCATCATCCAGCACTTGTCCTTCTGCATCCATACAACTAGAAAGAAAAGTCATTTTTAAGTCCTTTTAACTTATTAATTATTTCTCTTAATTTGATTGGTAAATGACAGGATTTATCATAAATATATTAATTTTATTTGTTTAAGTCAAAACTATTTAGTACCTTTTTTCTTGTTTATAAACAGATATTCTCAGTTAAAAAAAAACTTGCCTTATTAATGTTCTCAATAGTTTATTGAATTGCGTTTTAATTTCAATTCCTTGGCGACGAATTATTTACAAAATTATTGAAATATTTAACTTATACTTACATTACTGTCCTATTTATGATGGCCCTACCGCAAAGTGATCTAAGAGGTGTGCACACGCTCCACTCGCCGAGTGACCAGCGTGGCTCTGACACTGCGCAAGTCGAACGTTGAAGAGTAGCACCGCATTCGCGGCCACCACCTGTACCTTCCTCTATCACCTCCCTAAGGACATTTCGGACACATTCGGAATTATACTATCACATTTATTCTAGAATTCAATCAATCCTTCGCAAATCAGTCCTTTTTTTAGTGTAAAGCAAGGTATATTTTTCTGTATCTCTGACAATATGTCTCCAAAATACACAAACAACAAATAAATTAACTATCGCATTTACATAATTTTAGCAAGGATTAACTGTTCGGTATCTCACCGAGTACGAAATCGGAAAGCTGCTCTTGAGCCAGGTTCAGCCGCGCAAGGTCCCCACTCGCCCCACGTGCCCACGGCGCAGTCCCGCGCACAGCGCACGGTGCAGGCGCCGCGCAATAGCGACGGGAACTCCGCGTCATACGTGTAGCCGTCTGTAGACGCCTCACGAACGCGACTCGGTCCTGGACACGTTTAACAAAATTATTTGTAATATTTTAGCAATAGATAGAACATGTTGAGAAAAAAACCTTTGACTTCTGTTGGGGTAAGTGACTGTTTCGTCATTCCAAGATGTTATTTAAAAATTGACAATGATACGACATGTTCTCAGACCGCCAAGAGTAAATAAAATAGTTTACAGGTTAAAAGGTTGTCTCGGCGTATGTTTAACTGATTAAATTGAGAAAAAACAGATTTTACTGATTTTCATGTAATATATAACACAAATAATGCTTGCTATTTAGTACAGAGCATTTTATAGAAAACAAAAAAATATTGTATTTATCATAATCAAAAGGACTTAAACATTTCAAGAGGTAAGTAACTAGTATGGAAGAACTCTGCTTTATTGTGATAGGATGCAATAAAATGAGGTTAGAACTTTTCTCAGAAATAAAACGCATTCAAACCAGTTGGATCGATGCGTACCTGTAAGTGGATGGTATTTCTTGCACACATCCATTGGCACGTCGCGACCACCGACCATGCAGCGAGCTGCACGTAACGATCTGCCTTCACCGCATTCCGTGCTGTCGTAAGGTAATGGTGGACGTTATAATGTATAATGTACTAAACGTGTAACGTTTCTTGTTTTAATCACACTAAATTTATTAAAAACAAAGGTTGCAGATTTTCAATTCTTAGATCACAGAAATATCAGTAATTTTATATCATATAAAAAATACACCCGGACATAGAAATTTCTCCTTATTTGATATCCTTTAAAATATCTGCAACTACTAATCTACCACCCTGCGATATTTGATATCGAGATGTTATTTTATGGTGGGTAAATAGTAGTTTTAGATTTTATTTTCTTATTTGATAGTAACACACCTACGTGTTTTGTATTTAATGTAAATATATGTTTTGTAATAAATTACTGTTTATTTACTTACCCACTAGGCAGGATGCAATCGGAATCAGCTGGCAATAGCTCCAAGGATACGTTTTTGCAAACGCAATTCGGAACATCAGGATCAGAGGCGTCTAGATATCTGTGAAATATTATTTTCACATTTAAAATATCTGTCAACAAAAAAAGAAATATAACCGATAACATATTTGATAGGGGGGTGGTGAGGGGTTGTCTTGCCTTCTGTAACTTCACACTTACTCGATGAAAAGCAACGAAAGAATTGCTAAACACCTTCTGTCTGTCTTCTGTTTTCTGTGAGACCATGATATCAGTCGAGTCAAGTCGGCCCATTTGTGCTGAAGCATGGCTATCCACGGTTATATAAAGTCCAGAATGGTTATTAATCTGCAAGCAGTCCAGTTTGGGCAATGATATTGAAGGACTCACTTGAGGGGGTCAGCACAGATGACGTTACAAGTGGTCGGCTCGATGTGGTCGCAGGTGACGGCGCAGGCGGCAACGCTGCGCGGGATGAGCTGGCCGGCGCACGCGCCCGCCTCCACGCGGTGCGATTCCGAACCGCACCAGATACCTGTAAAACAGGGATTGGACATTTAGAACCTTTCTTTGTATAGAGTTAGTTTCATAAACGATGAAGAACCGGTTTTTTCAAAAGCATTACCATTTACTAGACTCTGCATGGGTGATTACTTCGAATAACAGAAATAAAAAAGTTTGAAAAAATAAGTACTTTCACTTATTGCATACAAAACGGCAATTTCATAGGTAAAGACCTAATAATACTTTTTTAACTAATAAATATAATAATAATTTTTTAACAAAAAAAAAAAAAAATATATAGTCAATTTAAGAAAAATAAATAGATTTGACTGGAAATTTATTCTCTTCTATTCAATTTTGCTTTCAACGCTAATTTTTTTTTACTTACTCCTAACTCTATATCCAACCCCACATCGTTGCGCAGGCGGCAGACGACACGTGCTCCAGTCGCCAGCGACCCAGGCGGCGTCACGAGCCCGACACGAGCGCGACACGGGACAGTCGCGGGTCTCTTGCCGAGAGCCGCAGCTTGGTCCGCCATGCACAACTCGTACGCGGACCTGTTTGCCTGGTTCTGTTGAACAAATATGACCACTTATTGTTTAAATAAATTTAACATTTAAGAAAGAATAATAATTATATTTTAAGCATTAGTTGAGTTCTAAAATTAGTTCATAAGGTTACACTTTAAAGGTGATTGGCACATGTTTAAAATTGAGTCTTTGAACAAGTTAGACTCAAAAAAAAAGTGAAAAGGAAATAATAATGCTCGTCAAAAGCTTTAACAAAAAAAAAGGAATCAGTCCCCCGATAAAGGATAAAATAGAGGATAAATGTTTTGTTTTTGTAAATTTACATACCTATATAGATTTAAAAAGGTTGATTTACCATGTTTAGCATTTTTAAGGTCGACTGGTAGAAAATACCAAAGTCACGTCGATATGTGTATTAGGAATAAATAAAAAGGTTTATTTAAGAATTGTACAGACCACAAGTGTTGGGACAGGGCGACCACGGCATCCAAGCCTCGACCCTGCATCCGCGGCGGCACCGCACCGTACACGCGCGACGTGATGCCGGACGACGCAGAGGAGCACATCTGAACAAACATTAAACCTCATGAAGGTAATATTCGAAAATACCGATACGTTATCCTCAATGACAATGCCAGCAAAATGCCAGATACCAGAAATCGTATTTACGTTTGTTTTTAAGTAATATGACGAAGTACCAGCTAGTGCTACATAATACCTGGTCCGCTTCTGCTTATCATACATTAAGTGTCAACACACATATTGAGGCCTTGGGCGCTGGTTCCTTGGAGTTGGTAACAAATTGAAATTCTGTGAAAAAGAAGTATGAACGATACTTACAGAGCTTCACGAACAACGTCCGCGTTGTTCTGCACGCACATTACGTCTCTGACCATATCACCCTCTTCTATACATGGCTCTTCATCATTACTCTCGTTATAGGTCTCTCCATCCTGTAACAGAAGAAAAAAAGTAAAGTGAGTTAGACAGATTATCAGTGATTACTTATTCAAAAAAAAACAGAAGCAGACAAAATAAAAAATTTTGGAAAATATGCTCGATTTGCACTTCATAACTTTAAATATTATTTCGCGGACATTGGTGTAGGTTGAACGTTCACTCAATAGATTACTTACTAATTTAAAATTAGTTATCTAACATGATAGACGTTAAATTTTCCAATAAACAAAATTTTACATATTTGAGTGGAGTTTTCACGATGCGTGCGAGATTTATGATCTTGTTCTGGAATTAAGGAAAATTGACTCAAAAACATAAACAAATAGTAATTTAGTACCACGCAATGAAGTGCTACTAGGTTCTACACTTCTTTGTAGAAACTAATAAAAGTTGAAGAATTTCGGACGAAAGCAGTCGAACCAAGAGATTTTTGGATTGAATAGAGATTTGGTTAAAAGAGAAACAGATTATTTCATATCGTGATACGAGAATTAGGAGCATGGCAGTGAGTATACATTGGGATAAAACTTGGTTAAATTCATATAAAATAGAGCCAAAGGTCTTCACTGTTTTTTTTTTATATTTTTCGGACATCTGACATACAACGCCATTTGGTTTCAAACTAAGCAGAGCTTGTATTTGCAGAGCAGAGCTGGAGCTATGAAAACTAAATTGACTGATAGAATACTCATATACTTTTAATTTTGTAAATACATACACATTAGATATAGAAAACACCCAAACAAACAAATATTTGCAGATCATACAAACATCAGGCCCCAGACCTCAGCACAGCAGTCGCATACGCTAAAACTGCACTACCGAGGCAGTAGTTGTTCAAAATTCTAAGGAAACTTAACTCTAAATATAATTTTAAAACTTTTTTTATCATATTAGACACTAGATCGCGTTCATCGGCTTTAATTCCAGCTATCATACCCAAAATTCTACGGTAATTCGAATAACAATGCCATCATCAATTCGTTCAAATCTATGGAAAGTTCTATAATTTTAAAGATTGCGAAAACCCTATATTTAATTGTGAATGTTATGTCACTGACCAATAAGTCGGTGTAGTTGTTAGCGGGTATGTAGTCCTGTGTCCGTCGCTCGCAGGGTCCCCAAGGCGTGGCCAACCAGGAGTAAGTGGCGCACGCGTGGGTATTGCAAGTCTCGTTTTGGAGTAACTGGTCCTCTGAGGGGCACGGCCATCCATCTGAAGGGATGAATATTCATTAAATGCATATTCGTTAAATACGTACTCAATTGACTGTTGGATGGTGGAACTTAGATGATATTCAATGAATCTAGGTGAATAATATTGTTTTTTTTCCTAATCTAATTAAACTAACTATTCTAGTTTGAAAGAAACAAAAGCTATAAAAATAAAGACGTGTTAGATAAGTAATATTTGTTCCTGACCAGAGCTAGTTCTCATCTAGGTATGCGAATCTGACCTGCTCAACTACGCAATCCATCTCCATACAAGCGATATCCGTGCATTTTTAAGTTATATCTTTTGCGTTATCAATAATTCTCTTTAAATGTGTCCTTGTGTAATGAGCAGTGATCGGAACAGGTAGTGCAATTAAGGGTGAATGACCTTAATTATTATATGAGTATGGATAATGGTTCTAAAACTCTCTAAATTAAACTATGAATCACTAAAAAAATGTTTAGTCCTGTCAAATAATGTTTGGTATTTTGAAAACATTATACTTGACAGTACAACAGTTTAGTTTTGAGAGTTTTCGAATAAAAGAATTAGCACCATTGATTTGTTTTGAGTATATATATGATATTATAGAATATTTTGCTACGAAACAGTTGGAGATACAGTTTCTCTTAAGCATGGTTAGATAAGTTTCTACATAGGGTAGTAAAAAGTGTCGGAATAATAAATAAAGGAATGGTAAGTAATAGGCAGTTCGGTAAAAATACTGACTGGGTGCGGCGTGCGCCAGCACGTGTCGGCGGCGCGTGCGCGAGGGCGGCGGCGTGGCGGCGGCGGCGCAGGGCGCGGAGCAGCGCGTCCAGGCGGCCCACGCCGACACCACGCAGTCGCCGGCGCACGCGATGCGGCACCGCTCCGAGTGCGCCGGCGCACCCGTGCCGCTGCACCACGCGCGCTGGGCCTCTTTCTACAGGTTTATAATGACAGTAATGTAGTTTTTACAGGTATGAAGGGATCGATGGTTAGTTCTCTGTAAATAGAAAGTTTTGTTTTAGTGCTGACATCCCCACCTTGTTAAAACCTTTAGTCGGAGGACTTAATAAAATGTATAATATATATATTTTAGACAGCACGGATTGGCATATTGGTTGAGCGGTGTCCTCGCCATTACGACAAGTCGAATGTTATGCGTTCGTTTCCCACACTAGATAAAAAATTTGAGTCTGGGTGTTCTTTGTGTCGGCTGTATAAATATTTGTTAGGCCCCCGCGACCTAGGAATTATTATTGGTAAGCGAGTTTTCTTTAAAACAATGTTTCATCTATTGTAGTTATGGTGGAAATACGAATAATTTTTCCAAATAAAATTTAAAATTCTGTACAAAAATAATTTAATTTTTTTAATAAATAATGATGATAAAAAGCTTTCTCTTTCTATTTATCTCAACGGATTTGAACAATTACTTTTGATGAATCTGTAGCTAAGTTATGCCTTACGCCATCATGTCCAATACAGCGCAGCTCTCTAGTCCGGCGGCCCGGACCGCAGGTGGTGTGCGGCTGGTTGAGCACGCAGGGGCCCCACGGCAGCGCGCGCCAGGACGCACAGCGTGGTGCACTGCACGTGCGCTTCTCTTCGAGCGGGGGACACGGGGCCCCACCACCTGACGCTGCGGAGATTACACGTCGGCGGCGGACGCTGTAGCCTAGGAAGTCAGTACTTTCATTTATTGTCAATGTCAATAAACATTTTAACTTAGAAATCACAATTGACAAACTCAACTTGTATGATTAACTCAATAACCGGCTTTACCATAAAGAACCTTACTGTAAGAAATAAGAATTTGGACTTGCAAAATTTCACAAAAAAATAATACGACGTAAATCCTTAGGTTTACAGTATTTCAGCTTAACTCCACCTGCGAAATCCAGCAATTTGTCATATAAATTACTAACTAACCTGTAGTGGTGAGCTGCTGAACAGGATACAATGGACATCCATCAGTTGGTTGACAAGCACCCCACTCGCTCCATTCGCCTACTTCACAGTCTCGTGGACAAGGGACCTGATACCATAATTTTGTTCTACGTAAACACTTCTAGGTAAACACGAATGACTCTGAAGAAACAATGATGTATTTTATTTAAAAAGGGTTTCATCTCTTTAAATATACTGATATAAAAACTGTGTACTTTATAACTTCTTTATTAGTTTACCAGAAATTTCGTTTAGGTATATACCTATAGTGTTATTGGTCGACCCACAGTCATTAAAACATGTTATTCATCTGGTATTTATGTGCTTTAAAGTTTTAATAATTTACGAGTATATCATAGATATTAAAACGTAAATCATTCTTTAAAAATGTAAAACAGAGAAAAGCTCATTTAAAAAATCTCCAATGAAGTGAAAAAAGTTAATAACTTTTAAAAAGCAGCGTTGTTTTTTTCACGGACATGGGTTTAATGTATGCTTCCATACTTTATACTTACTTCCATACTTTATACTTATTCCATACTTTAAACCGACAATTTAACAATCGCTACACATGGAAACAAAATAATTGTAAAATGTGGTTGAATAAATTGTGGCGGTGTATTTGTGTGTGAACAAATTAATTACAAAATTAACTCTAACTGTATCTAGAATTTGATAGAATGTTTCAGTATTTAATGTTAATTAACTATGTCCTTCAACGAATGCGTCATAATAAGTTCATTCTTTTCTAGGTCACACAATGTTGTTAGAAAAGTGACTCATATCAATGTTCCTAGTAAAGAGTATAAATGTTTATTGTAAGTTGAAGGCGATACATATTTCATAGAAGTAACCTTGAGACTTTAATTCGGTTTAACAGTAAAATTATTGAACCATCTATGACTAAGGGTTCAAGGGAAAGGATTTTTTTTTAACGAATCAGCCGCGTAATCGTAAATATTCTAGATCATTACTTGAGAGACATATAATTAAAGTATATAAAGTATTACAAACTTTCCGTGTTGTCGGTCATATATATCAGCAAAGTAGGCAGCATTTGTAATAAGATATACCAAGGGGGTTGGCCTCGGTGAAATATAATGTGTCTCAATCGACGAAAGTTTATTCAGATACTTATTTAATTAACAACATTTTTCAAAGGCACAAAAGGAATAAAAATTAATGATTTATTAACAAAACTTACATTTGAAATCGATAATATCGAGAATTTTAGCCGACTAAGAGCCGACTAAGGGAACAAACTACGTAGGACTGCAAAGAGAAGGAAAACTTGACACAAACCCTTTACCAACCCGTCTGGCTAGCGTGGTATAGTAGGCCAAAACCTCCTTTCTAAGAAGAGGCATATGTCCTGCAGTGGACTATTAAAGGCTGTTGGTGACCATTACGTACCTCACAGGGTTGAACTAGTGTCGGCATGGGCGCATGAGCACACTGAGCTGGGTGTAACGCTCTGCCATCTGCTCGCACACACGTAGCATCTCTCCTCTGTACTCCTCCCCCGCACCCCGCTTCTCTTGCAGCTCGATTGTCATCTTCGACGTCATCATCATCATCATCATCGTCGTCGTCGGCTTCATCATATATCGCATCATTGTCATCTTCGTCATTGTCGTCATCAGTGTTGGCTGTGGGATAAATGATGCTCATAATTTGAAGATTAAAGTTTAGATTGGGAAGAAAAGAAAGAAACAAATGAGAATCGACAACGGTCATGGTAGCGGTAGTTGAATAAAATATCGTTCACTTAAAAACCTCTTTGCTCCGTTTCTGCTATGAGTGCCTAAGTGACCTACCGTTTGATTTAATTCAATATGGTTGTAATTATTAACAGGTATGACAGTTTTCTTTTTGAAGTCAAGCCTTTCAATCTAGCTTCTCGAAAATGACATTGAACCAGCACTAGTCGCTTGATATTATGTAATGAGGATTGTAATTGACATTGTACGAATGAGAACAGTGCAATCTATAGATATCGGTAACCACTTACTACCCGGCGGGTCTTAGTGTTGGGGGCCTTGGTTTGGTCAACCTTGACAAGATTGAGCAAGGCCTTCAAAAGTTTTAAGTTTTCTTTACGTGCCGCGAAAGAGTAGGTATTTAAATGTAATACCTTACCTAATTAAAACACATGTCATCCATCTGATCAATAGCTTGTTTATTTAAGACAAAATCATTACAAATTTACATTAAAGCTAGCTTTAGCTTTTTCGCTCTAGGCAGCCAATGATTCCCAAAAATAATAATAATATATTCCACCTTGATAATTAAGTTTATGAATATGAATTTGCAGACAACATTATCGATGATGTAGTAGTAATATATGGTTAGGGTCCGAGCTCCATAGTCGTCAACGAGGATATTTCACGACATGAACGTAATTAATGGATGTTCTAGCTATGGAACTGTTCGTCGTTTTTCATGTAATATGAGTTTCTGAGACATCATCGGCATTGCAGATAAGTAGATTAGCATAATTTCTAGGAAAATGTAGATATAAAAGACAGTTTTTAATGTGATAAATTGAACACCTATAACAAGGTTTAAACAAGTAAAGAAGGAATAGTGTTTCATATTGTGTTAAAAAAAAAACAGTGGCACTCCGGGAGTGGCGACAGAAGTAAAAACTCTTTGGAAATTTTGTGTTTTTTTTTTTTACAATATATTTTTATATTATATGTTAAAAGAAAAGAATAAATTAATTTTTCATTTAAAAAATTGCGCGTTGATGATGTAGCGTTTGCAACATGGCGTTCAAAAGCACTTTACTTCTTTATTTGGGTTGCCTGTAAAAGTTTGGGCATGTTCTCTTATTATGTCACATGGGTGCGTAATCTCAGCCTTTTCGAGTTACTGTAGTCTCAGTCGGGAAAAAGCTATCTATGAGCTCACCATCTAAGCTTGAATAATTAAAAGAGAGCCAAACGTGGTTCAAAAATATATTAACTACTGGTTAATTAATCTTAGTTTCAGTGAAACCATATACCACTGCTTTTTTAAACAATTTATTTTTCCTACTTTTAACGTTACCTTTTTAAGAGGCTTAGACTGTGTTATACAAGTGAGACGAATTTAAAGTTAAATAATTAATTACGTAATAATTAAAATTTGTAGCACAATTTTTTGCACAGTTTCAGTTGAAAATTGGACAATTCAAAGTTAGGTCACTTAAGCCTATATTCATATAGCCAATTCTGTGGCACTTTATCCCGAACTTAGGTAATTTAATATTGATGTTTATCTAAGCAATTACGAGAGTAATCAATCAATTGACAGGACAATGATGCGGTAATGGCGTGTGCCCCATTACCCGTTTACATTAACTCAATTATTTTATCTTCCTTTATCTAAAGCCAGACAATGGTTAAAGATATTATTCTGAATGAAGATATTAAGGAGAACGTCAAACGAATGAACGAACTTTATTTTTAATGTTAATTATTGTTTTGGTTGAGAATAAAGTTACCATTTTGCACATGGATAGATACCGAGAAAATATGTAGATTACCGAATCAGTTTAGTTACTAGTAAACTATTAATCTAAGATTACTGGACATACATTTATACTAATATTATAAAGCTAAAGAGTTTTTGGTTTGTTCAATAGAATGCGCTAATCTCAGAAACTAATAGTTCGAATTAAAAACATAATTCAGTATAAGATAGCTAATTTATCGAGAAAGGCTACATAACACCACTCCACGACCAATAGGAGTGCAACGTTGAGGAAAAATAATGCAAAAATGGGAAAACCTTTTGAGAGTCGCGGGTCAGCTAGTAGTGATTAATAAACGTTGGCTTAATATGGAATAATACTGTTACTACAGACAGACATGTTACCCAATGAGAAGTGACTATCATCGTCTATGAACCAGCAGCAGAGTTATAAGTGTGTTGCTTAGACTCTATAATTGGATGTGCGAGGCAAAGGTTTCTTGAAAACTTTAAAGGTTTCTTGATTTACAGATAGCATTTTTTTTACTTTTAAAATAAAATCGTGACATTTTAACTTTTCTTAAAAAAAAAAAAAACGGAATACATCTAGTGTGTGGGTTGGACCGTTTAATGGGAATTAAGAAAATGAATTACATATAGACTGCCTCGGTGGCGCAGTGGTAGCGTATGCGACTGCTGTCTGATTCCTCGGGTTCGCTTCCCGGGTCGGACTAAATGTTTGTATGTATTTACAAAAAAAAGTATATAAGACATATACTTTTTTTAGCTAAATTGACTGATAGAATACTTATATTATAAGTATTCTATCAGTCAATCTAGCTTTCATAGTACAAGCTCGGCTTAGTTTGAAACTAGTTGGCGTTGTGTGTTACATGTCCAAATATTACTGTCCAAAATGTAATATATGTATACCCACATGGCAATGGAGTGCTGGTGGTTTCGACGGCGACGCGACACTGTCCCCACGGGCCCGGAGTCCAATGAGCGCTGGCTTCTAACGTAGCTGGTCTTACTTCTTCAACCACGTCGCATTCTTTTCCACCACCTGTCATAGTAACATCTTATTTGTTATAGACTTTAAAAACTTCGTTTTAGATCCCCTTAATTTAGATCTTAAGTGTAACCAAATACTACATATGTAACTTTAATTAATAGACAAAATGTGCTTATCTCTTTAAAATAATGAATTTGATACCACAATTCAACATGCTTTTCTGCGTTGACTAAGATGTAATTACTTTAACTTAATCTTCAATTAAGTAAGCAAATCTTTACATTCCTAACGGGATTTAGGGTAAATAAATTTTGAGAAAGGAACTTCAGGCAATCCTTGTTCCTTGTGAGTGTGTTACACTTTCTGGTAATGATGAAGTTTGCTTTACTTTTAAAGCTATGTGTGTATGACTACGTACATAGTCTTATTTGTCCTAAATAAAATAATATAGACAAAGAACTATTTTATGTTAGCAAAATGTTAGAAGGTTAAATAAAACAAAAATCCTTGTGATGTGTAACTTTGGTCAAATCAAGTAACGGGCGCTGTCCCGGCTTTCTAAGGTATAATTCAACCCTTTTTATGATTCTCCCCCAAAATTGCAGGAAAAACTGATTGTATATGGACTAAGTTTGAAAAAGCTATTTTATACATACCCTGTGGTATTTTTTTCAGACGCCTGGTTCTGACTAATGCACCATCAGCTCTGGGCCTCCACGGCAGCCATTCCGCCAACACGCAATCTTCGCGGATCACACATACGCGTGTCGTGCCAATCTTCGCCAACCTCGTTCCACAGTACCTTAAAAAGTGCTCGGATGTTAACTACTCCCTATCAACATAAATAAACTTTAAACTCTCTTCAATTTAAACATGATTTTTAAACAACCTTATCAAAGGAAACAAGTTTTGAGTAAAAAAAATTGCTAAACTAAAAATACTGTCTTCTTTTAAATAAAAATAAATTAACTGAAAATCTACTGGACAACAACTGTCAGGTCACAGTTCAGAAATAAAAATGAATCGAAATAGAAAAAGTAATATTTTTATTTCTTTCTCAATTTAGATTCATTTTAGTCATACGGTTTTTTTTAATTTGGTACATCTCCAGTAACCAGACTGCTGATAAACATACTTAACTATTTCTAAATACACACATACTTACTGTCGAGGAATTAAATCTAGACACAGAACAAATGCACTATGCTTATCACAATCTACCTTGATTGACTGGTGATTGGGTTGGCATCACTTTTATACATAACTTTTAAATTATAATATTGGATTTTCTATAAAAAATTAAAGACTTTGAATAACATGTTTACTGAATTAACTGGTGAACTGAGTAAAATAGAAAAAAAATATACAATTGCTCGCTACATCCAATTGTTTCTGTAAAGGATCGATTGACTTGATTCGCGTTGATATAATATTAACATGCAACATCGAGTGCATGCAAATGCAATCGTGGTTGTTCTCATTTGAAGTTACTTTTTTTTTACCAAAAGACCAACTAATTATTGATCCAGTTAGTCTAGTGGTTAATGACCCTGACTGTTAAGCCAGAGATCGTGGGCTCAAACCCAGAACAATAAATTGTGTGATAACACGTTGTATTGTTTTTGTGTTTGTTCTGTTGTTTATCTAAAATATGTATGTATGTAGATCAGCAGGCATATAATGGATTTTCGATACGTAAGTATAATTTTGTTATATAATTGACAAAACAGAGAGTGTTGCTATTGTGTGTGTTGATCTATGACTTAAGACAGAGATAAAAGACGATTTCAAACAATTTTGATTTTTTTACGAAATAAAGATATTTTAAGTTTGAGTATAGCACAGCACATATTATTATTACTATTATTGATCACCCATCTCTAGACCTTACGTCCATGCTACTTTAAAGACTTGATACCTTCATACACACGTTGATCACTGTGATACGGGTACATTTTTATATCTTTCCATATCTAAATTTTTACAGACACCTATAAAACATGTCAGCACTTTTGATCACAAAGTTATGGAAGGTAAATGAGGTGCGTTTTACTGAAGCACGTACTGGCGTGATGTGAGACGAGAAATGCTATAACTTATAAAATAAAGTTTTTATACGGCCGAGTGATGTTAGATCAATAAGGCACGCTAGCTGACCCACTTCGCAAATAATTCATCATGAGAGTACACGTCTCGTATGACAACGATCCGCTAACTCTATGAATACTAAACTTTTTGAAAGATATTCTCATTTTTCATTTGTGAAATTTTAAACTTGATTGTTATTATTTCACAAGCCTTACCTTAACAAGAATTGATTTAAAATTACGAAAAAATATAAAAAAACTTTTTTAATTCTTAAAACTTCTTTTTAAATACTATTTGGCATTTAATAATATTGATGTTAGATCAATAAGGCACGCTAGCTGACCCACTTCGCAAATAATTCATCATGAGAGTACACGTCTCGTATGACAACGATCCGCTAACTCTATGAATACTAAACTTTTTGAAAGATATTCTTATTTTTCATTTGTGAAATTTTAAACTTGATTGTTTTTATTTCACAAGCCTTACCTTAACAAGAATTGATTTAAAATTACGAAAAAATATAAAAAAACTTTTTTAATTCTTAAAACTTCTTTTTAAATACTATTTGGCATTTAATAATATTGACTTTCTTTTTTTTTATTCATGACAATTCATAGTTCAAGGTTACAATTCATATAAACACAGTAACAGTGAAGAGAACCACATGTGGTTTATGTATCACTGTACTGCAATGTAGATTAAATTTTTTATATATATATACTTTGTATTATTTTCAGCTACTTCCTTTGTAAGGTAAACCTTTTTGACAAGCGTTCAACATTTCAGTGGATTCTCTGAGAGTTTATCTACAATGTTGTTTTTTATTTCGTTAAGTAGTTCGTGCGTTTGTTAATACTAAAGCAAGCAATTAATTTCTTTCATGTAAGTAGTAATGATTAATTTTTTGCGAGCCACATGAACAATGAAGACTATTTTCTTCCAGAATGAAAGATGTACCTAACAAATTTTGGATATATTAATTGTACCATGATCTTGAAGATACCTTAAACCTAAAAGTTCTCCACTATATTTATAAATGCCTGCTCTTACAGATATATATGTACGATATATATGTATGATAGATTGTATACATACATACTGTAACTTGTTAACAGTAGATAAATAATCCAAACTTACATGGCTTCCACAAAACGTCCATCTTTCTTCCGACACTGCACCTGGCGACGTTGAAGGCCAAGCCTTGGGGTATGTACTAGCGAATCCGTCTCAGTCCTTATATACCTGAAATGAGTATATATATATCAACATGCAAATAGGATTTATATTAAACTAGACATATTATAAATCACCTTGTTGATGATCAAACCTACCAAGAAACCACTCTAATCCTGAGAAACCTACTTTAGTTAAGCAGTTTAAAAAACCTGTTAATATAAGAACAAAACCTAAAAACGTATTAATAAGTTTTGTTATTCGATTCGTTATAATGACCTCACTATAAACTTCTTTTTTATAAAATAAAAAATGCAAATCTGTTCTAAACTAACAAAAAAAAAATTACAAAGTACCAATGACATTTCATCCTTATACAAATTTGCTTTATTGCCTTATTTAAATTTGATTTCATATTTTTAATAAATAGCCGTCTATTCAAAATACAAAAAAAGTCGAAGACCGACATTTTGTTATTTAACACCATTGTCAAAGCCATGTATTGTATTTATAAAAAGTACCTCTCAATGGACCTGGCGGCATGCTCTCCCGCTCCCAGGGGGTTGCAGTCAGTCCACCGACCCACGTAGATAGAGTATTCCGCGTCGTTTGTTGATGGTTCTGAAAAAGGAATCTCATATAAAAAAATATACTTCGCTTTAAGCCATTCTTTTCATTCAACTTGAGTTGAGTTGAATGAGACGAATGAAAGAATCATTTGGAATTGGCATTTGAATTTACAGGACCCGAAATGTATAAATGTTTTTGAAATAATTATATGACCGATTGTTCTCCACTTACATTAAAAAAATAATGCAAGAGTTCCTAGATTTCGTAATCGTTTAAAATAAAAACAACATACACGATAATTAAAAAAAAAGAAACACAACCTTATTGCGTCTTTTTTTAAAAACTTGTCACCGTCATCAAAGGTCAATAACAGAATCAATTATTGATTCCACATTTTTTTTTGTGTTTACTACCCGACTACTTTAGTAGAATCCATTTGCTATAAAAAATTTAATTTTTCTTTTTAAAAAGGAAATCAGACTTTGTATTAAAATATAAGTATTTACATTTTGGTTACGAGTACTACAAGAAATAGGTTAAGCGAAAATAAATTAAAATTATTTTAAGCCAATGAAGCAAAGTTAATTTTTTAAATCAAGAGAGTATTGAAACGCAAATAAGTGTTCTGCAAATATAGTTATGCTGCATTGAATTAATTAAGAATTGTATTTCACACTCGCAGGTAGTTAATTAGATTTATACGGCAGTCGGTGAGTGTTGAGGTTAGGCGCTTTGTGAGAGCAACATAAACGTTGAATATAATGAACTTCTGAATTTAATCGCCCAAACGTTTGGGTAATGAACCTACATTTGGCACGACGAATTTTAAGAGTCCGCTGTCAAGAGATATAAGTATATTTTTTAATAAATGTTGTATTAAAGGAGGTTGCATAAAATAATTTTAAAGAATTCATCTTGACATGACAAAATATTGTGTGAAACAATTTATATACTCGTATATATATATATATATATAAGGAACAGAAGAGTTTTTCCTTTTTCTATTGAGTTATGTTTATTTCGTAAAATTTTGTTTGATACGGCTGACAAATGTCACAAAACAATCACTAGTGATATGACATAACTGGCTAAATCGATCAATTTCTATATCGCGTTCAAATTTTTTTTACCTACTAATTTGTTGGCAAGACCATAATATAGGTAGGTATACGTCAAGCAATTGTAGAGGTTGGTATGTAGATAAAAAATATATTGTTGTATGTATAAACGACAATTACTTTAATCTGAGTAGATTTTCAATTAACATTCTTTTCAACATGTACTAGATTATGAAAAAGTTTGCATTTAGCATCAGCAAGAGTCCGGTTCTCAGCAGGTTGTAGGAACATTCATCTTCAGAACCGATCTTGGCATTGTGAAAGCGTATTTCTACCAAACCAGGACAAATAGCTTGCTGGCTAGGACGCATTAAGCCCGGACAAGTACCAGTATATCGACTATACCTACTCTCCAAGCCTTTTCAAATCTTCTGGCGTTACTTTACATAAGCGTTATTTAACAATGTTAACGTTTTATTTGCTGCCAATGGCGGCGTCACATTGTTATGTTTGGCTGCGAGAACTGAAACTTGAAAAATTAATATGATTTCGTCCTCGTACGACTCGTCGCTATATGCACTAATGTGACTAACTAAACTTCGCCCCTTGCCGGAAGGGTAGCTGATGCGTTTGGCATAATACCTACCTACCACAATACCTACACATAATACCTATTTAGAAAACACACGATGGCTACAACAGTCCACCATTTTGTTTCTCGCGTTTAAAATATTGACACAAGCAAACAACAAACTCGCGACATTATTTTGTATGTTAAATGTTATATTTATAATTTGCTTTACAATGTGTAAATGGGACTTAAGAATGCGTATTTGTGGTTTAGGTGTATAAATTCAGATAAAAAAAATATCAAACTGTTATAGGACATTATTATATCTTCATGTAAGTATAAGACTTAAGCCAAAACGGTAAAGAAAAACTAAAACCATAATATTTAGTTATCGATTATTGTATCAAAATATTCAAACGATAGATGGAAACGAAATTGATTCATCCAACCTTAGATTGTTGTACCATTGACATAACCTTGTAGGCGCGTAATCATAATTATATTTTACGGACTGATGCTAAATGCAAACTTTTTCATAATCTAGTAAATGTTGAAAAGAATTCAGATCTGAGAAAATCTACTCAGATTAAAGTAATTGTCGTTTATACATACAACAATATATTTTTATCTACATACCAACCTCTACAATTGCTTGACGTATACCTTCCTATATTATGGTCTTGCCAACAAATTAGTATCTTAAAAAAAATTGAAAGCGATTTAGAGGATAATTAGTTTTTTAAACCACTCCTTTTTAAAAGGTGATCTTTTTCAGACGCACTTGTTTTTACCCTATCTAAGGTTTTTCTAATTAGCTAAAAATATTGTAATCAATATGGAAAATAAACAGATTGTGGTTCTCCGTAAAACCACATTGTGGTTGTAACAGTTCAATGCCAGCGATTCCTTTTTTAAAATCTGTGTAATCACGTTAAAACGGTGAAACTCTGCAAGCAGTGAGTAGACGTAGAGGGTAAAGTCTAATTAATTAAGTGAGCGATATTGAATTAGCTCCGAAGAGCGATTTGTTTGTTCTCTGACCCTTGATGGAGGCGGTTAAGTGAACGTTTGGAGGACCGAGTAATTTTCAGAGCGGTATGTAGGTTTGTTACATACATCTTAATAAATATGACGTTTGTACGATACAAACATTAAAAAACAGGTTTATGTAAAGAAAATGAATGGGAAAAAAATCAAGTACAGTAATAAAACTATCACGGTGGTGCAGTGGTAGCGAATGCGACTGCCGTGCTGAGGTCTCGGTCGAGATCTGCAAATATTTGTTTCGGAATTTGGGTGTTTTTCTATGTATAATATGTATGTATTCACAAAAAAGGTATACAAGTAATCAGTCAATCTAGCTTTTATAGTACAAGCTAGAACTAGGTCTCGTTGTGTGTCAGATGTCCGAAAATATTATTATTTAGAAAAAATAAAAACTTACCATGGCTTTCTTCTAACATAATAAACTTGAATTTTATCATGTATCGATAAAAACAAATCCGGTAGTAAATGCAAGTATAACTAATGTGTGCATCAGGTTTTATTTTTGGCAATTTAAAACATACATCATCTATTTATTTTTAGTTCAACTTTTCCTTAGTGCTACATTTATATGTAATATTTTAATAAATTTAATATTCATTATAAACAAAGTCCTTCTTATGATATATATATTTACATTTTATTTCAATTACAATCAGCTACATAAGTCAAATGAAATTTATTTCGACAACCGTCAAATTCGAACTTTGATGAGGTTTTGATCTTTCAAAAGCATTTCGCTTGGAATAGAATTCTATTTTAGCCTGAGATATTTCATCTCTGATTAGAATAAGGACAAGTAAATTGCCATCAAGTAAACCCACGACAGGTATGTACCTATCTTTCGCTGAAGATCTCGAACATTTTAGTGACCTACTTTTTCGCTATATTTATTCCAAACTCGCGTAGAGGTGATGGTATCTACTTATGCAGCCTTGTTAACTTTATCGTTTTTGCATTGACACAAGGGTGCCAGTGTTACCAGCTGCTTGTTATTTTTTACTTCGAGGAATTTCCAGAAACATACATAATTTCGATGTTTATGTGGGTAGCGCGATGTTACAATTTTAGCAAAAGGTTACATGACGTATAATAAGATTGCTTATCGGATATTAGGTTCAGAAATATTGGTTGAAGAATATAGTACATTGGATGTCTAGAAGTCTAACCTACAGAAGATTCTAGATAACTGGTACATACATCTAGAGAGGGAGAGGGGGAGTGATAGGATTGGCAACACATTATATAGAAGTGAATAGTGTATTGGTATAACATTTTATTTTATATTAATAACTCTTGAGATGAAATTAAAATATTTAAATATTTGTTGCCCCTAAGTATAAGTGCAAAAGTTGTCTTTTTTATGAAAAAAAAATGATAGGTCAAGGTATTAAGGCCTGAAAGAGTACTGCAACCTTAAACATTTTAAATTAAAGAATTGCTTATGATATTAACATCATAAAACAACTTGCAATCTTTTTCAAATAACCTTCGGCAAGGAACTCACCCAGTAAAATTCAAGTAGTCTGTTTTGCCAAGTAAAAATTTATTTTGTGTTGGTAACGATAACACTAAGTTTGATAACTCGTTCAAAACTTTTTTATTGAATACCGAAATAGATTTGCTTGAAATTAAATTAAATTATTCGAAACTTGGCGAAGTGATTCTAATATCTATTGTCAACGGGATTATTCAGCCTTGTTCAATTTGAAATATTGGTGGAAAATTACTTGGGATTGTCTAACTTAGTTTTCCATTGAATTTAAATTAGAGTAGTGGTATTTAAAGACTTTGTATTTGACTTATAGGATAGCAGGATTAATATAGTAATAAATTTAGCAATGATTAGGGCTATTTTCAAATTATCAAATTAATTACACAAATTGTATTATAATTCTATCTCGCCTATAGGTCTAGTGGTTAGTGGAAGCTAACTACTGAGCCAAAGGTTTGATTCCCAACAAGACGACGAGCAATATTTGTTCTTTTTCTGGGTGTTATTTATACATAAAGAGTATGAATTTAAAAATATATAAGTTTGTTCATCACCGTAGCACAGGCTCTGTTTAGTTTGAGTTCAGACGGCCGTGTGTGAAAAAAAAAACTATGAAATTTTATTATTTGCGATTCACAACAACGGACGTGAGTCGCATATTCGACGTAAAGGTTTGATGGATTGATGTTTACAACTTCTTTAGACATCTTTCGCTCTACATCTTGAGGAGTTGACAAATATAAAATTCATTTTAATATATTTGTGTGAAAATATACGTTGATAAGGTATAACAAATAGTTATCTTACTAATCTCCTAGTTGGTAAGACTACAACTAAAACCCTTGAAGTCAGCAACTTACTAAATAATAACTAAGGAAAAAAAGTTAAAAATAAGCAACTGAACAGCGTCATGTTTATAAACAAGTTAATACTAATTTGAAAACCTGTTTCCACATGGAAGAACTATGGCAGTGGCAAAGAGGTCAAACTACAATAGGTCATAACTGAGGTGCCTTTGAATTGGTGAAGTGATTTTGGGCATAGGGTTCGCAATTTTGAAATTTAGCATTTTCTCTTTCTTTTTTGTCACGATTTTGGCTGTAAATTGAGAAAAAGTAGTGTTGTCATCTTAGGATTTTGACGTGATTCCATTGCTTTATTATGTATGTTTTTAGCAAATACTTTTTGGAATGTTATTGTAATGTCTTTTCTCATAGAAATGATATTCTGGTATCTAATAAAACACCGGCTTAGTTAAATTTTTGATAGATATATACAATTAAACTAACACAGATAAGTAAATATATAATATAATAATATATTACAGATGACCATCATGAGGAGAATTGAAAATCGTAAATTAAATATTAAAACAGTGCTAGGGAGGGTTGGAAGGAAATTAACAAGTAAAGTCATTTTGTCGAGTTCCGTTTGGGTTTCATCAAATTAATACCAGCCGCCGCCGATAAAGTAATTTATTATAAGTGCTTGTTGATTGAAAACTGTAAATCTACCTAACATTTTCATTAATTTCGAAAATCTTATTAAATTTTGATCATTATTATCAAATACTCACATTTAATATTCAAATTTTAATTTATGAATTTGTATATTAAATATACATTTAATACACAAATTAAAATTTAATAAGATTTTCAAAATTAATGAAAATGTAAATAAACAGCTTTTAAGTAAATAATACTATTTACTTAAAGATTTATTTAGAAATAGGTTTTAGGAATATGAACCATATTAGCTAATACAACTTTGATATGCCCCATATAATACATATATTTACGGTGGGAGATTTTTCGGAGAACAATGCTTTGCATAACTTGGCCGTCTCGACCGGAGCGATGTCAAGGCCTCGCAGAAAATCAGTGTTAAGTGATACAAAATCGCACCTAGAAGCCTGTGAATGCCCCAGGAGGCTTCTGAGCTTCTAGAAGGAGCTTGGTTGGCTCACCTAGCCAACCTGTCCTCGACGCATAAAGGACCATTCTTGAGTCTAAATGCGGAAACCGCAGCCTACAACCAATACCAATACCAGTGTTAAGTAATTCTTTCGTTTCTTTTCACCGACTGGATGAGACTAGCGGAGCTCAAACCCCCTTTCCCCCTTTTCTAGGAGGGGAGGTACTTAAAGAACGGTAAAAAACTTGTAAGTCTGAGTTGGTGTGGTGTCTGTGGGCGGCGGCAGTCACTTACTACCATCTGCTTAAGTAGACCAAAAAAAAAGAAGAACGTATTCCATTGTTTTCAGTGGAAACTACCTCATCCATCTGAGATGTTGACTCAACATACAAACAAATTCAAACTATTTCCCTTAGGAATAGCGAATTTTAGTCGCGGGCGTTTCAAGTTGTGTCTAGGTGTCACAACTTGTAACGCCCGTGACTTAAATTCGCTATTCAGGTGATAGTAGTAACGATCCCTCTAATAGCTGAGAATTCAGGTTACTTATTCTTGCACACTCATTCTTACACACACACACACTCATTCTTTTACACTGTATGTTTTCCGAACAAAATAAAATAAAATAAACCGGTGGCTATTCAATACCGGTCATGGTTACGCAATGATAAGGCACTCCATTATCTCGATGTTACAAAAGAACACAGTAATGTGAAACCTTAATTCCTAATATATATAAATATATTTATACATATAGATAAGTAACAGAACAATAGGTATATAACTTTCATTGTCCATAATACCCATCAACGGGCAATTCTCAAAGCAAACTCCCAGAGTTGTTAACTTAAAATAATATAAATTATTCTAATATCCTTCATAAAACATTAGTTAACACAAGTAATTTTAATGTATTTTATTACTTTAATTAAAACAACTATTTTATAACCGTTCTCATATTGCAGTTATAGTATAATATATAATACAGTTGACAAAATGGAATCATAGCACGATAGTGAGATATTATAGCACGTTTAAAAGTGAATACTGATGTTGATAAATAAAAGCTTTCTACAGAAACTACCAGAAGTAAAAAAATAACATAATAACTCAAATATATCTAAATAGGAGGGCAACTGAACGGAAAAGTAATTTAAATTATTCAGAAGTTTTTTAAAAGTTAACAATTTGATAGTTCTAATTTATTGACTTGAATAATGTACGTAGAAACACATTGATTTACTATTTTACTAGCACTAGCTTCGAAACTTAATTGCTATAGTTATATGTTTAATATAGGAGAGATGATAGGAATTCGTCCAACCGTTAACTAAATCGTGAAATAGTAACATACTAATTTAGACTTAAATGTACGCACACGCAAGATTACGTACCTTAACGTATTGTTTCTTAACCTACACCTCAAATTCATTTATTTTAAACTAGAGTAAAACCAAACCCTTAGGTCAATTCTGCATGAAATAGAAATCCTCACAGGTCATCACCTCGCCTAGCGGTCAAGTTGGTGGTATGTCAGAATAAAACCTACTTAAACTACATGGTGTTCATCGCAAGTGGTTGTAGCAATCGCAGAGGCCGCGGATATACAACAAGATGTAGACTTTCAAGAACCCTACACACAAAATAAATATTTAAATTCGTCTCTACATAATAAAGCTGCACATTATTTACTTTAATCTTAGTCATTCTTCTGAAACCTTAAAGATGCAAGTAAGCTCGCAGACACTGATAGACTTTGTTCGATTAAAGTAGTCTTCAGAGAGACATGGCCATATGTTCCCGAAACGCATAATCCTATGTTTCGGACCATTAAGCTGGAATATACAAATAACTGCGTTCATTCCCAAGTGAGATTTAAATTTCTAGACGGAATATAATTGAACGTCTTTGCGTTGGCTAAGAACAAAATTTAACTGCATACATTGTGGAGGCACATTCAAAACCGTGAAGTGGATAAAATGATTGATACCGTTAGACTAGATCATCATC